ATTTAGAGAAAAATTAAACTTATATTTTCATCACTTAATTATTGAAAAAAAATAACTTTTTATTTTATCACTTTTCACAATTTTTTAAAAGAAATTATTCCAAACATTTTAACGTAGCATACATTCATATCCGATCAATGGTTTCTTAGTAATAACCGTTTTAATTTCTAGATAATTAGTGTGAAAACAATCAATTTTCAAAAGAAATAACACATTACGCGATAAGGAATCACAATCAGCATGGTAATTTCTTATCTTCTATTGAATATTAATTGTTTTCCCACATATTTATTAAAACTACTATAACTAAGAAACTTATTCGGATATGAACGTATTAAACATAATCATTTTTAGAATAATATATTTTACAAAATGGCTATTTTGAAAATTTTAAAAGTAGAAAAATAAAAAGTTATTTTCTTTAGTGATTAAGGGATGAAAATAAAATTTAAGTCTCTACATAATATTATGTGACCCTCTCGTACAAAACCCGAGTGAAAAAATTGTTTTAAAAAAAAGTGAATATTGAGTTATTAGCAAAAATATAATACTGTAGGACACCTTGTATCTTAACTTTAAATTGATTTACTTTTTTAAAAATTACGATCCAAAGCACTTATTCTAAATGTTGAAATTAATATAATTATATATTAATCACATTTAATACAAGTAGGTAATTTAACTTAACTAAAACAAATTAGTTACCAAATAATGTTTTATAGTTATACATATAAAATTTATGTACCACAAGTTATAGATAATGTGAAAAATATTAGTTGTATACACACATCGATGTATCTATAATCTATATTGTATGGTTTTACAGTTTCAACAATTTTGCTTACAACTATAATTGATATTAAAATCTGATTCTGGTTTCATAAATATTATCAATAAGTTTCGAGTGGTCTTGTTTCATTGAGCTTCGAATTTTATTGTTTTAATGAAACTTTATTTTGAAAAAGATTTTTCTTTACGAACGAAGATATAGTAATTAGAATAGTAATAAACATTTTTGAAGAGTGATATATACATACACTACATTTTTTTAATTTAAGTCAACCATTCTAGCCAATCAAGATATTTATTTTATCTGCTTTAAGATATTAAATCATTGGTTTTTAATAAATTAATTTCAGCTTCAAACTCATTTTAATTTAAATCAAACATCTGAGTTAAATTCAACATATTTTTATTTATTAATAATGCTCGAAGTTTCAAGTATTACTAAATGACCAATACTCTATCATTTGAATTTTGAATCGTGTCAATTGAACTATGTCATGAATCATTTTATCCAACATTGATGTTTGATAATAATCTCGTTTACGAAATAATCACTACTTAATCAAATCAGATAATAAACTAATAATCTAGGATCTAGGATTTCTGGAATTTAGTCCCCGAAAGTAAATAAAATAAAATATATTTTATTAAATAATAACTTCATCCGTTATAACAGAAAATAGGTAAGGACTCAAGGCAGACCCTTAATGCACACCTACTCTAACTCCAAAGCCCTCTAATATTCCACTCATACTTCTTAAACTTGAATTTGAACCTGCATGCATATCCTCTATCAAACTAATATAGGTTTTACCTTTATTACAATCTCAGAACTTCTTTTCTCATTAATACCCACATCAGAACCTTTCTCAGTACTCTGTCATAAGCCTACTGTACATGTATACAAGCCATACACATAATGGGTTTTTCTTCTTCTCTCTGTACTTTTCTACAATCAGCCTCACACAAAATACTGATTACATCGCCAAACTCCCTGGCATAAAATTAAACTAGTTTTTAGATATTGATGTCTCATTTTTACAATTTTTTCCCCGTATCTTCATACTATGACTCATCAATTTTATTCCTCTATAATTTTCACACTCTTGTACATCTTCCTTCCTTTTAAAAATAGTTATTACGAAACTCTTTCTCCACTTGTCTGACATTTTCCTTTCAATCAACATAGTAACGCCTTATTGATTCCCTGATTTATTTAACGCTGTACAGGTTTCTAATAAACATATTATGCATTTATATATTATTCATAATGGTACCTATCTAGTATCTATTCATATAAAATTAAGATCACAATGATTCAATGCATTTAACTTTAACTGAAAATGAAATAACTTCTGTGTGATTTATCTTGATGAATCTAGATGGATCATTCTCTTTATCTGTATCAATATGCATAGTTATCCAAACAATGGTTTTTATTTTGTTTATTTTAAACAACCTTTCCATGCTTTTTTTTATAAAAAAAAAAATCTAGAAGAACTTTTTATTCATTACATTTCAGTTTTATGCTTGCACAGAACAAAACAAACCTACCAAAAGTGAAACAAGATAACTTTTATAAATTAATTATACACAAATACAAATTACGCAATATAATAATTATAAATAGGAAAACATTATTTACCTACCTCCAACTTATTATTGTTGATTCCTATCCAATGTACATCCCAATTTGATAATAATAAATGTATTATCATAGACATAATAATATACCTATTAATCCTATTATTATCAAGCTTAGCCAATTATTATTATTATTAATTATTGTTCACAATTGTTTATAATAATACAGATATGATTTTTCTGACATTTCAAGTCTCTACAATTACTTTAAACTAAATTATATTACAGTAAAACAAAATTGAAAATAATGAAACCATTATTTCCGTTAACTTGTTCGTTCTTTCTATGTGTTTTTCTAATTTATTAAAAAAACTGCTTAGAGAGTGAACACAAATTCGAGAAAAAACATTTCGTGTAGTTATTTGATGGAATCAAGATGTCTGCTAGAAAATATAGTTTGTAAAAATTTAAAATAATAAGACCATACGCCGTAAATTTGTTCGTCTTTACTTATTCGGTGTTTTTCAATTATTATGAAAACCCCTTCGAAAATCAAACAATGACATTCCCAATGTACCAACTAGATAAAATGTTATTTTAGAAAAAGGGCCACACTTGATACATTGGAGCAAGTTTTCTGTAAAAAAGTTACTCACTGACATTAAAAATTAAAACATAGCATTTAGTAAAATCATAGTAAAACCAATAGATATCTCGCGCTTCGCTCTGATTATCTGAATCTAAAACTGACAAATTTTAACGTAATGATTTCATTATTATAAATGTTTATAATTTGTTTAATACTAAAAATCTTGCTTTAATACAAAATTACAAGACATTTTTTTTTTGCATTTTATATCTAGTTTGTTATTAAGAAAGTCATGTGTAGGTATTGATTTTCAAACCAGTTTTCATTATAATGTAAATAATCGGAAAAATAGCGTAGAAAGAACGAGAAAGTTGACGGAAATAATGGTTTCATTATTTTCAATTTTATGTTTTTGTTGTTATCCGGTTAATATTTTTCGTAAAGATCTAACATTTTTATAGAATTCCTTAATATTTATTAGTCTTTTCTAGGCATTTAATATTTAGTTTATTATATTATGCATAATCGTGTACCATACCCTCCTCTAAACATCGCTCAGAATTGTATTTTGATTATGGCTTATTAGTTGTTGTTGATTACAAATATAAATTAAATTCATTTTTGTATCCTACCTTCTCAACTTCCTACTTATAATAATGGATACCTAACTTGTTCTCGTAGTATAGGTACTCGATACTGGTGTTGGTTAATTACCATTTATTAGACCAATAACTAGCTGCTAGAACAGATCTTTGTCTTGCATTGCTATGAATAAGTCTATTGCCACTGGCGATTCAGTCAATTGTCGAATATTTTTTTAGCCATGACATCCTTATCGACCTTGTTTACAACGTCCTTTGACCTTACCTTTCATTAGTCTGTAATCAGGGTCGGCGTTAGCGGGGCTTACGTTAAGGGCCTCGCGTTTGTGAACCCATACAAAAGTACAGTATAATTTAAAAAGAGCGTAAAACTGGAAAAATATATTTTATAGAAATGTAACGATGTTTTTGGGAAAAACAGGTACACGTACACGCGCGTTCTTATCAAACAGTATTTCCGGCTGTGGCTAAGTGTTGGGTTATTAGGTACAATTATTAGGCGAGAGGAGTGGTACGCTAAAAAAAAAGTCTTGCAAAAATATAAATTTATCCAGGGCCTTGCGAATCGTAATATCAACACTGTGTAATAGGTTATAATTTAATTCTTGTATTAAGTGTCCAACAAACCCTAGCTTCAGTTTTTTTTAATATGTTTATTAAAGCAGGTGTTGTCTTCATGAGTTGTATTCGCATGGCATACAATATTTTCCATAGGTGCAACTTGTCACCTTATGAATCCCCAAAAAATAACGAGAACAATTTGTAGCTAACATGTTATGTAACAATATTTTATAATACAAAATAATATCAATCTAATGTTTGTATAAGACTGCTCGCATATATGAGTATAATGTACCTAGTTATTTCATTATTTGTAGGCTCTTCAAAACTTGTGCATCCTCAATAATATTGGTTTAGTCATAGGAGGTACCTATGATTTTCCTATTACACAACATTTCAAAAACAGACACTACCCTATTTATCTTCTTTTAGAGTCCAAGTTTTACATCTGTAAAAAAAATATGATAAAGATAAATTTTCTCAAATCATGCTTATAGTAAAATTTAAATATCTTTGAGTAAATAATTTTTGGCGAAAATGTCTTAAAAATTAGGTTTATGTTATCCTATTTAACCTGTTAACTTCTTTATTAATTTCCTTTTATATAAAAACATTTTAAAAATATAATAGAATTTTTTAGATTTGGACGTAGTGAGGAATGTATTGGTCGTAAAATGTTTATTTTTTAATCTGTGAACAACATTTTTACCAGAAATTTCACTTTGATTTTCAACTGTGACAGCTTTTCTGAAAGGAAATTTTATCTGGCTGATACTTGAAGGTGATTATTTTCTCGATTTTCCAAGCAGTTTTCATAATAATTGGAAAAAAATGGGAAAATGTATGTAAATGTGTAAAAGAAACTTCACTTCAAATCATTTTTCATTAGCAATGGTTTATTGTTGCGTAGATATAAATTAAATTCCCTTCCATATCCTAACTTCTCACATATAACAGTGGCCCACCTATTGTGCAAAGTATGTCTGCCTTTTTTAAAATTATAATCATTATTTTATTATTATACTTATATTTTTCCAAATGGTTAATATTTCAAATGTTACAGTTTATTACTTTTAACATTTTAACAGTTATAAATGAGCAAAGTAAAACAGAAACAATTACCTAGTGAAATAAACCTAGTCAATTATACATACTTATCTCAATTATAAATTTAATTGATATATATATATATATATATAAATATTATACAATAATTTCTGTTTATTTCAAATAAATGAGTATAAATTATATAACATAATAGAATGATATTAACGTAAAAACAATATGTAATGAACTAATTCACTTTAATTTCTTTTTTTCTTTCTTTTTGTCTTCTTTATATTCATCATAGGTTAGACTGTGTTCAATTTTTTTTGCCTTTTTTACTTTTTGCCATTTGAGTGGATTACGAGAATAAAAGGGCCACGGTGGAATAGTTAACTGAAAATAAGAAAGTATTTCATAATTAATAAATAAATATTCATAAAGATTGTATATTATTATTTGGACTTGCGTAAAACATTGACACCTAAAACAAAGGTCACAAAGTCCAAATAGCTCTGTAGTTAGTTATTGTCATAATTGTGAATTATGTATTTTAAAGACAAAATTAGTCAATGTGAATTTAATTTATTTCTAAATAATCAACCACAAAACAAATTCTAGACTTAAAAATGTACCAAGTACACCTTAAAACCATTAATGGTATAAAAAAATCATTAGCAGCATTTATTCAGACTGTAAAATTCCGTTATATATAAATTTAGAAACAAGAAACAGAGGACTGTAAAAGTCCGGAATATGAAACTTTGTAAATGTTCCGGACAAGAACTTTCCGGAATTTAACGAAAAAAAAACCGATAGACATGTTCAGACCCGGAGTTATAATTATCAGTATTAATAGTGTTTTTAAAATTCCAAATTATTCTTGTGCGTGACATTCCGAAAATTTCTTGCTCAGGACATTACAGTGTGCGTATTTATGTTTTCCAGATTTTTACAGTCCGGAATATTCTGATCTGAGCATTTATTTATTCAGCCGATTACAGTCCAGACAATTTTAGTGTTTCATATTCTGAATTTTTACAGCCTGCCATTTTCTAGTCTGTGAAATTTGCATTCCAGAATTTTACAGTTCACATGATTATTTTCCAGGATTTTCTAGCCTTCCATATCAACGACCTTATTATACCAAAATGGGTATACTAATAATTTTAACAGATATACAGAACATGCATCGATCAATTCAAGCACACTGAAGAAGCCAAAATTTATTTTAAACACAATGGATACGAGTTGTTTTGACTCAAACAATCTCAAACAAATCTATATACCCTCTAGTTTAAAAAGAAATGGAGTTATCAATTATTCCCTTTCCGTTGACATATTTAAATGTAAGGCTTTAGTGCAATTCAACAACTCCTCATAAATTTAGAATCGATTAGAAATATGTGAAAAGGGAAATTTGAGAGTAATGTTAGTATTCATTGAGCCATATATCAATTTATTTGTAGCAAAGCACCAACTTCAATTTTTTTTTGAAATAAGAAGTGTACAGTTTTTGAAAATCTAAAATGCGTGTTATGTAAAAAAGGTTAGAAAAATACTAGTTTAGGTGAATAACACAATTGGTATGTTTTTAATTGTTTTATGGTTTAAATTATTGCTGAACAAAAAATGGCATGAAGGTAAATCATTACATTATAATAAGAAATAAATAAGGTCCTTATGTTGTTAAGAAAAATAACCATATTGACAAAGTTATTAATTACGAAACGAAAATACATTCATATGTTGATAAAATCAACTAACATTACCAAAGAAGTTTTTAATTTTATACTATCTTTTGTATTTTGAGGCTAATAATTTTGTTGATATACTCTTCATCAACTATAGGATCTTATTTGTTTTTTATTACATTTTCATGATTTACACATATGATATTTTTTGTTCAGCGATAATCTAAACCTTAATATTCACTTAAAATCGTTGTTCGCAAACTAAAATTGTTTTTGAAATAAGATTTAATGGTATCGGTACACCTGTACAAATAAAAAATAAAGCCACCCCCACAAAAAAAAAAAATATATTTTTATTTAACCATAATATTGATATTCCAAAAATTAAGTTTCATATAAATGTCTAAAATCATCAATTTACTTGTCATACAATATATACATTAATTTACTTACTATAGCAGAAACAAAAAATCCAATTAATGTTAGACCAATTGTAATTGAAAATTGCTCTTTTACATATCCCAAAATAAAACCGACAAACTAAAAACAAAAATATTAAATTATAATGATACAAATAAAGCTTAAGCTATTTGAATAGATTAATGTATAATTAAAACTTACCCCACATAGTGAAATAATGGTTCTAAATAAATATTCAGCATGTTTCTGTCCAACAAAGTCCTATATTCAAATATAATTTTATTAAATAATTTATATATTAACATTTGAAACAGTAAATTATTAATACTTTTCATGAATTTGAAAAATGAATATAGTTGTTTGATGTAAAGTTTAAATAAAATACATAAATATTAATTTAAGTACATAAAACTTAAAAGGATTAGGGTACCTAATAAATTATACATTCATTTTTAGATGACAATGTCCTATTATTTTGGCCTCAATTTTAAACTTCTTATTTTAACTAAATAGTGTTATGGATAGGAACCAATTTTTCAAAAAAGTATCTATTCTTTTTATGAATTGGGCTTGATCATATAGGTTGTCATTTGATATTCAAAAATTGATGGTAAATATTTAAAATATTGTATACTGTAAAGTTATCATAGGATTCTTTAATGACTGAACAAAACCAACATCTTCATAAATAACCATAAGGTAATTGGTTCATGATAAAATAATGATGTAATATATACATAAATGAGGTATACAATAAGTATATATTTATACTAAAATATATTTCTAATGATACGACAATTTTGTCTACAAGTAAAAATCAGTTAACTGTAACTGATTAACTTAAAAAAGTCAATTAACAACAATTTTGCCTACACAAGAGATTGGAAAATTTAAATAAATGGTGAGTTATGTCAGTACACATCAATTATCTTATGTATAACTGAAAAAAAAAAAATCCAAACTGTGTTAAATCAAACATTAATCCCACAAAAAGATTCAACAAAATATCTTGGAATGCATCTTGATTCTCATTTGAACTGGAAACACTATGTCTGTTAGGAAAAAATACAGATTAAAGAAAAAAAAGTGAAAGCTCTACTGGTAAGTTGGACCCTACCCCGAGTTAGATAGAAAACAAAAGTCTACTATATTTAGCTATCATAAAATTAATTTTGACATATGGCATTCAACTGTGGGGTTGTGCCGGTAAGTTCAACATTGATATAATATAATACAACAAAACCAAAAACTCGCTCTTTGAACCATCACAGAGTAGCTTACTGGTTTGAAAGAAACAATGCCATCTATCAAGGGTAGGTACATCATTAGAAGTGTGACTTCATCAATGTGTAAAGTATATATTAACATCTAGTATGTAAGATATATCTTGTTAAACATATTTATAAAGACCTTTAGGTCATTTAAATAACAAAGCCCTAGGGCATTTACAAAAAAAAAATATTTATATATATATATTTATATGAAATTTATTTTTAAAACCATTTTTCATGAGAAACTAGTATTTCAATTAGTAAAACAATAATTTCAATACTTTACCATATGCCATTTCCAAATAGATAAATTATCAAACATTATAACTAAACTAAAATGAGAACAAATAAAACTAATAAATAATTTTAAAACTTCAAGATACAAATAAAATTTAATTCAGTATTGAAGAAATTCATAAACTAACAAATAATTACGAATTCGTTTATTTACGTTATCATTTGTATTAGTAATTTGTATCACACGTCATTCTGATATTTTACAAAGTTCAAAGACTTCTCAACTCATTCTCCTTGGTTTTAATTTATCAATTTATTTCGCGCTTTTATCACTATCAGTGTTTATTTGTTTTATTATTTGTTAAATTTTTCAGAAATGTTCTCATTTTTATTAAGAATTTACAAATTGTATGTTACAATGTTTAGTATTTAAAGGCAAGTGTTGTTTTAACTGTAAATTTAAATAAATTTATAGTAAATATAAGAACATAAATGTTTTGGATTATACTGCCATAATTTTAAAACGGTTAGTTATTATAATATTTATAATACAAATAATAAATTTATGAATTCAGATCAATTGTTTGTTCATACTTCCTAGTATACTGACTATTATATATTAAATTATATTACCTATTAGTTATTATTATATGAACGTGAACTATCTTGTACATCATGAACAAAAATAAGACTGATAAACTTAATAAATATCTCATTAAATACATTTTTGATATCTATTTAAATATTTGTTCTACATACTGACAATGTTATTAAAATTCTCCACATTTACAATTTGATTTGTGTGTCTCAATATATGTATTAGATATTCAGTTATGGTACCAAGGGTAGGCCAGGTTGACCCAGACCCACTATAAATTGTTTAGGTCCCATGGCTGACCAACCCTTAAGTATTATATTCATAATAAGTATTTTTGTATAAAATGTAAATATTAAACAGTTTATGTTATGTACTTATTTAGATTCTGATTGTAATAAAAAATATATTGGTTTACTATGTGTTTTTTTTCATGTCTGTTAATAACTTATGTATCAGAATTCTTGCTCTAATAAAAAATAACAATAGAGCTTTTTGTACCATTTCGCATCTTGTTAGTGAATTAAAAAGTTATTTTTTTAACAAAATTATAGACATATTTTTTTATTACTTCAACTGGAAATACATTTATCAGTACATCCCATGTGTGATTTAATTTTCAAAAAAAGTGATTTTTGTAGCTATTCGAAATTTTCATGTTTTTATATTTTTTTTTTTGGAAATATATTGTTTAGCTTCTCAAAAATGCTTGAAAATTGGTTGCACGATTCATTATATGTTTTATTTATGACACTAAATTTCTTTTTGCTAACAGGTAGATATATATAATTTGAGGTATTTTTTTAATGTAAACTTTCAGTTATTTTGGTTTATTTAAAAAAAAAATGGTAGACTAATGACACAGATGAAGTTCTTAATGTATCGTGGCATTTTGGTGATTCTACTATAAATACTGTAAATGTAAAATTTAGGACCATTACTTTTAATATTCATGCATTTCTATATCTTATTTTCTTTTTCTTTTTTCAATTTACCAGTTCGTTAAGTGGTCTCGCCATTTATCTTTATTATAAGTTAACTTAAAGGTTACGTTCTGGTTTATCTCTTTCAGGTCTCTGGTTATTACATCAATCTACCGGGTTCTGGGTATTCTAAGGGGGTCTTGTTTTGTTTTTTTTTTCCAAGAGTACTTTGTTTATTAGTTGCCCGTCTACTCTCCAAGTATGTCCGAACCATTAGCCGTTTATTCCTGATAATCTCAAAAATTAAAATAAGATATTTGGTCTGTTGTACAATTCATCATTTCTTCTTCTCTAATATGTATTTGTATCTTGGTTGAATTGTTGTCCATGTATGTTTAGACTATTTTTTTATTTGTCAAGGACCATGTCTCGCAAGCATAAGTTATTATTGGGCACAAGTAGCTGTGATAAAGAAGTACCTTTGATGTCCATGAGAGTAGTTTTGATTTTAGTAAAATGATTATGCTACAATAACACCTGTTCCCACTCATAATGTTTTCACTTACTTCCTGGTGCATATTATTCTTATTATTAATGTTTACTTCCAAAAGTGGTCCACTGCTTCAAATTTCATCTTGTTAACCAAGAGGTCGTTTGCGTTCTGATTATTTCCCAACATCAACATGTGTTTTATTTTATTTTTCTTATTTATTAAAAAACATTACAGCTCAATAAATTTTTATATGTTCTGGTAAACTCTTTAAGAGTTTATAAATAAAATTAAAATAATGTTTTATTGCTAAGTTTATGAATTTATTGTATTGCTCTCTAAGTATATTTTTATTTTTCTATTTTTAGGTGATGGTTTTACAGTTGATATCAGTCATTTAATTTTGTACTAAAAAAATGGACACCAGTCCCAATACAGTTGCAGCTATATTAGAAGAAGTTAGAGATGATATACATAGCTCAACTAGTCCATTATCAAACCCAACACATCCAACAAGCACAAATGATGCTAATAAAATTGTTATTTACGTACAAGACAAAAATCGCTTTATTAGATCTGAACAACATGATTTATTTAATCATTTAAATAATCCACCGTGTTCAGTCAATTATAGTAATTTACAACCAATTGCAGCTAGAGCTCAAAGAATATTTGCATCATTAGGCACTGTTAGTCAAGGTTTGTTAGCAGGAGTAGCATTAGCACAATTATTTTTAGGTGAAGCGTCTCAGCGTTCACCATTAATATTGATGTCCTTTTTCTTCTTGTCAACTGTATGTATGTGTACAGTTTTGGATATTTTTGACTTGTACAAATGTGAAAGCTTCAAACCAAAATATATTTTAGTAAGTACAATAAAATAAAAAGTTATTTCTAGTTTCTACAATTGCTTTTTTTATATCTTTCTTTTTTAAATATAACTATTGGGTGTAAATTATTCAATTGTAACACCCTTTTAAAAAGCTGAATTTAAATAATTTCCAAAGAAATATGTTGTTGACAATAATAATATTTATTGTTTGTTATTTATTTTTCAGGTATTATTCCTAAGTGTATTAACAGCTTTAGCAGCATTTGCATGCACCACATATGATACAGCTATTATGTCTGGAAGTAAAGTTGAAGCCAAAGTTTTAGAGACTTGGCGAGCATTGAATTGCTGTCGATGTTATGGTGCAGTTTTAGGATGGATTATTATTATTATTATGAAACCTAAAGACCAGTTGGCAGAATTTTTGAATTCTAATTAGTTTTTAAGTTTTAACAAATTGTACTTATTTAACAATATTTTATTAGACAAAACTAAACTATAAAATAGTTAATTTATAATTTGTTAGATTTTTCAAAATAACAGATGAATTAATATTGACAGATTTAATTTTAAGGATATTAGATCTGGATACAGGATCTGTGATTTTCTGTCTTTGTCTTACATGTGCAACATAGGAATTTAAATGTGTTCTATTTCCAATGTACCTAATAGTTAAGTGAAGCGATAATAATTCTGAAAACAGATTTAAATTTGTTATCAAGTCAACTTAAAATCAACTTACCTCCATTTTGTTTTGCCCCTTTAAATCTTAAAATAAATCATAATAAAAATTAGTAATTAAAAAAATGTAATATTTTAATTTTTGGAGGTATTAAAATAAATAAAGTGGATAATTTAATTTTGATTTGATTAAATTTGAGTAGACTTTATGACATATTCAAATCTGCTTTCAGAATTCTTATCACTACACTATATTAATTGGTACTTTAAAATAGAACATGTCTTCCACCTTCCTATGTTGCACATGTATAAGACAAAGACTGAAAATTGCCACTACCAATTCTCTAAAATGACTAATTTAGTACAAAAAGCTAAAACTGTAATGACCATCACTTAACCAAAAATTATTTGCTTTTCAAAAAAAAGCACTGCATGTATTAAACACTTTTATTGATGCCAAATCATTATTATTATTATTTTTCTTTAACTATTAAATTAATAATCAAAAACCTAATCAAAAATAGTTTTTAAAAATTGTTATTTAATATAAGTAATTCATAAGGACTAGGTTAAAAAAATGAACAATTAATAAGTTAAACGTAAAAATATTTACCTATATTATTGTATACACATTAGAGTTACTGGTTATGTATATAATTATAGTATTATTTATTTTAATTATGTAGTATAATTTATATTTTTGTTTAAATTTAAATATATATATATATATACATACATATATATAATTGGTTATTTTTTATATAAGAACTTTTTAGGAAAAATAATTTACCTACTTGTTTGTACTTTAATCATGTAAGGAAATACAATAACACAAAATATTAGATATAGTATTATTATTTTTTTTTTTTATTTACTAGATATTTCTAGTTAATATTAGTTTTATAAAATATATAGCAATTGAAAAAAAAAAAATAAAGTTTTATACTCATACAAAAATTAACACAATTAAATATTATATTATTCAAAATTAAGCAAAGTCTTGAGTACTTTTAAATTATTTTTATTTGTTATAAATAAGATAATGATTAAATACAAAATGTATGTTTTATTTAATTCTTTGTAGTGACTAGTTATTACTATTTCGTTTTGTATTCATTAATACCTATATGAGTAAACAAAATTTTAATTTTTGTATTTAGCATGAAATGTCAATAAACTTATAAAGCAAGTATTTACATGTACGTTACTTTTTTTTTTTTATATATATTGTGTTTTATAATTTTACTTTATGTTATTAATATCATTGATTATTATATAAAAATATTTGACCAAGGCTCATAAAGGTATTCTGTTATTAACATTAAATATATAGATATTAAAATTATTTTTATACTATTTATTATATTGTTATATCCTAATATAGGTATAATCAGTACTTACCTAAGTTAGAGGGGACAGAGTACATTTTTTTTTTCTTAGAATTATTTTAGTATATCTACATTCTCTAATGTTTTATAGAATACAGAACTGTTAATAAAAATTGATGGAGAAATATTAATAAAAAATTGATAAGTAAATATCAAATTTACTGACTTCCAGAAATGTTTTTGCCCTTTTATAGATTAGATGATAATAATATATACTAGGAATCAAAATAAAATATGAAAACAAACTGAAGTAATTATTATTAGTTTGGGTGAATTTAAAATTAAATTATCACATTTTTTTATCGGTAAATTTTTTTGTCTCAATATTTTTAATTCAAGCATTAGGTACTTATATGTATATGTATATGGGTAGTTCATGTTGTAGATTAGATAACGCCAAATTTTTGAACAGTAGAACCAATATTGTGTTGTTAATTTTAATATTATCAAATTTAAAGGAAGAATATTATCTTTGCTATTACGTTGTATTTATTTTTCTCAGTATTTATTAATTTTTGAGCAAGACACTTGAAATATAATAATTTTAAATTTAAATATCCCAAAATAATCACTATTATTTACTAAACGAAAATTTGATATTATCCAATTTTCAAGACTAACCATAGGTAACATATAATAGGTATATATTATTATGATCATGAAATTATACTTCACAGTAGGTGCAAATCAAGTTTATAGTTCTATAATAAACATTTCTCCAAGCTCCATATTGGTCCATTATTTTATTAAGTTAGTTGAATGATCTTTTTTTTTTTAGTTAAATATTTCATAGCATCTTTTCCTGAAATAGGTATAATTATTTTTTTTTCATCTGATTTTTTAGTAATCTAACAATTAGTTTAGTGTTATTTAGTGACTATTTTTGTGTTAACTAGGACAAACAATGTGTATTATGAAATATCAAATGTGCAATACGAAAAATAAAAATATGCACCTGCCACCTATTAATTATAAGCAATTGCATTCACAATCTCTCACCCTCTCACAATCATTGGTAATCAAACTTAAATACATACCTACGTATACACTACAGAAAATCAGAGAAAATAGCTATTGGTGTTATAAAAATGGGTTAAAGAAACTTGAAGTTATGCAGTAGTTGCAACACACGGTCCACAAAACTAATTTAATAATTTGTTTATATTTTTATTAAAATATCAAAATATGTGATGGTAAATGAAAAATTTAAAATTGTATAGTCTGCACGGGTGATCAAGATAACAGTATTTCGTAAATGATTAATACTGTAAACATTATGACATATTTTTTGTTTACTTACCAAAAAACTAGAATTAGGTACCTATTTATTATTAGCTTTAGAGTACCTAAATCTATACGTATAATATTCTAACTAACTCCAAGAGAATTCGTTTTTTGAAAATATATTTTTGATCCCAAATCTAATAGTATTTTTTAAATTAACTTTTTGAACTTAATTTTTGAGTTCTAGTAAAACAAATTACTCAATTTTTTAAAATACTTTTTAATATTTTCAAAAATCGATCTTCTAATTTTTTAGATTTTGAGCATAACAAGAAGTAGTGTATCTAGGTGGCACAAGGAGTTTTCTGAACCTATATTTAATTGTTCGTGATAAAATTATACTCGCTGGTCTCTAAAAACAACTATAAATTTACACATAGCATGAAGATAGTAGGTACCTATTTAATCAAGATAGGCAGGTAAAATAGCCTATCCATTATTTTATTATCTATGCTTCTGCAGTAGTAATAATGGTGGAATAATTGATCTCTTAAAAATAATTTGTACATTTTATTAGTTAGGTATAGGCATTAAGTGTTTTTATTAAACAAATTACGAACTAGAAATTTAAGCATAATATCGAATATGACTTGGGTAAATTACTCTTTAAAAGTATTCAGAATAAATGTTCGAATACATCCTAAACATAATACTTATTCAAAATTTAACATGAATTTGAACGGTTTACAATATTTTAAGAGTACATGTTGGAAAAACGTTATGTTAAGTTCGGGGAACTATAGATATTATGTGATGATAGTCGATAGGTAACATGATTACGCATTATATTTGAAAAGTTTAGTTTGAAAAATGTTTTAAATTAAGTACCGCCAGCAATATCAGTTCTTTTTAATTTATGAATGAAGTTTAAATAGTTTTGATAAATTATATACCTATAGGTATATAGGTAGGTATAGGTTGTAGGCACTTGTGACATTGTATAAATAGTGCATATATTATATATCAGTACATATATAGGGTATCTACCTAGTATTGACATGGATATAATTATTACAATGAATTTTAATGTAGGTATCAAGTATTGATTAGGTAGGTACTAGATATCTACCGAGTATTTCGTTTTTAAATACTCAAAATAAAAGTATTATGTATCTTGTATTGCAATATTTGTAAATTACATATTACTAAATAGTAAATAGCTAAGTACATACTTATGTTGTATGTTAACATATAAGTACCTATCTTTTTACACCTGCTATTTAGTTTCTAGATAGGTAGGTACCTACTGAAAATCAGTGTATCTATATAGTTAGGTACTCATTTTAAAGTATCTTGCTTATCCCATTTTTTAAGTTATGTTCAATATAATTTATACAGATAGATTAGGTAGGTATAACAGTAGTGGTTAATTTAATACAATAATTTAATATAATATTGAGTTGTTTCAATATTTATTAAATCTTGGCTCACACTTTAAATAATACCAATTTCCTAAAAATAGTATCGTAGGTATCTTTACAATTTTAAGTTTTACAAAAACCAATACAATTAATTTCATATTTTTATTTTATTTATGATTTCTGATGTTTAAAATAATTATTTGATTTACCTACCTAACTATTTTAAATAGAACATTTAAGAAATTAAATTAAATTAAATTGAAAACTAATATCATATATAATAATCATATAACAAATCTAATATTTTGTGTAACAAAATATCATTTTTTTTTATGTTCATAGACTATTTTAATTTATATATGTATGTTTTTTAACTATATACTTATTGCCGGTATAACATTTGATTTAATTTTTTTATATAATGGATCTAATTTAGTTATGGCGGCAAAATGACAGTGAAACGATGGCGGCAAATTATTTTTTCAGTGAAATGAACAACGATGAAACAATCGGTGAAATTATCGGGTTCTTTATAATTATGATATATAATCATATAAATATAAATAATAATAATAATAAATTAAGTATAAAATTTAAGTATTACAACTTTTAATAGGCGATTAAGAAGAACAGTGGAAGTTTTATTTGTTTATACATAGCCACATGGGTACTATTATTGTACACAAATAATTGGGATTATCAAAATAGGTATAAATTGTATAATACTTAATTTTATGGTCGTAGGAGGTTTTTAATCTTAAATAAATGGAAGCCCATAATATCATTGAGTAATAATTATGTACAATCAAACATTTAAAACTTTTCAAATTTCCCACCTAAAGCTTACGCCATTAATGACGTCATGCTTTTTTTTGGTTATTTATATTACCTATAACAGTATTAAAGCTAATGAATAATTTGTACAATCCTATATTATAATGTAAATTTACCACAGACTGATGTGAAACTGTGTGTAAAAATACCTTTCATCAGTTTCATCAATATTTAATAATGGAGAAAACAGAAGCCTACCTAATTAAATTTTTTATTCCAGGAATATTGATGACGTCAAACGGCTTGTCTGCAGTTTACCCAGCGGGTCAGTAGTTTCGATTGTGGTGGGGTGTACATCGCCCGTACTGTAGGACAGTTCTCTACGGAAGCCGCACCCAATTTTTATCACTCTAGTCGCGTATCACTATAATATAATTTTTTTTTATTATTATTAATTCGATAAAAAAATAAAAATAAATTAAAAAGTGGAAAAATAAAATCGTGTCTATAATGTGTAGTGCACCGTCTTAGCAGAAAACTTTGTGTACAAGTTTCCTTGGTCGTGCCGCTGGGCTGTCGTTAGTGTCGAGTGCGAGTTTGTCAACCGAAAAACATTTTGCTAGTGCGTGAGTGACGTGAATGTGCTTTATAGAAACATCGGGCACTCGGCCGGACTGAAGTCATACTTACGGATAAGGGTAAGCCATTATAAAATTAACATTATATTCATACTTCTTAGTATTTAAAGTAGAACGTTGGGTGTTCTCCTTCGGTGATAAGAAAACAATCTGCTCATAAACTTGACCATGGTATTTGACCACAAAACTGCCTAGTTTAGGGACATTACTTAGTAAGAATCTTATGTCATCAAAGATCTTTGAAGTTATCAATAAACTTTGTGTTAACTGATTCATATGAACATATAAATTACTTTAATATACTACCTAGTATTTAAGTTGCCTATTGCTAAATATTATGCTCTGAAAATACCTTCATTTTTGTTTTTCTATACGAATTTGAACATTTTAATTAAAACCAATAGGTAACCTTAAATGAAAAAAAAATGTTTATCTTCTTAAACTTGATATGTAAGTGTTGGTAGGGACCAGATAGGTGCACTTATGCATAGGTATCTAATCCATAAAATATTTTATATACCTATTTTATGTTAGTTCACAACTGAGGTATATTAGTTTTAGTTACCTACTTATTTGAAAAGTTTAAGTTGAAATTATAGCGTTATGTAAACAAATTTTTCTTAATCAAACACAAAATATCTTGTCAATGTACATTTAAAATTTTTTGAATACTTATTAAAAATCTATATTCTTCATTTATGTTATAATAATATTAAGTATAGGTACCTACTAACAAATTTATAATTTTAATAGGTATCTTTGTAAAAAATGATAAGTAATATAATAAATATTTATCTAAATATTATTCTGCCATATTGTAAAAAATATCTAAAGTGAAGGTACCTATAAGTGTTTATAGATTATAATGATACAATATTTTTTAAAAAATTAAAAATATTATTCTAACAGACAAATATATTAGATATGGCACTTAATGGATCTTAATATATATTTAAGTTAGTTGGTATATTTTAAAATATTAAAATATAAAGACATTATGAATTCAATTTGAAAAGTATAAAAATTAATATAACCAGATCCATACTAAACCTTTGAATTTTTTTTTGTTGATAGAAGTTATCTTAGTAAAAATTATTTTGCTTTACATTACCAGTATGTTCCTAAATAATGTAGTTATCTATAATCGAGTAATTTAATGTAAGTATGAAAGCAGGTATAATGTAGACATAATGAGAGTTCCATCAATCATAAGTTCAAAATGAAAGTGATTGTCACTTCCTTTTGTCGCAATTGATATCATCTATTTTATGAATTTATTATAAATATTTATAAATTATAACATTGTATTATATATAAAATACATTTTATAATTTAATATGATGACCTTTCAGTAAATTATTATAAATAAACAAAGAATAATTATTCATTATAAAATAACTACCTATTTGGGAACTAATTTATTTTATGATAATTAAGAGTAGTTGATTATAAGTAGATGCCTACATCTCATGCAATTTATAAAATAATACACTTCTTAATTGTATTAAACCTGACTAAGATTTAATCTGTTTAAATTATGTTGAATTGTATTCAATTTTTATATTTTTAATTGAATTAAGTATTTATGAAAGCCTTATAATATTGTAAGAATTTCTATTAAATATTAATTATATAATATAAGTATGTAGGTAATGTAGAATATCTAAAAAATTATATATACTAAACAAATATGAATGGGTTTATGATTACTTAAGATATTTTGGATGGAATGTATGTAAAATAGTATAATATGTTAAGTCTATGGGTAAAATAACTAGGTAAAGTATGGGTATTTAAAAATGGTGCCGATTTAAAATTTAATTTTTAACTTGAAATAATTATAATTTTTACAATCACATATGGTTGATTAACCTATTTCTTGTTTTTATAGCCTATATAGTAGTTGCTGGTGGTTAATATAAATATTGGTATATGAACACCTTATGAAATTTAAAACATATAAAAATTAAAATTATTTAAGTACCTACCTATGTATAATTGGTGTAATATAATTTTTGATCAAATTGCAATTTATGGCTTCTATAATTTGAGACTACATAATAAAATACTTACCTAAGATATCTGATATCTGACCTAAAATTTATTATGAAAATAACTTAGGTTTATTTCCACTTTTGTTCTGAGCATATTTCTTGATGGACTATTTTTGAAGGTAGTTGATGATATTTTCTATATATTCTCTATATATATTATTATTATCGCATTTCAATACTTTGTAAAAATTTTTGTCAATTTTACTTCTTGTCAAATTAGAACATATTGTAGAGTTCAATAATAAAGAAAATTAATTTTTAAAATTATTAGTCTGAAAATAATTTATATTTAACAAAATCATTTTTAAGTTCCAAACAATTCATTAGTGATTAAAGCTAAATAGATGTTTTTGTTTAATTTTTTTGCTTAATTATTGCTAAAACTATAGTTATATAAAACTTAACTTTAGTTGTACTAATATATTAATATGTTTTTATATTGTTATCAGTTTTGATTTTAATGGTATCTAAATAATTTATGTTGTGAAGTAATGTATTAAGGGCATTCAATATGGAACGCAGATTCCCTATTTTATCTAACACATACATAGCATAGAAATGTATAAAACAATTTTATCATCAGTTTGTTTGATGCAATGAAACGATTTAAGTTCTGACAACAGATTTAAATTCTTTGTGAAATATACAGAAGATTGGTCAGGCTACTTTTTTCAATTTTTTTTTTAGTTTATTTAATATATTTTTATAAATTTTTGGAAATTAAAAACTAAAATTCAAAAAAGTGGCCTGGCTGATTTCATGAACACTTCATGCTGAATATAAATCTATTTTCAAAACTCTTACCACTTCACTATAATATATCTACATCAATAGGCAAACTATTCATCTAAATTGCTTTGATGTGTGTTTGTTAAATAAAGACAGATAAGAAAAATTGTTTCAAATCCCTTAAGTTTAAGTTACTGTTTTAATTGTTTATTTTTTAAAATTAAAAATTGAAATCATGTTGTTGATTTTAATCTATTAAAATATCAAAATAACAACAATTGTTCAAGTGGTTAGTTACCTAATACTCAAAAATAAATGTAAATGTATATATAGTATATGTACACCTATCATGTATAAAATATACTTTCCTTACCTACTTAGATATATTTTATAGGTACCTATATTTATTTAATTTTTAAACATGTAATAATTAGTCTCGAGTAGGTATACAAACAAAAATACAATTAGGTACATAAGTGGAAATATAATAGGTATATTATCATTGTCCATTAACAATAATTACTATTTATTTACATTCTATGAGTTCTATGAATTTTACTATAGTTTTTATAATCATTAATAATATAATATACTAGTTATCATTATCAGATGTTGTCCAAGATTTATAACAACCATAAAGTAGAATTAATTTATCCAATAAAAACTAAAACAAAAATGTCATAAACAGATAAAAAAATAAATCAAAGTACATATAGATATTACGGAAATGGTTATGTAGGTACCATAGTCCATATGTAAACATCATATTTTATAGTTTTATACAGAATGTTTCATTGTCTTTCTCAATGCTAATATCACTTTTAATTTTCATATTTTTTATCGGATTTTATATCAGAGGGACATAATATACAGTGATCAATTCTCGATAAGACACTTATTATCTCGGAAAGTATATACTTTTTTAGAATCTATTTCACTTTAAGTGATTTATAATAGATATTTTTTTACAAATATTTATCTTGCATACATACATATATGTCATGATGAATATTTTCTTAATATTAGCTTTTTTTATCTCTGAAGAGAATTAAAACAATTTTATTAAATAGATTACTCCAACATTTTTGAGATAGGAAATCATAATCACAGCACTATAATACAAGTAATTTATACCTTTTCTCTAGAAATTAAAACAGATATTACTAAGAGACTATTTAAGTACCCATCTAATATGTATGTATAATATATTGAAATGTTTTGAATAATATTTAGTGATAGTATATTGAAACAATTTGGAATAATGAACAAATAATAAGTTATTTATTTATGGTTATTATGGGGCAGAAATAAAAATTGAAGTTTCCTTTATTTATAGTGTCCTCTTGGTACAAGATACAATTTAAAAAATTAACAAATTTTAATAAATATAAATATAATATCACCACTGGAAAACACAGTTGGACATCGCATGTATTAATAAGTTCCTACATATAATTTTTGAAAGGGGTAAAGCCAATACACAATATTATGTTTATTATATTAGGTAGGTTCTACAAGAACATTCTAGCTTTTATATTTCTATATTTTCTCAAACATTTTTCCAATTGTTTTTTTTTAATATCATACAAATTTAGTTCTTTTTATTACACAGTTTTTTTCCTAAGATGTTTAAGTTATTTAATGTAAATTGTATTGTTTGTTTCCCAAAAACAAAATAACTAATTCAATAATAGGTGTATTCCAGTTAATTTTACTTATTTTGGTGCGGTAAGCGCTCATGTAGGAACTTTAGGCAACATATTATACCATGTAGTTCTCATTTTTTTAAAATAAAAGTTTTCCTTTCTCTTCAGATTTATCTTGTAATAGTTTTATCTCTTAAAAATTTGATCTGAAACCACATGAAATACTTTTAAGAAATGTATAAACCTATCTATTACAAAAGAAAAAAAAATGAACATTGTTCATTAGTACAAAATTCTTATTATTTTTATTAAATACAAGTTGATTTACTAAAACTATATACATATAAATATAATAATTTAATAGTTTAAACCATTAATAAAGTATAATAGCTCTATCTAATTTGTATTTGATGGTTTTGGTTTTCTAAGTGAGTTGGGCTTAAAAAATTTGTTTTTTGTCTACTAATACGATTTCGAAAACAGTTAGACTTCAATCATTATGGGAGATTTCTAGTAGAATTTGAGTCTAGTTAGTGCATTGAGTAGGTCTGTTAAATTTAAATTCCTTGTACTTTTATTAATAATAGGATTGAGAGGGAGAAAAACGAGGAAAAGGGAATAAAACAATTTAAAGAAACTCTGTTTTGACAAAATCGATGTTACAAAATCAAAATCGATAACCAAATACTTATTGTTAGCATTGTAGATATGGTTTAATTTTCAAAATATTTGAATCTTTGAGTTATTTATATCTATAGGTATAAAATTGTTCAGTTTTTTCGATTTATGTGGATAAAATTTTTTGGTCCCGTAAAAATGTTCGAAAGTGTTTGATACAAGATTCATCATAAGTTATTTTTACTGTTAGAAACAAAGTTGAGTTTAATTTCACTTTTTTTATTTACAACTTTTTGACAAAATGCATAAAAAAACACTTGTTAGCAATGATTTACTATCGTTACGTACATAAATTAAGTATATAAATTAAGTTACTCTTTGTATCTTATTTTTCCAACTTTCTACCTACAACAGGGGTTCATGTATTTGTACACCATTGTATCTTGTATGAGGTGTATAGCAATGATGTATAAAACACTCGCTATGTTCTGATGTGTTGTTTGCTTTCCCCATTTAGAAATCTTGGCTTCGCAAGAAAATTAATAATAACGCAATCTAGAAAATTTCAATTTAAGATCTATATTTACCACGATGTAACTATCAAAATATATTAACTAATCATGAATAATTTGCAAATAATTTTGTTTTTAAAAAAAGGGGTCAATATTTTTAAGATTTAAATAAATAGATAGGCAGTATTGTTTTCAATATAATCATACAGTTGCATGGCAATAACTTGTAAGTTCGGAACTTATACCACTTAAAATGTTTAAACAATTTCATTATAGTCTATAAAAAATAAATTTTCAGATTTCGTATTAAAACTTTTGAAACTTTTCAAAATTATTCTCAATGGCGTCTGACACTATCCATAATTAATATGACAAAATCAAGAAAATAAAATTTGATTATTAGAATACAAAGGAAAAATTATTTAAAAATTGTAGGACGTGAAATCTGGATTTTGTGAGTGGCTTGCCGCTTACGTAATCACAAAATAGAAAATATGCAAAACAACCAGGAAAAATTAGTAAAAAATATTTTTAAATAAGGCTATCAAAATAAGCAAAGAATAGTACTTTAAAATTTAATATTTGAACTCGTAACATAACATGCATTTCTATAACACTGTTGGATTGAGCACATTAAACAAAGTTTGTTTAATGCATCAAAATGTACTCATTTATTGAGAAAAATTTTTAATGTTCTGAAGTCATGAATTCTACTTATAACTTATGAGTATTGGTTTTAATAAATTGAACTTCAATAAAGTATTAATCCGATGTATTAATTGATTGAATCAATTTAAAAAAAATTAAATTTAAGTCATTTAAGAGGAAGTCAGCGTTTTTTTTTAAATTTAAAATCGTTAAATCTTTGAACGAGTGCGATTAAACCTTAAACAACAGCTCATGATAAAATTAAAGATTAATAAATTATTATATTAATAGTATAAAAGTTGCCAGACTGTTTTGAAAAGTTAACCACGTTAATAGAAAATTAATATAAGTATTATGTTGAAATTTCAGACCTCAACTATTATTTTAAACAGACTTATGATATAAATATAAAAATCGAAAATAATGATACTATAACTGTACGATTTCCCGTTTTTCAGTATTTTCGTAATTATTATAGAAACTACGAGAAAAATCAAAAAATGTCTTCCTCTATTTACCAATAAGATCCAAAATTCAACATAAAATGCCTCATGGTATTTTTTGAAAGGATCAAGATTTGCTGAAGATAATTTGTTCAGATAGAAAAGCAAGATTTTATTTTGAAAAGTTGTTTACAGATTGAAAAAAATAACGTTATGCTCCGAATCTACAATACACTAAAAACGATATCGAACAATATTTTTAATTTAAATAACAACTATTAGGTATCTACCTACAATGAAAAGATAGGTAATCGGTAAACAAATTATGTTTGTTTGTATAATTTAGGTATGCATATTGTTTATGCTGAAACATATTTATGTGGCAGACCTTCCAGTTTCATATTTTCTCCAATTGTTTTATGGCCGAGAGGTCGGTAGTAGTAGGTGTTCTCGTAATCAGGAGCGTTCGCCGCCCTCTCTTAGGTTTTGTTAATGGTGGGGAGTCCGATCAATCTAAAAGCTCATGCGTGTTGTGCACGTCAAGGCGCGCTTGAATCGGCAGTTGTGTCGGTAGCCGGCTTTTTTTTAAAGCTGTTAAATATATCAATGAGAATATGTTCAGCGTACAAACTAGATTTCATAGAACACCTAAAACTAACAATTTAATGTTCTTATCCTCGTACTACTCTGTTGATTGCTGAATGTTCATTGTGATCTTTACCTCTTTTACAAATAATTATTTTATCATTTCGAATTGGCTCATTTCATTTTAAGTCGTTTTTAGATTCTGAGTGAAGTGAGAAATTTATTGGTTTTACAATGATGATTATTTTTTAGTATTTCTGTTTTTCTGTGAACAATTTTTCTACCAGATATTTCTCTCGGATTTTTAATTGTAGCACATTTTGTGACAGAGAATTTGACTGGGGTAGTACTTTAGGAAGGTAGTTTTTTGATTTTCCCAGAAGTTTTCATAATAAGTTAGAAAAATTGAGAACATTTTTTAGAAAAAAACGAGAAAATTTACGAAACATATTTTCCAATCATAAATATTAGGGCCTTTCAAAACAACGTGTATAACTAAAATCCGCTCAGAATCATTTTTTGTTAATAAAGATTAATCGTTTAGTACAGGTATACATTCAATTTCCCTCAATACCCTAACTTCCCAACCTAACCTCACCAACAATAATGGTTTAACGTGTGAAGTATATCCGTATCTTTGCTATCTTCTTCTTTTCTATCTTATGTCCGTATCTATATCAACAATATATGAAATAATGTCTTGGATAAATTTAAAACATTTTAAAATAATTCTTTGTGTGATATTTAATAAAATATCAGATAGTAGTTAATATAGTAAATAATTTGATGTAGTATCCATCAGTTTAGTACTAACCGGTTTATTGATTCTACTCTCTAAAATTGAATAATTTTCATGTGGTGATTCAATAATGTATTAACAATATTTTATAAAAAGCTTGGACTAGATGTAGACAAGTCTGCTTGTGGGGTTGTCATTATATTCACCGCGGCTTCTATGAGTACTAAAAAAAAGTCTTCAAGTGGTTTTGGCTAATTTTATACTTCAATGAATAAGACAGAACACCTTTCCTTGAATAAACATTAAACAAGTTTAATGCGTTTTTTAGCCCAAAAACGAAACCTATAAATCCTGTTATTCTTTTTGAATTTATAATTAGTGTACCATCTTGTAAATAAATGTAAGCAATATATTATGACCTATGTATTAGGTATAGGTGTAATAGTTACATCAATACATGTTACAAATAAAACTATAAATCCATATTCAAATTATTTAATAAGTTTTTAATACGTACTTAATTAATTAAAATTCCTGAATCACTGCTATCATTTACTGAACTAAGTGAAGTGATACAAATGTTCAAGATTTAATATTAGTATTTAATTTTTTCTTTTACATTTTTAATTATATATAAGCTATATTGTTAAATGGGTACAATTTTTTTTTCTTTTATCATCAGAAAATAATCACATTAAACAAACCATTTTTATGTTTAGTTATCAGTTTAAATGCGAAACTTTACTTGAAGAAATTATTATTTTAATCGGGTTTTTACCTTTTTTAAGTTTTTCGCTTTTATAGGTGTATCGAACTGAGAAATTTGGAAAATGACCTTTCTAAAGTATTATTATTATCTAAAGTGTAACCATTTGTGTTCAATTATCTGCAAAAGTTGTTGTTGTAAACTATGATCATGTTTTTTTTTGTTCCGAAAGTGTCAACCAAAAATGATTGAAAAAGTTATTATTATATTACTATTAATTCTCTTAATCAGCTCAGAATCTAAAGTATTATGTCTCCTTATAAAAATTATATTTATATTTTTTAAATAGTTTCAATATTTAATTTAAATATTTTTAATGGATATTTAAAACGCAGTTTCTAATTGTTTTTCTCGTTTTCTTCTATAAAGATATTTACAAGTGGTATTTACATCAAGTACAGGTGTTTTAAACACTTAAAACACGCTTAAGGTATAGAATTATACCGACAAAGATCTACACATTATTATTTGTGTAATTATACACTGATATTTTTTTAAAAAAACGTACCTATATGGGAACATTTACTTAAATTTTGATATTTTAATATTTTCTCTCTTTGAACACATTTTCGATCAGAGAATCCAATTGCATGAATAGCAGGTGACGTTTTTGGTAGCTTTTTGGATCTAGTTGAGATCATTTTTGAAATTTCTTGTAAAAAAATGAAAAAAAAAATATAATCAGGAAAATTGGTTTTTTGCTGAATCAATTTTTTTAATCCAACATATTTACCAAATTTAGGTAATTATAATTTTCACAGATTATTAGCATTTTCTACAGATGGCATAAACCGCATTTACTGTCTCATTGTCTAACGTACGGGCAACATAGTTTAATATTGTAAAACTCTAAATTTAAATAATTATTATGTTTAGGCTGAAATTCGAATTTAAACACAAATAATAATATTTTAAGATGAGAATATTTTCGTAAGCATTTCCAGGGTTTTAAAAAAAAAATTCTGTCACAAAGTTACAGTCATATGAGTTTTTGCTTATGTAACTTTTTTGATTGATAATATTTCAGAAAAATAGCCCCGGATTTTATTGAAAATATTATTTTCATTAAAATATTGTTGTTTGTGTTTAAACTATTTTTCAACCTACGTACTCCATAATCTAAATTTTGAGTAACTTCATTTTAGTTCAATACTCATAAAGCCATAAATTAACATACATTTCTATACAAAATATTATCCATATATATATATATATATATATATATTTATTGTATGTTCAAAAATTAAATCTTACTGTTGATTAATGTTTTTGTAAATTTATATTTTTAATTCATCTTTTTCTATTAATTTGTTAAATGGTTTTGGGGTTAATTGTATGTTATAACTTTCGAATAAATTAACTTGGTTCAATTAACTTTTAATTTTATATTTAAAAGAAATTAAAATGCCTCGACAAATATATGAATGAGGTGTAAAGTTCATTGTTGTGTTGTAAGAATGAAATACTTCAAGTCACTCCGAGACCCATTAAAACTGAAGACTATTTATAATAATTTTTCTTTATTAAAAACAGTATTGTTTTTATTTCATTATTTTATTTGTTGGTGTATTAAATCGTAATGCAATTATTTGTATAAATCTTTTTCTTTGTAATCTAAATACATTTCAGGGAATCTGCAATATCTCAAACACTAAAATAAGACTTATATAATGGTATAAAGCTATTTTTACAAATTATTTGTTTTGTTTTGTTTTTTTATATGATATATAGAAGTCTTAGATTTTATTTTTAATCATTTAAATAATAAAAGGCTGCAATTTATTTCAGAATAAATCATGCTCTTAATGACATTTTTTTTTCACACTTCTTATCAAAGCAATATTATGATTATTGTTGTTTTTTGTTTATTTAAAAACATTTTAAGACACATTATACATTCTAATTGTCTATAACCGACATAACAAAATAATATACAACCATATGAGTATAATTAATACGACTAGTGACTATATGTAGTATAATATAGTCTGTAATGTTTATAATATCACCTTTGGCGTTGTGCAGTGTACCTCGGTTAAACTGCGTTTAGTAGTGACGTACTTTAAATACCATTTAGACTTTTCAATATTTGTTTGTTTACTAAGTACTAGTTTTGAAACTTATAATTCTCGTATAAAATATATCAATCAAACTGTTTATAAATTGTTTTTATACATATTTTGTATATAATATATATCTATAAACACAGGGTGATTTTTTAGCATATTCATCAAATTCTGATTTTTGGAATTTTTAAAGGTAGTAAAAGACGATATTTTCTCATATTTAGAGTTTTAACAACATTTAAGGAGTATTTTGTAACATTACCAATCTTACTTTTTCAAATGAGAATCTAAATATTTTAATATTATTTTTCTGAAAATGTTGATGTACTGTAAATTGTAATCGAAATCTGAACAAAAAACTTTTGATTTATTCTATTCTAAATACTAAAAATAAAATCGGCTTTTTGATAACAGAACGATTCAAAATAATAAATTGTTTACTCCATACGTTTCGTATGAAAAAGGTCGGTATTTAATCCCCGTAAAAGGCCATAATAGATTAATTTCAGTATTTAAAGTTGAATAACTCAAACATTTTTCGTTCAAATTTCGATTATACAATACGTAAACAATTTCAGCCAAATCATCTGTTTGACGATTTGACTATTAAAAACGATTCTCATTAGAAAAACCAAAGTAATTGGTATTCCCACAGAATACTCCTTAAATGCTGTAAAAAAATCAAAAAGTGCCTATAAATGCAAAAATATTGTCTTTTACTAGACTTAAGAATTCGAAAAATCATAATTTGAACGTATGCATATAATTTAATCATAAAAATGGGGTGAGCGTGTTTAAAAAAAATCACCCTGTACATGTGCGTATATATATAATATAGCCTTTATGTATACGGCAGTGGAAACGTAGAATGAATGGCGAAAGTGGGGAGAGGGTATTATGAATGCGAGTATGATCGGCGGCGCTGCGAAAGCCTTTCCTAAAGCCCTAGCGTGCTGCGACGGAACTTTACATCCGCGCCGCGTTACAGGCAGTCAGTACGGTATTGGGCGTGGTTCGCATAGGAATGAATACAACGGCGACCGAACGCAGTATTTTTTGTTAATTTTTTTTTCTACTTTCCCACTGCAACATTCGCCTTTTTTAAACATATCGTTTTCAGCATATTACCATTCACGCTAAATCTGTTGGTTTAATTTTATCCGTTTTAACAAAATTCGACGTCCAACGGTGTATAAATATATGTTTGTAATATTTTTTTTTTTGTAATTCGTTCGTTTATCACATAAAAGTACGACAATGCTGAATGGGCCGGTCTCGCATGCCGATAGTAGTGCGTTTCCAGTTGTTTTCGCGAGATAAAACGCCATCAATTTGTCAGTTTCGATACTAAATTTGCTCCGAAAACGATGTCTAACGACCGATAATAAAACGGGCGTCCTGCCTGTTTTCATCCTGCTGCTCAACCTGACGGATACATTCATGTCTTGACCTTAAACATTTGGTTACATCTTTAGGTGAGTATCGACAGGAAATACTGTATTAATATACCATACTCTAATAATTCAGCCTACGTTTTTGTTTTGTATTGTAAAATTCAGTTTTTACTTTTATTCCAAATATTTACAATACCGCGTCGTAATAAAGAACACATCAGCTTTCGCGTTTCAAATACATCTGCTTAAACTATACTAAAATTAAGAGACTTTCAATATTTAATCATAAAATTATGTTTAAGTGTATGTTATTATTATGATTTATTTTGTATGGTTTTTCTATTTATACATCCGCTCGGTTAATTTCACGATTAGGTATTTATTTTTTAAACCAAACAATTATTTTAAATCTCGATTTAACTCTTTACACTTTATTGTTTTAGATTTTGACGGAACGAGGAATATATTTCATATTGATCTATGGTTTTATATTTTAATATAGATACCTAGTAAGTAACATTTCATAAATCATTTTTATTGATTCTCCCCATTGTACAATTTGAAATAATCATTAAGTTCGGTAAATTTGTAATTTTCATTCCATTCTCTCAGTTTTTGAGAATAGTACAGATATTAATTTTTCTGAAAATCTGAGTCGATTTTTTGATACATCTAAAAATACATAGATATAGGTATTATATATATATATTTATGGTTATTAGATAATTTACATCTAAGTATATTATTTATTCATTTATCATTGCTATTGTCTATCATCGGTTAGCTCAATGAATTATAATTCATCATTGTAGATAGTGTAACGTTTATATTAAATAATATAGGTAATAAATCGTTACTTATACTTTCATGCAGAGATCGTTCTAAGATTCCATTATAGGTAAGGTAAGGTATACGTACAAGTAATACAAATAGATAGTTTATTATTTATATCGTAAACAAATCGCCTTATATCATATTCATATATTGATAAATGATAACTATATTATAATAGTATGATAGATAAAAAATTAAAACAAAATATGTTTTATACTATTGCTATTTGAATTAACGGTAAGTTTTTTTATTTTGAATACTTGTATTAAGGACTTTTATAATAATAATACAATCTTATAATTTATGATTTTGTTTTTTTGTTTTTTTTTGTTTTTATGAATGTTTCACGATGGTGTAAGATATTTATTATAACTGGGTATAGTAACATTTTTTAAAAGCCTATTGGTGGGTCAAAATTAGGTTTAAGTTTCGCATTGGTGATCATTCATACAGAATCAATTGCCTGCGGCTATGGAGAATATAATACTATGGTGTGCTGTACCTAAAAGAAAAAAAATCGTTTTAAAACGAAGCCTGTTTTACGTTCAGAGATACGGCTACGAAAATCTGGTGTGTGGTGTTCGCACTACGCACAATTTTTAGCACAGCATTACACGGCATTTACGTGTATTTGTGAATGGGTCGCGATAATTCATAGAGTATCCGAGTATATCTGTATTCAGGCATACTCTTACGACCATGGTTTCCGTAATAAAATTATGATTTAAAGAGTCTACGCGTGCGTGTATAGTAATATGCATTCGTATGTCCATATTTTATTGGATTGTTGACTGCTAAAGTTGCGTTCAGTTTACAAAAGTCGAGACAAAAGGTATAAATCGTGATGGGATTTCTCGTATTTTTCCACAGGCGGTAACATTTTACGCGTAAATCCCGCGCGGTGTAGGTCATTACACCCTCGGTTTTTCTTTCCTTTTTTTTTTTTTTATTTACTCAAACCGCGGTCGAAAATCCTAATCGTTTTCGCTTCTAAAAACCATTGCGCAGGGACATTCGACTGCGGTACACGCGTTCTCTGTAACGCGAGGGTGATGGAGAGGAACTGGGGGAGGGTGTAAAAAGGTCGTGTCCGAGTAATACGCGCGTCGTTCGTGTTCCCGGTAATGATCCGTCGCCCATATTATTGTAAAGGTCATTCGTGAACGGCGACACGGGACAATCCAGATGAAACAAAAAGTTAGCGTATAGTCTACTCTAGGTAGCTATGTCGTTTTCCGTTGTCGGGTCGGTGCTTTTGAACATTATAACAATATCATTTGTGCCGGCCCGCGCTCTACCGCACATCAGCGTAACGCGTAACGCCCGAAACCGCGTCGAATCCTCTTTCTCGCTCGTGCGATATCCGAGACATCATCGTCGTCGTATATCGCTTCATATATTTCGCCCGTCATTCTTATTATTATTATTGTTCGTCCGGTCCGACGACGATGAACGGGGTGTCATCATTCATTTCCCCGTTGTCAAAGGCGTTGTCGAACGGCGGCCGTGGCAGCACCGGCGGAGATGATAGAGAAAATACAACGCCGCCGCCACCGCCACCGCCACCGCCACCGACACCGCCGCGCCGTATCGCCTTCACGCACGCCGCCGGAGGAAACGGCGGTCGGTCGCCACGGCAACACCCGCGCCCCACCGGTAACGTTGACCTTTGGCACGCGCGGTATACGCACGATTGTGTATACTATAACACGGTACATAGTACTATATAATGTATACTCGGGCCACCGAGAAAAAATATGATGATCACACGCGCCGGCTTATACGGGAGTGGCCCCTAAATTCTTCCTAAATATTATCGTACGAAGTCCGAAATTCGTAGTATGATTCTCTCGAAAATCGATCGACGATCGTTTTCATCGGGAACATGTTTATCGGATAAACGTAATATTTCCATAGGAAAAATAATTTTCTATTGACAATAGTCTGAGTGGTTTTTCGTAATATACTCAACAGACCAGTGATATTTTCCATCGAGGTCCGACGAAGTAATAGCTCGCGAAATGAATGAGAGAGTGAGTGAGTGAGTGAGTGAGTGAGTGAGTGTGTGTGTGTGTGTGTAAAGTTCCGTAGAAGTTCTAATTCGTAACGTTACGTGTAGTATTTACGGGTCGTTATTACAATTAGCTGGTTGGTTACACGCCGAGAGAATATTATTTGTCGGGAAATATGTTTTCTTCGACAAAAATTAGGAGACTCGTAATTCACATTAGAGCTAAGAAACGGCCGGACGCTTTTGGATAGGCCGCGGAATTGGACGTATTTATCATACTAGTGCTTACGATATCCTCGTTGAATATGCCAAAAACGTGTATTATAACATGTATCTAACCTACTTTGGATTTTAAGGAATAAACTTCTACACTACTGCAACAAACAAAATGCACCGACTTGACAAACGTTTATATGTTTTATATACGAATAGTAATATATTGTATCTCACCACTATTAGTCACTAGTACAGTAGACGTACACAAAAGTTTTATTTTTGTATCAGTTTGGAATAAATAAAGTTATAAATGTCCCGCGACCATATGGCCAATGTAAAAGAAAAAAGAAAAAGAAATACTGCTGGTATTAGTTTGACGCGCGTGTTCGGGAGAGAATGTCATTCAGTTTTAAATAGTATAGTCTCGCCTTGTAAACCATAAAAATACAAAGCATATAGAGTTTCATCCTTAATTCAACTCGTATAAATATATCAAGTGTATTGCAATATTGTGTTGGTCTGTTGTTTTACTTGGTCCTGTCTGCAATTTTACCATAATAGCAATAATGGCCGACGTCGAATTTTGGCAAACCATAAACGAAAATCACTACAACAAAGTACACTACTATACGCCTATCAAATTCGGCACATTTTATATTATTTACTTTCGAGTAGTCATTTTTACAACTACGGCAGTTTTAAAGCAATTCCTCGAACGTTTTGTATATGATCCAATATCGTATAAATTACTTATGACTTCATAATGTTATACGTTCTATTATATTATTTATGATAATTATGTGGTTCAACGTCGTTGCAAAATTTATATTCCGATTCTAAAACGCTTTATATCGATATTTTATTTGTAACGTTTTGTAACTGTTAACAGTGCAAACGATGTGTGTTATAGTGTTAATTGACATTCAGTCGTGAATACGGGTGCCATATTTCAAATGGAGATGTATATTTTCTATTGTGTGTGTCAGAAATATTATTAAAAAAATGATAAAATACATTTTATCTATCCTAAGGTAGCCATATACACTGTACATTAGTTGTGACGAATGAATACATATTTATGTTAGAGATGAAGCGTAAAGAAAATTGTAATTTCCATAACAGTAGTTATACACAGAATTTACCTTTTTCGATAATCGATACTCAACCCGACTCACAGATAATATAGTTTACAATTAGTTGCACTATTAAAATATAAAATACAGAAATGCAATATTAGTGATTCATAAAGATACAATATTTGTGTAAGAAATTAATTTATACAATGACTAAACTTCAAAGAAACGTTCAAATTTAAAATAATAATACTAAACACGTAATAAAATTACAAAAAAAAAAAATGAAAACTTGATAACAAAAACGTTTCTAATTTTGATCGTAAAATACGTAGGTATTTACATTAGTAAATTTATTATAAATTCTGGTATTACTAGTCTGCACATCTTAATTTTTTGTTTTACGATTTTGACATATTACTAATATGCATTTATTCAGATATTTAAATATCCTTGTGGGAAGGGTTCAGAATACACTCACGGTATTTCTCCATGTCATAGGAGGCGATAAATAGGATTTGCGTCAATTCGACAGTCTGTATAAAATGTTGTCACAGAATGAGTAGTCCAAACAAGGTTATTTTGCCCAACCCCGAATAGTCGGGATGGAGGTCGAGAAGAAAAAGACTGTTTAATAATATGATAGAAATATTAGATCCCAGAAATTTCAATTCCAAATTAATATCTATAGTCGATTAGATTTTTTTAATCTAACGAAAGTCAATTTTAAACGACAAAATGTGTGTATCGTTTTTATTATCATTTAACACAAATAATTATGTTTGTTTAAAAGGTGAATTATAAAAAAAAAAAAAAAAATGAATAAATAAATAGATAAATGACTAATATTTGTTGACGTTCGAAGAATATTGTTGTATACACTTGATAATTCTCTTTTGACGAATGTCTATGCAACTCGACACATACGTATTATTTTATTATATTTAGTTTTGGCTGTGGTCGTGGTGGTGGATACCACCGCATTACTGTTATAATAATGCATAACCCGCATTATAGGTCTGTAGATATACCGATTTTATAATTAAACCCCCCTGTATATTACAAGTTTGTGATCGAGACAGAAAAAAAAGTGATAAAATTTTGCATAATATTCTTTGGGCTGGTGCGCTCGTGGCATAGAACGCATGTGCGTGCGTGTACACGCGGACACACGAGCACGTAATGCCGTCGATGCCGGCCGGCGGCGAGCTGGGTAAAATGAGCACGCGGCTCTCTGCCCCGATGATCGATCGGCTTCGCGCTTGCGCTTTACGCCCCTCGCTGCAGAATGCGTGCGTTAATCGTGCACCGCCACGGGTTTAGTTTTCGCCCTTTTTATTTCATTATTACTTTTTTTTTTTTCCACATTTATTATTATTATTTTTTTTTCCTATATACACTTTATATACCACAGCCCTCTGCTAGTGCAACGAAAAATTAATTGTATTATTATATTATTATGTAATGGCCAGAAACACTGACTTTCAGACAGGTCATTCGTGACCCCGTCGTGCACGCATTATCCACCGGGACTGCCACCGCCATTCCAGTCGGCCACCGTTGACCAAACCGCCTTGTACTATACCTACCTATATAATATTATTTATTATTATTATTATTTTTTTTTTTCTGAGTTAGTTATTACCCGCTATAATAATAATATTATAACCTTATATACCACAAGGGATTCGTCGGGAAAACGCACCTATTCCTACGTAGTTTTATTAATTTAAAATTTTTTGATTAAAGTATAGTATTCTATTTTTCGATTTATTTCTGATGTGTACATTGCGATCGTAATTTAGTTTTTCGAAATTTTTCAAAGTAACTACCCATCTGTACTCCTCAAATCCGTCCTTATATTGTTTATTCGTCAATAGTTATTTATTGAAACATTGATAAGAATTGAAAATAAGGTCCTATTGATATTAAAAAAAAGTTTCATAATTCGCATAGAAACAACATGAAAAATAAATTTCACTTTCAGAGATGAAAAAAAGCCCATACATTTTTTTTTTCATTTCTACTGTCAAATAGTAAAAACTAGATTTGAGCCTTGTTTCTTGTCGGTGTTTCAATTGTAATAGCCTCTTGTATCAAATGATGTGATCAATATGTGAATATTGATTATTTCAGCTACTTCAGTATACATTTAAATTTACTATTAAAAATGTGAATATTTGATTAAAATTGAGGAAATTAAAATTTATCTATTTATCTACAATTTTTTTTATAATAATTTAATATCATACATTTATATGCATTTTAAATAAAACAATTTTAAGTGTTAAATTTGAACTATTTATTTGCTATAATATTATCATAACAATATACTATTAGACTAAATAGGAGTACATAATATTATTATGTTGTTAATTTATACAATATCTATTTATAAACAATAGTATTATTATCCTAATTTATCTGTTTGTTTAAAGTGTCTTGTTGTAAAGATAAGAAGTAATTCATTCAGTAAAAATATTAGATTTACATAATCAGAAATGGGTATACCTAGTATTGTTTCTATTATTGAATGCACAGTGATTATAATATTTAAATGATTAATATGAAAGGTTTATTTATAAAAGAAATTAGTAATTTATTGTCGAGTCGTTCTCGTGTCAAAATTTGTCAAGCATTGAAAAACTAGACACGCGGAATGATGAACTCATTGGTAATTGACGTCACGCATCCGTATTTTGTTCCCACCCTAACCCATTATCATGTCTGCTGGAATGTATTCATAAATTGCGTGGTCTATTGACGGAAGTCAATTTCGCTAGTAGTTAATGCTACCCTTCTCTCTTCATCCTGTCAGCTAACCGTGTTGATAGATTAACAAGTTAATTGCATTGGTTTTCAATCGTATAGATAAATTATTAAAATTATACAGCAATACAATATCCTGGTATTATTGTTATAGACATTAGACACTATATACTTATTAGTTACTGAGTATATTCTCCCATTCTATGATAATATGTTCATTTTATACGTTTAATAAGGCATATCTTTTTCATAATATTTAAACTCAATGTATACATAATATAATTTTTAATGACGATAAGTAATATTGTAATTAATTATGTTACAATTCATTATGCAAGGCGTACATCGAGGGAAAAGGGACCTAAGCTTTTCAATACTCAATGCAAAGAATTATATTTTAGTTTTAATCAAAACCAAATGAATCTTGATTTAAATGGTCGTGTACTTTATAATGCATTTGTCCCTCTTGGATTTTCTTAGCTCTCGCAGGAAATGTACACTCATCATATTGTATTATACCATCGTGATTTGTTTATTGTAAATATTAATTTATACTTTATTTTTTATAGCATTTGTGTCGGTCGAGACCGGAGGCCCTAGCCGTACAAAATGAATGAATTGGACTCATTAAGGCAAGAGGCTGAAACGCTGAAAAATGCCATACGAGTAAGTAAATGAAAAAAATAATAACAATAACACCAAAAATTGTTCTTTAGGTTATTATTTGTGATTAGAATTAGAATATCATAATATACATATTATATGTTTAGTATTTTCATATTATAACCAATAGAAGCAGTGTTCGAATTGGAAAAACTGAAAAATGTTTCAGTACCCGTAGAATACTTCGTGTTTCCCTCATACCCTACACAATAAGATAATTAAATAATTATTTTCACAACACAAAATATAAAATACTTTATCATTAATACCTAAATTAATCTTATTATTATTGAACAGAAAAAACACTTAAGTTTTGAAAACAAATAGAAATTTAAGTTTATCCCTAGCTTTTGGTCTGATAAAAGCAGTCAGACAATAGGAAAATTAAAAGTCGTAATTATCTGTGAGGGAATACTAACAAAAGTTACCTATATGAAACGTTTTTCGATATTTTTACTTTTTGTTCCCTTCGGATTCAAAAGCTAAGCTAGAGATAAACCGAATTTTAATTTTGAACATCAATAATAATCAACCAATTTTGTTGTACGAAAGCGTTTCTGGGTTAATTTAATGAAGTATTATCGACAAAGAAAATTACCAAAAAATATATTTTTTTTACCCTTATTAACTAATTTTAATCATTTTTTTTTATTACTAACCAATTTAATATAAATATATATTTAATTTTTAAACAAATTGTTTCTTGTCCCTAACTTATTCAAACTTAACTTTCCTGAAAAAGTTGTATTTAGTCATTACTCTGGTATTAAACCGACAATATTATATACTTGTTTGTATGTATTTTATATGTAACATAGAAATAGATAATTAATTTTTGTTTTGATATTTCATATAATTTTATCGCTTTAATACTATATAATCGCTTGAATGCATATTGCCTGTATATAATTAAATACCCGTTAAGGTTTTGGAAGATTTTGAATTTATTATTTTATTTTATTTATATTTCTAACAATTGCAGTGAAGCTGCTCAAAATAGTTACGTTAAAATTGTATTTAATTTTACACTTTGTAAGTGTACTTTTACTCTTTTCTTGTACAAGTATAGGAGTGACGAATTCATATTTATTGATTTACAATTTCCCTCGGTGGGGTCTCTTATACCTATTAGTAATTATATATTTATATAGGTGTTTTTCAATACGCTCTTCTGTTTAAAAAATCATGGCCATTGATTTTTGTTTTTTCTAATAAATTCATAAATCGAGCGTTTAATACACGAATTTTTCACTGCAATAATAATGTTCGGCATCATTGAATAAATTATTGTGTATTTCGATGATGTAACAACACGAATATATTAATATACAATAATTTTTTTATCAAAACGTGATTCAATTGTGAAATTCATCATACATATGGAACTATGATTATTGAACCCGCAACATAAACAAACATATAAGAAAACCGTTTTCATGGCAATGTCGAAAGTCCTATCCGCCCGTTATCTGATTCCGTCGTAGGTGATATAATTACGGTTCCGTAGAACGTTATGTCTATCAGGGACGGATTGAGCAGTAGAGTTACCGACAAAAACTCGGCGGTCGCGATCAATTTTCTGTTTTTGGGCCGATTAACATGTATATAAATAAAATATGTTATCTATAATCATTATAATCTTAGTCCTCTTAGCTTGGACATCATTCAAAATAAACGTGGCCAATATTATAATAGGGCTGTATCAATGTATTGTATTCAGTGGAATCCGTTTGTAGCTATTTGTAAATTCCCCCCCCCCAAAAAAAAAAAAAAAAAAATATATATAAATACTCAAATGAGAGCTGAGTCGCTTCAGAGTAATAACTCGCGTGTTGTTGACGAAAAGTCGTCAATGATCAAACAACGTCGGAAACACGCCTATTATTATCGTCGTCCACTGGCTTCTGGCGTCTCTGGTAGGAAAAACCCTCGCGCCCCGGTCGTCACCTCCCACCGAAATTTGCAGTTTGGGCAATACGCGCCGCCGCGGTATAGGGTGTGTAATAGGTTGAGAACGGGACCGCGAAAATTATTATAAAAAGAGACCGTGTGAAAACTAAATGACGATATAACATATTATTTCCGTCGGAAATGCGCACCGTCGTCGTCGCCGTCGAGTATTCATGCGATCACGTGTTGCGCCGGGCATGTCGTCGGCAGGCTCCGCTTGTCGCCGCCTTCGTCATCGTCTCTCTCGTCGTATAATACACACATTTTACACACGCTCTCGTACGCGATATGCGCATGCTCGACTTTGTATACAGAGTGATCGATCTTCATCCGCGCGCCGCCATTATCTCGGAATTTTCTATCGGCGAAATGGCTTAAGATACGCGATTCCCGTAATATTTTACATCACTTTCGTCTCCCTCCTCCCCCCACCAAACACGCGCGCGTTCTTTTTATTTTCACGGATATACCGCTTTTTAGTTTTGGTCATTAACGGCGGCATAACGAGCAGGCACTGCGGTGGTGCCTGTATTTCGTCTACGGCTGCAAACGATTACTTCCAAAACGCCGAACGCGATTTCCGCCTAAAGTCTTATCGTCAATATTTGCGGAATTTCCCGATGTAGATTGCCGTTCGGAAATCAAAGCGTGTCCGCGGCGGATGATCGATCACTCTGTATAAAACGGTTCGTAGTATGTTTGTGCGCGCGCGGAGAGTTAGTTCGCCTACATGATGCGGCCAACGTACGCAGGTCTGCGGCGGCATTATAATGTATATAATGTTCACGCGTATATATATATATATATATATATAAACACGGCGGCGTTGGCCAGCGCGCGCACACACGCACACGTCTACAAGTCGCGCCCGTTCCCGAATCGAGCGGCGGCGGTAGTAGCGCCGTAGTGAGAGAGAGCGAGTGAGCGAGTGAGCGAGAGAGAGCTTTTGCAGCGGCGGCGGTATAGGGTGTCACGCGAAGTGTAGGCGAAACGACGGTGGAAACAACGCGAAGGGGTCATGCGAAAGCCGGCCGGCAGTCTCGCTCCCCCTCGGCCGCCGCCGCCGTCTCGCTCCTCAGGCCACACCTCTCTCACCGCATCTGCAGTCTTGTACGCGGCGGCGGCGGCGGACCTCTTCTCCCTCACCGAACATCGCCTGACCCTCTATGCCGATCCCTCCGCCGCCACCGCCGCCGACTATCTAGCGTGCCCGTCGATCAATATGGCGTTGTCGCCGCCGCCGCCTCCACCGCCGCCGTCTCGTGCGGGTGCGCCGCCGCTGCCGTTGTTTGACTTGCTGCACGACGAGGGATCGTTCACACCGGCCAATTCGCCCCGCCGGAATATATAATGAAAAATGTTTAAAAGAAAGAAAAAACCACCGCAGGCTTATTGGGTTTAAAATTTTAATTTCGATCACGAGATAAATTTCATCTTTTACTATAAAATCGGACCAAAGCCGTCGTCGGATACATTCGCTTAATTTTCATTCCGCAATTAATTAATTTTTGTGCGTCACATTAACAAAAAAAGGATAATGCCAACTCGGCACTCAGTATAATAATCGATAAGCCCCGTTGTACTATCTCCCAAAATTTCAAACGATTTAACAAAAACGGTATTCACATAGTCTAGTTCTTCCCAGCAATAATAATAATTGATAACATAATAACTATCGCTTTGCTAGTGAAATGTAATTTTTCAAATTGTGTACCATCTCTAATCTAACCATTGAGTCAATACTTTAACCTTTTATTTCATTATTTCAGAAAAATGAAAATAAATTGTTTGTTTTGATTGCTATAATATCTGTATAATATTATCAGGCACGGATTAAGGGTTGTGGGGGCCCTGGGGCCCATATTAGTACGGAACCTACTGTATTAAAATGGAAAACTTAGCAAAAAAAAAAAAAAGTCATCAATTAATTTGTATACTCTTGAAACAAGGTATTGTGTGTTTAAATCTAACAAATGAACAAAGTAAAAAAAAAAAAAAGGTTCTCAAATATTTAATTCAACTCATAAAATGGTCTTTGTTGGTTCTATTTCTCGTGGGCCTCCGCCCTTCCCCCTAATCCGGGCCCGGGTATTATTGCATATAGAATTTATAACGAAAATCAATAAGATTTCTACTAAGAACCTGGGCTTAAATTGAAAAAATAAAAGAAGTTTGCCTCTGAGACATAAAAAAATTAGAGTTTTAGCAATGATTAAACTTAACCAAACTTCTAGGTAATAAGGTAAACCTTAAATTTACGAGAAAAAAAATATTGAACTACTTGCCTCTCCCCATTTCTTACACTGATAATAACTTGAGTATAGAATATACAAGTATTATATAATATAGGAAACCATAATTTTGAGTTAACTAGATTATTACCAATTATTATTTTACTACTTAGGTATATAGATTTTGAATGAATTTATAGAATTGCATGAATTAACATAAACAATTTAATTTAAATTTGACGCAGTAATAAACTATTTCTGAAATACTAAAATAAAACTTAATTAAAACCATAGCTGTTATTTAAATGCATTGGAGATACTTGCTTAATATATTTTGGTGCATGTACGCAATGCATAATTTTAATTAGTTTATATTTTAATTTGTATTCAATCTTCTGGTCTTCAGATAGAAACTTATAAGGATGCAACATATATTCTTATTATATTAATAACATACTAAAAAAAAAAAAACATTTTTTTATTTTATTCAGATATAAATTTAGTTTTAAGTTTAATTTATTACAATTTTAAAGAATATCTAATATATCATTAGTATTAGTATATTTTATTTGTCTATCCAAAGTTTGTTAATCGTATTATTATTTAAATTAATTTAATATAAAATGTAAACTAGGTGTTATACTTCAAATAAAACAGTGATATTCAAACCAGGTTTATTAAACATTTTGAATTTTAATTGTAGGATGCAAGAAAAGCAGCATGCGACACAAGTTTGTCGCAGGCAACCACTAGTATGGAACCGGTCGGCCGGATACAAATGCGAACTAGGCGTACCCTTCGTGGACATCTCGCCAAAATTTATGCCATGCATTGGGGTTCTGACTCCAGGTAATTAAAGTCTCTTTAGTGACAATTTTAGTTTTATTTTATTTATAAATATTTATAATTTTTAAATACTTATTTTTAAACTAATTTTGCGTTAAACAATATTGTTTCAGAAATCTAGTATCAGCCTCACAAGATGGAAAGCTTATCGTATGGGACAGTTATACGACAAATAAGGTACACGCCATACCACTTAGATCTAGCTGGGTAATGACGTGTGCATATGCCCCATCAGGCAGTTTTGTTGCTTGTGGTGGCTTAGACAACATATGTTCAATTTATAGGTACATAACATCATATTTTATTGAAGCAAACTTAATAAAGTATCATTAATAATTTATTTTAATAATTTCAGTTTAAAAACAAGAGAAGGTAATGTAAGAGTTAGCCGAGAACTGCCAGGGCACACAGGTTACCTATCATGTTGTAGATTCCTTGATGATAACCAAATTGTCACGAGCTCTGGAGATATGTCTTGGTAAATATTTGAGTCTTACAATATAATATTTTTTAATTTCTTGGGATTTCTATAATTTATTCACCTACTATCCAGTTATTAGTATCAAAGTTTGGATCTATCACTACTGTAGTATCCAAATTATGATATGTTTTTTAAGATTCATCTACTGATAACATTTAAAGAAAATGAAGTGTTACATTTCTAACACACTTTACACTGTTTATATCATTTATTTCTTCAATGCTATTTTTAATTAATAATTATTGCCATATTTTATAATTATTTATTTCAACTATAGAAATACCAATTTATTAAACTAAACTTGTTTTTAGTGCATTATGGGACATAGAAACTGGCCAACAGTGTTCATCGTTCATTGGACACACTGGTGATGTTATGTCACTCTCAATGTCTCCAGATATGCGGACATTTGTTTCAGGAGCTTGTGATGCTTCAGCAAAAGTAAATAATTAATTTTTTTCAATTAAAGTTTTACTTATTATATCTTACATGTTATATATTTGGTATTATTTACATTAATTTGATAATGTATTAATAATAATAATATTTATTTATTTAAAAGTATTTGTATAAACAAGTCAATTATATACTGTTTTAAAAAAATTTCAGTTATGGGATGTTCGAGATGGAACATGCAAACAGACGTTCCCAGGACATGAATCTGATATCAACGCAGTCACCGTAATTATTTGCGATACAATACATTATTTAACATTTTTTAGGAATTGTATACTGAAGTGTATATTATAATATACTACTTTATCTTGTTGAATTAAACAATTTTACATTAAGAATACTTTAATAATATTCTAAAAGTTATTGCAATGTGTACATTTTTTTTTATTACATAAAAAGTTTAGTATACATATATATATATATATATTAAAATTAATAATATGTTTTTACTTCTAGTTTTTCCCGAATGGCTATGCTTTTGCTACTGGCTCAGACGATGCTACCTGCCGTCTATTTGATATTCGGTCTGACCAAGAACTAGCCATGTACTCTCATGATAACATCATATGCGGCATAACATCTGTATCATTTTCAAAATCAGGACGTTTGTTATTAGCAGGTTATGATGATTTCAATTGCAATGTTTGGGACTCAATGAAAGCTGAACGTGCTGGTTAGTAAATTTTAATTAATTAATGCAACTTAAAAAAATATATATAAGAAAACTATAAGTACTAATATTTATATAGATTTTAGGTAGGGCTTGAGTTTCAACCTGTTGCCAGATACTCCCTACTATGGCCACTAACTTTTATTTTATTTGTAATTTGGTATTCAATATTATGGTTATTGTTGTATTTATCTACATCTGTATTAATTTATTTACTAGGTAATATCAATTATTTCAAAAACAGTACATTGCATAAAATTGCCATTAGATGGTCATTTATGGTTAAATTTTTTTTCAACAACCATAAATAGATTAAATCAAGAATTTATAAAAACAAATTCTTAAGAATATAGGTGGAGACTCTGTCCTACACATATTAATTAAATATAAAGTGTAAGATAATAAAATAAACTAAAAATAATATATTTAAATAGTAGCGACTTCTTTGATATTATTAATAAATTTTACATTTAATAGGTGGTTATTAATTCTTAGCTACTTGATAAGTTCCAAGAGAAACATTAAATATATTATTAGTTAAATTATTTAATCTAAAAATACCTAAACAAACATATTAAATACTGGTATAAAAAAATCTTTTTCCATTGTCATCAAATGTAATTTATTGATACAAATCGCATTGGTACTTAAAATGTACTAAAATAACCTTAAAATTCTAATCACTATACATCAAATATTCGCTGATATGATAACAAAAATTATTTTAAATTTTTAATTTACAATTAATGTTGTTAAAATGTTGTTAAATAGAAAAATGTATTTTTATATATTGAATTTATGTTGTGAGTACATTAATGTTTATTAATAATATTTACTATTTTATTAAAACATAAATATTGTAAGTTTTTAATATATTAAAAATAAGATGCCCAGTAAAATAGCATTATAAATGAAAAATATGTTTGATTCAAAAACTTTTATTTTATTTTAGGTATATTGGCTGGTCATGACAACCGTGTCAGTTGTCTTGGAGTGACTGAAGATGGCATGGCTGTAGCTACTGGCTCTTGGGATAGCTTTTTACGTATTTGGAACTGAGTTGGCCCTCTGATGAGACCTATGAAGCCAAACGGTCCCTGAATTACAAACCTCCCACAATACAAAATAAATATATACAAATAAAACAAAAAAAAAAAAAACCCAAATAAAGTAAAAAAAAACAGTTCAAACATTTTTTTCTCAACGGGGGACCACTCACGCGAAATGAAATGTTTTGTTTTATTCACTTTAAGTAATCTCTAAGTTGCATTATTCAAAATCAAATACCACCCGACATGAAGGTCTTCCGTTTGCGCATTTTGGGACAAGTGTCCGCGGCTGTTTAGGTGCTCAAAAAAACAAAACCGTGGCAACACAAACTATCTATGGAAACGTAGCCTTTACAATTATATTTACAACATAATATACAGATGTATATACAACATATATATATATATATGTTTTATTTACAAAAGTATATGTATTTATATATTTAATATTATAAATATATATATATATACAAACTAAAATAAGTATAAATATTTATATCTAAGTCATAAAACTAGAATAGATCAGTATTTATTAAAGATATAAAATGCTAAAAAAAAAAATTATATTCCTAAAAAGTTTTTTTAACGAGTGTTCATATTAAAAATAATTTTTAAAACAATAAAAAACAACTTTATATACATTTCTATGTAAATATTAGTAAATTAAATCTTGTGTATAATATTAAATATTAGTCTTAGTTAAAATATATAATCAGAACTGTGTGCATTTTTCATTTAATAAATCTGAACTATATATTATTTTCACTGAAAAGTTTTAGATTTTACACCATTATTGGTTTTTAAAAATGATCAGGTGTTATTTATACAAAGAAGTTGATCAGTGACAGTCTGTTTCCATTGCAATGATCAGCTGTTTTTCTTTGCTGATACCCATATATATTTAATTATTTTATGTTATGTATAAATTTATAAGTAAATATTTTGGGTAAAACATTAAGATCAACTTCTTAAATTACTTAGATTTGCCTTAAAAGTTTTGTAACACCACGGACGGCCTTCATGAGGGTTGTGCTCTGATCATACACATATTTTGGTTTTCATTATAAACAATTTTCTTTTAATATATATATATTAAAAAAAAAAAAAAATGTATTATTATTATTTTTTTTTTTTACATTCTAATGCACACATTATACACATTTTTATATTACATAACCAGTTTTTTAAAAGCATTTATACCTATTAAAACATACGTGTGAGTTGATTTTTAAACTGTCATGCATTCATCAATAGAATTAATTTTAATTAATATTAATATTATTGTTAATTTGTAAACAAAACCATTACGTTAGCATTATGAATCTGATAAAACTTTAAGTTTTGCCACTATAAATCTATTGGTGGCCATTATTTTGTATTATTATTATTATTATTATTATTATTATTATGATTATGATTATGATTATTATTATTTAATTACTTAAATCTTTAAATGTCCACGAATTATTAAAATAATAATTAAATTCTCCATATAAATTTACCGACACCATTGTTTAGATGTACTAGAATATTCTCACGCGTATCTTAAAATTCTTATTGATAATAATGGTGGTGGTAATATTTTCATTTTCAAAGTAATTTGGTATGGTATAGCTAACACTTAGTCTCCATATTTTTGGTGAATTTCATTTATTAATAAATCTGATAATTTAATTGTTAATTTGACATTTGTCAATCATGCAGAAGATGTGATGCTTAGATCTTTCAGAAATGCATTGGAATGTACCTAATAATTTATTTTATCTTTGTATACATGCATTTTTGGTCAAACACTAAAAAAGATTTTTTTATATGAATTCACTGTATACTATACCATGTGTTGTGTTCTATTTCGTTAGCTATCTGATTCAGACATTTTTTCTTACAACCTGAATAATTATCAAGAAACAAACCTTTGCTAGTTTTATGATTTAATATTTTTATAAGCATATATTTTTTCCTAAAAATCTATGTATTTCTAATAAAAATTTCATTGAGTATGAGATGAATGTTCATTGAACATTAATGACGACCACATGGTTAATTGTTTGGAAATAAATTTTTCTTTCAACTTGAATGATCAAGGTGTATAATAATTTATGATCATACAAACCATAAAATTAAATAAAAGTATTAACTTTACTTTTAGATTATTATGTAAAAATAAAAAATTATACAATTAATTGCATGTATGTTTCTATACGTACATATACATAGATATACATTAATAATAATATTAATAGTATGTACAAATATCAAATTTATAATTACATTTTTTTGCTTAACCGAACATTTTTGTAAACATTTTAATACATTCAGTACTTAGAAAATCGTATAGTTTATCGTAATGATTTTGTGTTCTTCCTTCGTTTTGATTTTGTTTTTGAGTGTGTTACAGTCATTTTTTGAAATTTTTCTATAGTACGTATATTTTATAATTAAAAAAAAAAAAAAAAAAATTATCAATAGGATTACATCTTACCATCTAATATTATTATGTAAATATAAAATAGAAATTACATAATTTACAATTATAATTATAATTTTCCCCCTCCCGGCAACAATTTGATGTCACAAACTGTATCATATAGGTACTTTTACTATGGTTATAAATTATAATTATAAAATTACTAATTATAAAATATTACAACTTTAGGTCTTATGTAAAGATAAGGTCTTAACATTATCGTTGTACGATAACTATTAAGGAATCAAGAAAAAGAAAAATATTAAAAAATATTGCAGTAAAAGAATATCGCTGTTTTTGTCGAATTTCTAATCATATTAATTTAAATATAAGTTAAGTTATCATTATTAATTTTTAATTTATTGCCAAAAAGGAAAAACACTACAAACCAAGTAGTTTATAGTGTCTTGTATTTTTTTTTTATTTCCTTTTTTTTTTATCGCTATTTCGTTTATTTATTTATTTTTTAAAATGTAAGTGTAATAAGTTTGTCATGGTAAAATAAAATAAATATTTAACATATTCAAATATGTTAAGTGTTATTTAATATGCTTTTCACACATTGCCGTTGATTAAATAATTAAAATACTTTTAGAGCATTCTTTAAATTTTAATTTATTCTCACAACTATTGACCACAAATGTACTATTTAACAATATTTATTATACTGTTTTGATTGAAAAATTTAAATCAATAAGATTTAAATGTACTAGTTGACTTTATCTGGTGTTTACTAAGGGTATCCTTATAAATAAAACTTTTACTTATTTCCCTGTTCTCACTCTCACCTCTATGGCAGTTAAGGTTGCCTTAATCCTACAGTATGTTGTACCTTATATAAATACATAATATGTATTTATTTATAACATTATTTAACCTCCCTTGGTTTATCAAATTCTAGTAGACAAGGACAGCATGTTAACCACGAAAACTGAAAATCGACTAGTTTGGTAATAATCACGTTTTAAAATTATCTTTTGAATTTATCTTAAATAATACTGAACACTAAAAGCATTATTGTTAATTTATAAATGTGTTAATTTCTAATGCGCACATTATAATATTATGTCCACAAATGAATTAATATAATTTGATGGATAGTCATGTGAAGAATTGTCATCTTATAGATATTTTATTATTAATTATAATTGCTGATGAAATGATGACTTATATCATTAATTGTATCCTTTGGTTTCAAGGATGAAAAACTGAAGTAAATTTCATAAAAATGTCCAAAAAGAAATGAAGAAAAATGACAGATACTATGAAAATATATGAATTATGAAATATTACAGAAAATCATGGTGCAATTATTTCTTCTCCTTCATCCCTACTATTTGTGGTTAGTCACTGTGTCTTAGACTTCCATATGACTCAATGTACCCTTAATATACCAGTTATTCTCATATTCATAATTGCATTTAAAAACTTTTTACTCGGTCTTCCTTTTCCCTTATTTCCTATTTTGTTTATTTTCGTTACTACTATTACATCTTTCAATTACTCTCTCCTAATTACATACCCAAACCATTTTGTTTATTTTCTCTAATTTTGTCTACTATTAAAGTTTATACTACTAGCTTATACTAGGTATCATTTATTTGGTGACTTCAGCCTTTTTTTCACGTTTTTTTTTTCTTTTCAGAAATTGGAATATTTTTAATTTAAAATTTCAAAAAAAAAAAATTATTTATTCAGAAGTGTTTTGTAACCATACATAATCATTTCAATTAATTTAAAATTAAAATAAACCAATGAAGTTTTCATCCATTTCTGAAAAAACTGGTTAACCATTTGGTTTATTTATATGTTGATACTTTTTTTTTTAAATAGTCACCCTTTTTTGTGCTTTTTGGTATTCCATATTTTTCGGCCACTTTTCTTAAGCCCGTTCGGTTTTCTTGTATTCAATTACAACATTTTATAAAATATTAGTTTCATAATGTTGATAAGAATGTCCACCTACCTTTTTTTTTATATTTTCCCATTGTCTAAAGTAAGACTAGATTTTATTCTTTTATTTTTCACTTATACATGTATATAAAATACAAAAAACACAATAAACAATTTAATAATATATTAGTTCAATGATAAATACATAGTGTGACTCATGTTTTTTTAAAAAATAATTTGACAGAAAATATGTCTACGAAAATTATTCAAGCAGAAAAATATCTGACTAGAAAAGTATTTTAGTCGAAAAATAATTTATATGAAAATATAACAGACAAAAATGCAAGTACTCGTTCGTTTTGGAATAGTAAGCAAAGTAAAGCCCAAAAGTGTACGGTGTGTGAGCGGAAGCGTCCAAAGGGAATGCACCATAACAATACAATATATAAACAATAAATTGAATAATTAATATTTGTTTTTGTTGCCGAAATATGGGTGATTTTTTTATCGTTAAACAATCATCTCGGAAAGTATTAACTTTTTTCGGAATCTGTTTTATGGAAAATTAAACAGAAATAAGCAACTCTACAATTTTGCATTTACGTTGTGTTTTTCACCCAAATTGTTTGTGATGAAACGACTTTCTACTTTTTATTTTAAAATAGAAACCTATATTAAAAATCTCATAAATAGATCGAATATTAGATGAAATACATTTTGTTGTTGACATTTTTAATTTTACTATTTCACTTTTAAGTTTAGGTCGGGAGAAATTAATAGAATATCATTTATGTGGGACTACTACTCTCTTCCGATAATAAACTGATAAGTATAAAAGACATTTCCCCGTCTGACATATCCTCATCGTCGTTTCTTAGTCGGAAATTCCTTCGTCCGATTAATTTCCCAGTACAATTAACCTAAATGTACAAACAAAAAATAAGTGAATTTTAATAAATCAAAAATTTTCCTCCCTAAAGTACTATTTAAACAAAATTAATTTTCAGAAAAGGTGCCACACGGCACACGAATGCATATCGAAACAAGATTTCTAGTAGAAATTGTTGTCATGGTATAGAAAAAAAAAAACTAAAATAAATTAATATCATTGTTAGACTAAAATATTCATCGTTACAATTAGAATCTAAAAAATATATAGTTTTAATAATTTCAATTATCGAAGATAATAACTTTGTACATATAGCATTAACGTATTAAATAAAAAAAGAGCTGATACTGGGGACGGCTACTGTTGTAGGTGGGTTGCATAAAGTTATTTAATTTTTATCTTTAATCTACGATAAATATTTACTATAGTCTTCAAAATTTGGTTTTAAAGCTCTTATATAAAAAAAAAAAATGCTACTAATAAATGTTTTTAACCACTGAGTACGACTATTCATAAACTTCAGAGTACCTACCAAATAAAAATTACGTAAAATCTCGCAAAATTTAAATGTCTATAAATAGCTCAATAATTTCTCAAATTTACTGAACGTTTTACCACGTCTTGGAAAAGCTAATACCTATATGTTTTCTGTCAACATTTTAAGTCTCTGCGAATATTTTTAAATATTATTATGAAAAACACTTTAGATATTAAAAAACTATTTTCTCTGTCAGTGATGAAATATCATAAGGAACAAAATTGATATCTTGTCATTTTTGGATTGGAACAATATTCCTAGTAGAAAACATCATGTTAGGATAATAAAAATAATGAAAACCGTAACGCCGCGGCGCGCCGTAAATATTTGCCGTTTTAACTATAATTTTCTTTTGGATTTTTCCTAATTATTTCGAAAACCCCTTGGAAAATCGAAAAATGATCTGCTCAATGTACCAACGAGAGAAAATTACCTTTCAGAAAAGGTGCTATAGTCTATACTTCAGAGCAAGTTTTTTGGTAGAAAAGTTGTTCATGGACAGAAAAATACAAAAACCAATAGATCCATATGCTTCGAATCTAAAATAACAAACATTTAGAAGAATTTAACAATAATTTCTCAGAAATCAGAATCTAAATTAATAATTACAAATTTTAATACAATTATAGGTCATATGGGATAATTAATAATTTATTTATTTTGATCCGTTTTGTAAACAAATATAATTGTATAATAAGGATCCGAAAATCCCCACCGGATTGAATTGTGCCGTAGTCATTTTGATCAATTTTTTTTTTTTTTTGTGGGACATATAGGTCCGTTTTGCCCCCACATCGAAGTGTCCCCGGCAGACTTGTAAAATATACGATTAAAAGAATTTAAATACAATAATTTTGATAATTTTTCAGTATTCGAATTTACGAAAATTACTCGGTATTGTATTTAAAATATTTTTTAAAAACATTTGGGTATGAAATCGAATAATTGCTCTAAATACTTTTAAAGTGTACACAATTGTTTTCCAAATTATATTTAATTTAAACTTGTTGAATTTCATGTTGAAAGTTAAATGGATTCCAATTTTTAATTTATTTCTATTGATGGTACGTAATACAAAAAAACCCGATTATAAATATCTTTACTTATTAAGTAATTGTAATCCGGCTCGAGCGTCTATTTTATGCGGCCCGCTAGACGAAATTTAATTTCCTATTATATAACTACATGTATAACAAAGTTTCAAACATATTCAATAAAAATAATTTAACTGCACATTTTAATTGATCAGTCATGATAAAATATAACATTATGTGTGTAGTGTAGTGTGTGCTCTTAAATTTTGTTTATATTTTTATATTATTGATAAGATAAAGTTGGTAGATATTTACACGTTCTAAACCTAATCACAATTTATAGTTTTAATGTCAATCAGTTTGTTCAGTAACGTCGAGAGTCGAGAGCTTACAGAGTACTTTGTAAGTGCAATTTAAGTTATAGTTATTATAATACTACAAGTATAGTAATTGGTTTTTTGAGTGAATTTAAGAAATTAATGTTAGTAAGAAAAGAAAAATTGACCATTCTGGTTGTGCATTTCAAAATGGATCAATCAATATTTTGTTATCCAACATAAAGAAAAAGTCATGCGTCTTGTTCGTCGTGAATTCATTGCTGTTATTAAAGAATATAATATTAAACGGCATTATGATTCCAAACATAAGTTAAATACGAAGCTTTACACGGGCAGCTCAGGGAAATCGAAGTTCAAAAATAACAGAAATCTCTGACTGGAGAACAAACAATTTTCTCAAAGGTTACTGTTCGAAATAAATCCTTAATTTCTGCTAGTGTAAAAATATCTGCGTTAATTGCAAAAGAAGGGAAACCATTTACAGACGCAGAATTTATCAAAAAATGTATTTTAAGCATAGCCAGTGATATTTGTCCAGATAATGTAGATAAGTTTACAAAATTTCCTTTTATCTGCTCGTACTATTGTAACAAGAGGCGTTGAAGATATCGATGACAATTTATTAAATCAGTTACAGCTGAAAACCAAAACATTTCAATAGTTTTCGTTGGCCCTTGATGAAAGTACAGATATTATCGACTCTGCGCAGTTAATTATATTTTATTCGAGGAATTGATGAAAAGTTTGAAACAACTGAAGAAGTGGCTGCCGTATGTACTCTGAAAGAAACAACACGAGGTAAAGATATTTTTTTACACGTCCAAAACGTTTTATCATTATTATATCTTAAATTAGACAAGTTGGTAAGCGTAACCACTGGCGGAGCGAGAAATTTGACTGGAAAAAATATTGGATTACAGGCTATCATTCCCAATGAAATGAAACTAAATTACAAAGTTTTTTTTCGGTTGAAGTCGATGCAGAGTATGGCGGTGTATTTTACTACTCCGCCAGTTAGACGGTTAAGTGGAGGCCGTGTACTTGAGCGCGGTTCTTTATGTTACGTCTGAAAATACACGATTTTGATTGCTGCAAAACCCCGAAGCACGTTTGGATCAACGTACGTATGTGAACACGCCTTTTCTCACATGAAAAAAAATTAAAAACCCGCTCCGGTCACGACTAATTGATGACCACCTCCATCATTTAATTAGAGCTGGCACAAGTAATTTCGATGTAGAAATTGAAAAAAAATCGTGAGCAAAATCCAGCAGCAAAAGTCGCGATAAATATTTTTTCACACAGTTATAATTTCCACACTATTAAAAAACATCGTTTTATTTTTTTCAATATTAAAATTATATTCTTAAAAATTTCAAATTAAATAAATATAGCAGTATTTTTTTTTCCTAATAAATAAATAAACAAATAAAGGTATCAAATTTTTGACGCTTTAACACAAATATATGTGTTTACATAAGAAGATAAATTATTTAGCATACAACTATTTTAGTTGAAACTGTGACTAAAATCCCTTTTAACAAATTCCCATTTATATTATATACATATATAGTAAACAATGTATTTTATAAAATTAAATTAGATCAGATTAGATTAGATGAAGATAACAGTGAACAATAAAACGTTAATACAAGAGTTTGAAGACTATTAAAACGGATTAAAAAAAAAAAAAAATGTTCAAATTCATGATTTTTATTTTGATTTTGAATCTAGAGTTAGTTTCATTTTAACCTACATGTACCTACATGAACTAATTCATTTTTTTTTTTTAAAAAAATCAAGCAATGGTATGATTAAAATAAATTATTAACTGGTTATATAATAATTATCTTTTATCTATAGTTTAGAGCATAGAATTAATAACTATAATAGTTAATATAGGTAATTGGTTAGGTAAATTATATTTTACAGTCGTGATCATGCCAGATAACACTTCTATTGGACCAGTAATACGCTTGTTTTAGAGGGGGCCTTATCCATATTACACATGTCCCTCTGTGTATACCTGTGCTCTTGCCGCCGCTTAATGACTGCCCGCTTCTTGGTAACACTGACTGCTTCTGGTTTAATTTTATTTTTTATCATTATTAAGATATATTGTAAAAAGTTATGGGCACAAAATAGAAGTACTGATATCCTCGATTTTAAATAAGATTTATCTATTGCCTAGACTTATAATGGTGAAATTTTAGTCTCTAGTTTATTATTAAAAATCATAAATGCTTAGTGTTTTGTATCTATGATGATTTAAAATGAAGACAATTTGGCGCTGTAATTTTGAGTTTTGTTATCATTAGTAGTATTTTATCAGATGACCGTTACTATCATTATAAACAAACAATAAAGGAGCGTTTAGAAGAAATGAAATAAAAATGTGGTTTTTCGTTTGTTTATTCAATGCACATAATTACTGGCCACTGGCACTTGGGTGCATAGATAAAAAAAAACTTGGGTGTCTTTCTCAATCAGTTATCATTCAATATTCATGCAGTTATTTCGATAACATATTTTAATTGGAATAAAGTCAATTTAAAATTAGAAATATGTCATCGTCTTTTAATAATAGTAAGTATTGTCTTAAAATGTAAGTTTATGATTTACTGATATTTGGTTTTTAGCTTCTACTACTAGTACGGAACAAAATGATTCAATAAATAAATCAAAGAGTTCAAGGTCGAAAGACACACATTTACCCATATCGAGGGTGCGTACTATAATGAAGAGTACTCCAGACATTGAAAATATAGGATTACCATCATTACACGTTGTTACAAAAGCAACGGTAAGATTAACCATTTAACTATGCTTATAGCCATTGTTTTTATTTAATGTATTAATAGTGTTCATTTTTAAAAACAAATCAAGAAACAGTTTAGAAATAATTTGTGTTGTAAAAATTTACAATGAGTATACTTAAATTTGTAGTAATACAAATATAAATTATTTTAATTGTATTTACTGTATTATAAAAAGAATATACAACTACACACCAATGGCAATATGATATTAAAATAGAATTCCCATTATTATGATTCTAATCATTTTATGATATTTAAATTTGTACTCCTATAAAGATTATCAAACATTCTTTTACATTAAAAATAATTTTAAAATAATTTGTATACAATTGTGTTAAGACTTACTTAACAAGTTAAATAATATTACTAACAGTTCAATATATTTCATATTTATTTGAACGGATTGATATACAAATAAGTTTACATTTAGTGAAGATACTTTGTAAACAAGTATTAACCCTGAACTTGTCTAAATGACCGGAATATTTTATTTGTACAAATAACTCATAAAATGTTTTAACTGTAACTTAACTCAACTAGAACTTCTTGTATTAAACACTTTTAAATAGTATTTTATGAATTAGGTATTTTTAATTATTATAGCAAAATGCAAATAATACATTCAAGTTATTTACTTGCCTATTTGACAGTATCATGTGTAATGGCGTTATTATTTCTATAGTCATGTCGTTACGCGTTATATATTGCTGTATAATCAAAATATGTAGGATACTGTATCAAGTTATATATATTCAGAATAAAAATCATAGTTCATATATAGTTTTGAATATAAACAATAAAGCATTTTTTTTTTATAAAACTTTAAATGCATGTATACTGTTTAAATCAAAAATATAAAAATTATGAAGTAAAAGTTTGTAAATATTAAAATTGAGTTGATTATAATATGTACCTGGTCAAAATGACCATGTGCGTGTAATCATGTAATAAAATTTGGTGCAAGTAATGCAACGTCAATACAAATTGTTTTATTCTGTTGTTGTATATTATGTATTATTGTTTTCATAAGATAATTGATTTGATTATAGGAACTTTTTATACAAAAATTGGCATTGGATGCTTTCAAATTACAAAAGAATCATAGACATTTGGATTATAATGATCTTTCCAGAGCTGTCGAAGAAAATGAAAACATGTACTTTCTAAGAGGTAAATATATGATGTTTATATTATAATAAATATAAAAAAAGTTTTGAAATAATATGTTATGTAAATTTGATTTTGGTTTAATTTTATCATTTTAAAATTGATCTTATTTACAAAAGGTGCTGTAGTGGAGGGTATATGTCGGTATACCTTTTGGATAAGGTTATATATTCTGTTATAGTGACATTAGGATAAAAAATATAATTATTAATTATTGTTATTACAATTTTTGGTGATTAGAAAAACTAAGACTTAACGATGAAATAAATCATAACTATAAAACAAATACAATGAAACCTCTGTAACTCTAAAAAATGCCTTGGTCCCTGTATTTCAATAATTGATATGTGGGACACATTTTTTCAATAAGTCGAAGACATTTAAGATTAATATTTGTTTATAACTCTGAATTATTCGATATATATTGCCGAAAATTAAAATAATAAACAAACGGTTATCTATAATGATAACATAGATATGTATGTATAATAAAGTGTATAATCATAAATAACGATAATCGTAAATCGATTTTCAATATAATCTTTACTTATTGCTTAAAAGTTACAGTTATTAATATATAAATATAGATTAATTAATCTGATTTCTTAAAAAAAAAAATAGTACTATATAATTTAATTACTACCTATGTATTTATTATTTATTTATAAGAATACTTTTTTGATAATTTTAATACATACATACATTATAATACATGGTATGTATAAATAAATACAATTATACCATAAAGTCTTTGTGTTTTTAATAAAATATAATGTATTCTCGATAACTCAAATTTTTTTTTGCCCCCAACCAATTCAAGTGATCGAGGTTCCATTGTAATTTATATAAAATGCACACTCTATAGCAATGTACTGTAGATTAGATAATGAACAATCGTCAGTCAAGTAAAATTAAAGTTCTAATATGTATTTAATGTAAAAATAGAATTAATTTAGCCTGTATATTCATAGTATATTGAGAGGGGGGGTATACTTGTATACTTTCCTTAATTTTTCATTTTGCTATATTAATGTGTTACTATATGCCCTGCTTATAGCATAACCTCTGCTTTTTTATGACTACAGCACTGTTTACAATATTTACATTATTTCAACCCTTTTCTGTACATTATAAACACATTTTATTTTATTTATAATATGAAAAACTTTTGAAATAGTAATCCAGATTTTTAATCTCACAAATCTGGAATATATTTTTTTTAATTTTTATATACACAACAGTAATATCATTGTCTTTAAGATTGTGTGTGCATTAATAATTGAAGAAGTGAGGGGTTATAAATCTCTGTTAACTCTATTTAGTTTATAACTATTGTGACTTCAACCTTTTTTTTTTTTTTTTCAGAAGTCTTGCCTAAAAAAATTACCATGGCAGAATATTATAAATTGATCGGTAAAGAGTCTTCAGAGGAGGGAGAAGATAATGATAATAGCTCTCAAACATCAAATTCATCATCGTCTTCAGTTACCTCGGACAATAATTAGTTTATATTAGCCTCAAATGTATATTTGTTACACGATTTATTTTTTATTTTCCTATGCATTTTGTACAAGTATTTAAATTATTAAAGTATCATTTTATAAGTTATTGTTCATAAATGTTTTTTTCTCTTAACCGTTTTACAAATTTTATTTTTGAGTTATTTTCAATGTAGTCTGATATTAAATCATTATCACATTTTAACTTGATTCCACCACAACTTAACCAATACGTTTTCCATATTCTTTTCCAACTTATAATTGTTTTTTCACCTGATCTTTTTAAATTTAATGTCATTTTCCTCATAATGCTATTTTTCAAATCCATCACTTTTGCTCCAGTATTTTTGATCTAAGAATAATACATATAAAAAATAATGAACAGATATAGTAATGTGCACCATTAAATTATTGGTATACTCACAACAATTGGAATAACGATGCCGTCAAATCGTTCAAGGAAAACAGTAATTGCCCGCCCATGCTCTATATCAATTTGTAAATTGACTTCTTCTAATGTAACATTATTTGGCAGATCTCTTAATACATCGTCTTTATCTAAAACTTCATTTAAGATTTCGCTCGTCAAATCTTTAAGTTCCTCGTGACTAATTGTATCGACATTTACTGTTGATAGTTTTTGTAATGGTGGATCAAGGTCACTCATTGAAATTTGAAGCTGTAAAATAATTAATGTGAAATTAATACGAGGTCATTCAAACATGTTTTCAATTAGCTAATCAATTTTACTCAGTATGTGGGCTAGTGAAATGAAAATTATCACAATGGTGTTTCACGATGAGTAGTTATGCAGGTAGGTATAATAGGATTACATAAATAATATTCAAAACTGCGTTTTTCGTTACTTAATGACAATCATATAGTCAGTTAGCACAGCATCAAGTGCACATTTCATTTTAATACCATGCATATCAAAATACTTTTATGTTGATTATTGAACAAAATAATATTAATTTACATTTACAGACTTTATTTAAAACATTTATTTTTTTAAATTATAAATTATAAAATAATATAGTATAAGGTTGAATGTTGAGTGTAACTTCTCTATATGTTTTGTTTAGGGGACAGACATTTAGAATTGCTACATGAAACATGACCTATTTTATTATAATGTTTCAATGAGTTTATAGTTTAATGTAAAGAATTGTAAAAATTACACAATGTTTTATAATGATATTAATTTTTAGATTATTTTCAAGCTTGTGGTACAAGAATAGTGTCTCACCAATTGAATCAAAGAGGATGGCCACAGACTAAAATTATTGGAGGAACATCTACACCGTACGGAGCATATCCTTGGCAGGTAAATCTTATTTGATCTTTATTTATAATGTATATACATCTAATATAAAGTCATATAATTTTTTTAAATTCTTTTAAATAAAATAAATTACATATGTTTTATATATTTATATCTATGTACCTATATTGTAATTATTAAGGTTTCGAATGATTGAATTCAATCAAAGAATACAATTTTTCAATTTGAATTATAACTAGATATTTCAACAATTTAAAAAAAGAGCTTTATATTAGACCATATTAGACCATACCAACATTTTATGGTTTGAGAGTAAAGCACATAAGGGAAGGCTCAAGCTTCCAGAAATGCATGTTTAGATAACACATTAAGTTGATTGTTTACACTTAATGGTTCAATTAAATATAATCTGTACCTATAACTAATTTATTAATTTGACATAGTATTGCTATTTAAAATTTAAATTAATCATGCATTATTATTCACATTTATTTTCTGCATGATGTCAGTAAATATTACAATATTAATTAATTATTTATTTATTATGATCCATTTGACTAATCAAATAGTATATTTTCATATTATTAAATACAAATGTTAAAATTTTTATTTGTAAAAATAAAAATACCTAAGACTAGCTTCATTAGTGTAATGCACACTTTCACAAGAATATAAATTTCAAAAGCATCTAATAGATACTTTAGAAGATTAATTAATATCTAACAGTTAAAAATGTTAATTTTAATACAGTTTCAGTTGCTATTAACTTTTTGTTTTTGTTAAAATAATGTATAACTATAATATATTATAATGTATAACCTAAGAAAAGACATACCTAATAAAATATAATATATACATATTAATATGGTCTTATTTATAAGTATGAATTTAAAAAAAAAGACATTTTTTTATTATTCTATACAATGTTTAACTATGTTAATTTGTCAGTAAAATTAAACCTAAATGCACTAATTAGATCATAATATGTTTTTATTTATTTAATATGTCAAAAAAAATATACCTAATATAAGATAACAGGGTTAATAATATTTGGTACAGTTAAAACTTTTGCCCATTCAAGTCATTGAGGAAAAATAAAATCTAACGATTACCTACACACCATGGTTAAATGAGGTGAGAAGGGATGTTCACTGGATCACTTTATAAATAAATACTTAGGTGCCTAATTGAATACAATTTAAATTTGTCTTTGAATATTAGTAAGTATTAAATTATTTATTCGCTGACTTGCATTCCTTGACAATAGACAGCAATTAATTCTATTACTTACAGTGCTTACATTTAACAGTAATAATGTAACAAAAATAACAGAATTATAGTATGCTATAAACGCGGCTATTGTTCTACAGTTATTGATTGTCATTACTTATTATTATGTAAAAATTCAATAATTATTGACGACGAATGATGATAAGTGATAAATATTTTGTATTATTCGTACGGTTATAATATCGTTACAGGTGGAATTACAAGCGTACAAAGGAGGATGGGAACACCATTGTGGAGGAGCACTTGTTTCTGAGACTATAGCTTTGACGGCGGCTCACTGCCTTAAAGACTTGAAAAAATCGCAATTGCGTATTATTGTCGGCAAACATAATTTAGCAAAAAACGACAAACACGAAAAAATGTATAGAGTTCAAAAAGCATTAGTACACCCAGACTTTAGAAAAGGTACCTTATTAATATTTTTTTTAAAATCGCCAACCAACACGAACTACGTAATTTAATTTTGTTTTTCAACTCGACCAAAATCAAAATATTTTCAAGGCGATCAATTTATAAATACAAATTACAATAATAGGTTTATTAGTTTATAGATATATTATTTTTTTTCTAACTTTAATGGTTCACCCATTCGTATAAAAACGAAATTTTTACCAAACGAGTAAATTTTAAATTTCGATCAACGCTTTAATTTTGATTTATTTGCCGGTATAAATTTTTTATAACCACCCAATTACCAATTGTAAAATGTATTGAAAAGAACCTGCAGGTATCCGCGGGCTCTTAAGAGGACGTTATACCCGCATCTACTGTCTCGGTCCAATTACCGAGTAATAGGCAAAAACAATGCTTACACAGAACAAGTAAAACTAGCTTAATTCTGTTTTTAGTGTAAAAGTACCTATTGTGAAATTTATGGAGAACAATATTCTAGGTGTTTTTTGAATCAAGACCTATTAAAAACGTTACAGTTATTTAAAAGAAAAAAAAAGGCTTTTGTATTTTTTATATCGAGCTGTACATTTTGAATAATACAAAAACCCTATGACATCCCCTCCGAAATATTGTTTTCTTTAAATTTTATAATAGGTACTTTTACTCTAAAATCAAAATTAAGCTAGTTTCACTTATTCTGCGTAAGCATTGTTTTTCCATGTTACCCGGTAGTTAGATTGAGACAGTAAATGCGGGTATAACGTCCTCTTAAACATTACGTTAACTCATTCGGTATCAGCGATATTATAGGTATTAGTGTATCACCTATATTGTACAACATATTATACCACGGCGTATCAGAGTTCGGCCCCGAGTTGATAGCTCATAGTAATATCAAAAATTATATTAATTTAGAAATTACCCAATATTCTGTTACTCGTAGGAACTACAAAAAGACAAAATAACTCAACTGAAACGACTGTTATATTCGTTGTTTTTTTCATTTCTACAATTTCATACACAACAATAATGGTTTTTAACCTTTTTAACAATGTGGCACACTTCATCTTGTACAGTTTTCATGGGTAATCGGTTAAAAAAAAAAAAATACCGACAGAAATAAAGAACTGATTTAACGAGGCGTATTTCAAGGACGTTCACGACACACCGGTTGAAAACCACTGCTCTATGATATTTAGGTATGAGTATCATATTTGTGTGCATCACAGGCAACAAACAAATACATTTATTTGAAATTCGCCCGATAATATTTCCTGTGCCTCTTTAGTCGTCTCAGGGCGTACATCGATTCCGCCGGCTACGTTTAATAGTATACACATCGTCGAAAGAGCAAAATTCAATCCACACATTTGGACGTCAAGAGAAATAACATTAGAACGTACTATTAATAATTGCGAGTCTTTCCACTCAAAATTAAATACTCAATTTACAAAAGTTCATCCCAATTTTTATATTTACACATGTTTTAAATACAAAAATATAAACTGACAGTTACATAATTATTAATAGAATAAATGTTGAAAAAATAGTAAAAATACCTTTTAATAATAATAAAAAAAAAATATATCAAATGATTTTAATGATAATAAAGTTTCCAATTTCACTTATTTAAAACATGTGTCCAAATATTACTAAAAGTAGGTTAGGTTAAGTTTTTATTATAAATACTGATTTTTTAACATTTATATATATATATAAAAAAATTATTGACACCAAAATTAGTTAAACATTTTTATTATATTACATTATTATTTGTATTTTACTTGTATATATACTAACGCTATAATATTCGTATATAAAAAAATATATATATAAATTACACAAATTACCTAATTCTCATAACTCTCAAATTGTATTAGTTAATTAAGAATATTAATATAGTTTAGAATTACGGCTATTTTCTACAATTTTTAACAGTAGCGGCGGAATTGATAAAAACCTTTTTAAAAAACAGATAGTCTCGGCGGAATCGATAATTCCCCGTCTAATAAGCGTAGGATATATCTAAGTACCTACTTAGGTATATCGTAGATTCGGAAAAAAACGAAAACGAATATAATACAATTTTATAAAACGTTAAAAATGATATTGAACACAGACAGTCCCAAGTCAGTGAAAACTAGAAGGAAAAAAAAATTTGTTCAGACCAAACTATAGTATTTTACTTACAGAAAGTCGGGGCCCAACTCGAGTGCAACCGTCAGGCCACTCGGTCGCTAAAAATCCAGCCGTGAAGAAAGTATGTAAATAAATCCAAAAACTCTATATCTAAAATCGTCATAGTTTTAAAACTAAATCATATTGTTAACATTTCGATAGCCATTGAGAGGGCATTGGAGGTCGGACGACTTTTTTCCTAAAACTCAAAAGAAAATATATACTTTTGTAGGTACCTATATCCAAAATACCTACCTGTTGTAAGTAAAATGTACATTTTAGGCCCTTATTGATTAAAATAATTAAAACGATGAATTCATTAGTCGTGTATTTAAACACCTGATATACCTATGCACTACACAGTTCAAAAGTCTCCATTCAAACGCGGCTTGTGAAAACTGCGAATCGAATAAATAATAATGTATATAGTTTTCCTGTTCATCAAACGAGAACTTCACAACCTTTAATATTTTATGTTTTCTTTGAACTATCTTTACCTAACCGCCCGTAATGTAATTATGTACACAATACGTACGTATCTACCTACCTAACGCCATAATTTTATTACATTGCATAATATTTTTACAGATGGGCCTCATAGCCACGACATAGCCATATTGAAAATTAATCCGATAAACGGCAAGGGAGTAAAATTCGATACACATGTACAACCAATATGTCTACCGGAGCACAATACGAATGGCGTAGACTGGTGTACGGTGACCGGCTGGGGAGCACAAAAACGTACGTAAACCAATTCGATATAAAATATAATGTATAAGTAAGTAAGTACTTGCAAAACGTTTCCTCCTTTGTATCTAACAACCAACACGGTGAAAATCACTAAAATATTGTGTCAATTATAGGTAATATAATATTAATATACTATTGGTCTTTAATTTTTATTTTTTTTTATCTAGTTTTTTTAATTTAAAATCTCTATTACTATCATTATTTTATGGCTCCCTTGTCACTTAATATTGATACACCTAAAGTTTTACAACGTAAAGTTAAAACAAAGTTTGAAGCCTTGAAAGAAAATATATGGACCACTATAATTGCAAAAAGTGGATATATCTCGAAAACCAAATTTTACAGAAGGCACAAAAAACTGTCTATCCATGACTGGGAAGGAACTAGGCGAATGAATAGATCACGTTATTATCCAACTTTTTAAAAATTAATCATCTCAATGTTTTCTAAAAGTTAACATGAACGCACTTTTTTAAAAGGACGCATAGCCAGTAGCGGATTTTCAACATTTTTCTGGGAGGGGTCCTAGAAAATATGTATTTGAAAGGTATCTCTATTAATAGATGCTTCTTTTTTGGACGACATTTTTTTGAAATTATATCAGTGTCTGGGGGGAGGGGGTCCAGACCCTCCCGTAAATCCGCTACTGGACGTAACATATCCGCATATGCCATCTCAGTCCAACTAATGGGCAATATAGGAAAATCGATCTTACGAAGACTGCGAGTAGAACTCACTTATTTTTGGTTTTAGAGTAAAATCACTTGTTATAAAAGAGAGCAATATTCCGGAGAGCAAGACTATACGTTTGTCAAATTATTCTAATTATTATTCCGGAAATTACGTTCAGAAATAAAAACTAATTCATAGTTTTTAAAAGACTAGAACATTTCAAAATATGAATTTAAAAAAAATAAACGCATCACCTTGCCCTCTTTTAATTTGATAATAGGTGTTTTTACTCAAAAACTAAAATTAAGAGAGTTCTACGCAATCTGCGTAAGGTAGATTTTGCTATACTGCCTTTTTAGTTGGACCATTGGTTATAGAATAGACCAGTGATTTTTAAACTTATTTTACTCATGGAACCTTTTCAGGAACTTGAATATTTTTTGGAACCCTCATTTTTTTTTCATAACCACATAACGCAGACATATTTTTTTGGATACTCAAATGAGTGAGCAATCCGAGAATTCCGGTAAAAAAGTGTGTCGTTATTAAAAAAATAATAACAGCAAGGACGATTTTTAAAGTTTTACTTTGGTAATATCTATACATTATAATATTATTAATGCATATTGTATTAAAGCTTAGAAAGTAATATTAGTCTTTCATCAACACAAAGATAGATTTAATGAGAAGATTAGATCTTTCCATAGTTTTCTTCATTATTGTAATCAAATCCGGAGATATTCCTGAAAATTGGATTTATAAGTCCGGAGCAACATTAAATTGATTTCGAAACTTATTCTTTATTTTTTTTTTGTCAATAATGACAATAAAACGGTAACAATCTATTACGGACAATTGTTAATTTGTTGAAATCACTTTCCATAGCATTCCAGAACTCCTCTTTAATTTTAATCATAACAAAGAATTAATTCCAAAATTTTGTTTACCTACTAATTTATTCTTTCTCAAATGCCCTGCAGCACCCTTGGTGCTGGTTCGCGGAACCTTTAGGTTCCATGGAACACTAGTTGGGAAACATTGGAATAGACTATTGGACTGAGACAACGCATAAGGGTATAGCGTCCTCTTAAATTGTTAGACATGTTTCCCTTTTTGCATTTAAAACAAAGATAGTAATAAAAATGTTTTTTTTTTTTTTACAATGAAAAATCTTTTATTCTTTTAATCAATTTGGAAATGCAATTATATAATTAGGTATTTATTTAACATTAAAGTTTATTAAAGTTGCCAGCGAATTGGCCACCTCGTAAATTGTTCTCCAGAATCAAGAAATAGAATCTTTTGAAATGTAGGGCTTCAGACGTTTTAAATCATTTATTTTTAATTCATTATGGTAATCTTTTTTGTGTATTGCTGCTTCTTGGGAAGTTTGATTAGCGAAATATATATAAATAATTCACGAATATTTTAAAATCAACCAGATTGAATAATATTTTTTACAACACGAACTTGGAAAGTCAGAAATAGATTGACTCAAATAAGATCAATAAATAACAAGATGAAAAACTGTTGGCTGATAATGATACGATTTATACAAAAACCACGCTGTCTCAGTAATTTATTGAGATAACCTTGTTTTCATAACGGTTAGATTGATTATATAAAAAAAAAAGTCCCATTTCTACACAAAAAATGTATTAAGGTGAATAAACACAAATCCGGTGATAGCTCAATTTCTGAAATTAGTGATTCATTATTATACATAATTATATAAAACAATATACTTTATAATACTAATAATAAATGTTATTAATATAACAAATTTACGTGTAAACTGCACTATAGTATTACGGGGAAAATATGCTTTCGGACGGGGGTGTACGACGATTTATGATCTGTTTAACAATACTTAAATTTTCGACTGTAAAACGGTTAAAATTAATCTTATTCATACAGTTTTTAAAACAAAAATTAATACGAAGTACCAGCGATAAGTAAATGTAGTAGCAGCCTGACGACCATTGAGTAGTCGTCCACAGATATTTGTACCTGAGGACTGACAGGGTCTATTATTAAGTGTAATCTGAAGTTATAACGTGTTAAATAACAATAAATGAATAGAAATTATTCCAGTAATAAAAGAAAAAAATCGCCTACTGATTAGTTATTAACTTCAATAATAATGTGGTAGTAAAATGTGGGGAATTTTATTGTATTGCATTGTATTTTTGGGGCTGAGAGGGGAGCACGAGTATGTTTGCCCCCTAAAAATTAAGTTCCAAGAAGTGACGATTCCCCTGGCGTGGTCTTAAAAAAAACAAATAATTAATAATTATAATTAATCAGGAATCACCTTTATTGAAAACTATATTAGTATTTACGATATTATTTGTTTTTGCTCCTACTCCCGTGTAGAAGATGACATGACTAGTTTACCCAAAGTGCTACAGGCAGCGTCCGTTCCACTGCTCGATCTGGAAACGTGTCGCCACGACGACGTGTATGGAGGCCGACACCAGTTCATATTGGACAGTATGCTGTGCGCAGGAAGTTTAGAAGGAGGAGTGGACGCTTGCGGAGGCGATTCAGGAGGACCGCTGGCTTGTCAAGTTAATGGTATAATAATCCTAGTAAATTAATATAGTGAGACAATTATTATGGAAAGCTATTATAGATGTAACTCAAAGCGATAGAAAGAAATAGCCTGCAAAAAATAAGCCTAGTACCTCCTACACATAGTTCTTGTATAAGGAATAGTACTAACTATTTGCTCATATGTACCTTAAATATAATTTAGAATAATTAACTTGTACAAGAAATGTAATCCTAATATGTATATATATATATACTCGGAACACAGTCAAATAGAAGTCACCCCCCATTATCTTTACCTTCACTAAACATGTATCCTCCGCCTATACTGCCCTCTTAAGTAAAAACGCCATAAGTCCAAACAAATTGAAAATGAATTAAATACATAAAGAAAAACGTTTTAGGCCAATATGCCTAAAATATTATTCTATAAAATGACTATTAGCAATATTGATTTTAAAAAAATGTCGTAAATAATTGAAAAATTAATTTTTATTAGGGAAAAACACTGTATAATAACTATACTAAACGAAAACGCCCTGTATATTAATGAAGATACAGCATTTTTGCTTAGTATATAATAAAAATAATAATTTGCAGCGTTTATACTTAGCACAGATTGTAGTTTTACTTATCGTAATATTGTAATTAATAAATATTCAAAATATAATAAAAGTTAATATAAAAACCTTACGAATGATACAATATCAGTTATTTGTTAGTTATTTATACGATTATCCATGGATTCTATTCACGAGTCTATTCAGTACAGTTCTATATACCAATACCAAGGATCAATGTATAAATTTAAGTGAGTACTTCAGAATTTATTTATTTTCATTCCATTGCATTTATCAGGTAAAATACCATATGCAAATCCATATCATATTTTGATAAGTAAAATGTAAGAGGCATTATTAATTTTAGAAAATTCAAAATATAAAAATCAGTTTTTCTCAAAAACGTTGTCTTATGACTTGTGTCAGTTTTACTTATGATGGCAGTATATGTGCTTATTCGAGGTCTATTTGCATATTTATGTGATGTATTAAGTATATATTGAGACTCTTATGTTCCCTGTTAAAAATTGCTTGCATAATTTAATTTGTCTTTAGGAAGGTTTATACTGACGGGTGTCGTGTCATGGGGCGATGGATGCGGTAAAAAAAATAGACCAGGCGTTTATACCAGAGTTTATTATTATACAGAGTGGTTAAAAAAAGCCATGATAGAACTCGAGAAGATCAATTGAACTTACGCAATAAAGAAACGAAAATTGCATAAGGATTCTCTTCTTAAGATTTAAGTTTTATTAAGTAGATAAATAATTATATATGTTTTGTAAATAGTGTAAATCACATTAATGTACAGTCATTGAATACACATATGCATACCTATATAAATATAACTATAATGTAAAAATGTAATTATTTTAAAGTTTAGAAATGTAATTTATTGAATATGTGAACACAAACTTACAATTAACATAAATATTAACTACTTAAATAATATTGCATGGATTTGAACATTTTCCTATGATCATTAAATTATATATATTATAGTAATTTTAATCTTTTTTATTGAATAATAATAAAAATGAAACTTTTACGTACTAAAACTTACTTAAATTATTTTTAGTGTATATATTATCATTAAAATTACCTATAGTAAACAAGATTAATATTTATAAAGACTATATAAATTACTATGGACCAATACATAGTTTTGCTGTGTAAAATATTTTTTTTTTAATGTTTTATTCATAGGTTAACATTGAATAAATAATGATTTTATTGTTTAGCTAGTCTTAGTTAAGTATGATGAAATAATATTATTTGAACTGATGAATTGTAAATTGGTTGTTCAGTTTGTTTGAATAAAATATAATAGTACACTTTAAAACAATAGGTACAATTATTATAATTATAAAAATAAAATAATTTTTTATTAAATTATAAAATAGTTTTTTATTAAATTATAATATAATTTTTCATTAAACAAAATATTAATAAATACAATGTTTGGTAATTAGAACCGGACACATAATTTTGATAATTTTACTAACACATACTAATTTTGAATACATACTTTTATCTAATAGAGTATAAATTTATTAGATATTTTAAAATGAATATGTGAACAAATCAGTATCCTATGAATAGATTCCAAAAATTAATGATTAATTTTAATTCATAAAAAATAATCAAAATTGTAAATTATTGCTCACTAATTTTATAATCTACAAGACTAATTTAAATAATTAATTATAATTGCTCGACTTTTTAATAACAAATAATTTCAATTATCATAGTCATGAATAAATTGTGTGTTGTATAAAATGTGATTACTTTACAAAGCCTAAGCTTTAACCTAAATATTGATTAAAAAAAATACAATCTATTTTTAAAATTATTATTAGGACAGCAAATGAAGTAGTTTTAATCATTAGTTAAAAACAATTTACTAAATTAATGATTCAGATAAATCATTTAAGGATAACTCTTCTTAAAATTATATTTACAGCAAAACTAAATGGTTTTTTCTTATAAATTATTTTTACTTTTAACAATAAATCTAAGTTTGAACTTTGGTGAAACAATTGTAAATTTTCATCATAACTTGGTGTATAGAAATAAAGTCAAGCATAGTATGAAATATAAGCTATATGAATAAAAAGGGGTCAATAATTAATTATTACAAATTTAAATTCCATTTAATATAGTTTACAGTTTATTCAAACTTTTTAAATTGTAAATAGACGACTTAATATTCAATCCTAATAGTTTCATATTGAAAAATAACCTTATCTAAACATTTCTTAAAAATACTTCCATATATTATAAATAATTAATACAATTTGCATTAGAGATTTTTAATATGACCAACGACTTCAGGATATAATTTAAATGTTTTTACAATTAATATAAAATCGCAATATTCTCAATAATATGTTAATTTTAATATTGTGTAATTGTTTTACTTAAATATTCTTAAAAGTGTAAAGAAGATAAAAACGCTTAAAATACAATAGGTACATTTTCTTTTCTATTGTATATTAATTAATATCACAAACACAAATTTAAATAAAATAAAATATAACACATTTGAGTGTTTACAATGGCATCATAATATTTATAACACATATAGAATATATATATTCTAGGTATTTTTTGTTTTAATACATTTACATTTTGTATTTTTGTAATGTATATTATTTATTATGGAACATTGACACTAACTCATACTACTATAAATAGTTTTATAAAAACAAGAAGTCCAATATTTCCCAATAAATAATATTAAAATGATACACATAAGGTGACTAGGCTTAAATAGGTCTTTTATCAAATGTTATTACAATAACTAATAACAATAATAACTAATAATAATACAAGATCTGATAATAAAAGAACTCTAGAAGGAAAAATATATGTCTCATTTTTGAAAATAAAAATATGATCTAAATAATTATTTTTGAGGAATAGGTCACACACAAATATATATATACAGGTTAACGGTTTTTTTTCTATTGTCATCTAACATATATAAGTATTTGTGCAATATTTGGCATCACTAATCAACTTGGGTAAATAAGTTTGGCATAAATTTAGATTGTTTTACTTTTGCTAGTTTTGGAGTCATCTTCAAAATTATTATCAATTAAATTTGTATTTTGTATTGATTCAACATCTAATTTTTTTCCTGTTAACCAATCTGCCTGCCAAAAACCCAAAACACTGACGACGGAGAAAAATAACATAATCATTAGCCAAACTGATATGTTGAAAATTTCAGTTTGCTGAAATAGCTCTTTTCCATTCTTTATACACAGCAGTGACTCTGTGACCATTATGACAGCATAGACCCAACACTGTGTCCCAAGTCTTTTACAATTAGAATCTGTCACATAGGTATAATATTGTCGAGTTGATGGTGCGACTACAATACTCAAAATAAAAAGTCTGCCAACAACAATTGGATGCGACGGTGGCATTTCAAATATGTGCTTCAAGAAGAATGTATTCAATTCTGATACCTGCCACATGATCACCATTTGGCACACAGAAAAAAAACGCATATATGACGAATTTGGATCTAGCCATCGAACTTGTGTCCAACTAGCTGGTGTAAATTGAAGTGCAGCTCGCTTGATTTTACCTTTAGTCGTGTCAATTTCTTTGATACCGGGCCAGTTATAATCTCTCATCTCTAGCATTTTACAAATTCTCATGCCAACCCATATACCGAATCCATTGCACAGCAGGACATCTAAAATCCATGCATCCCACCAACATTCCTTAAAATTAGGCAACAAATGAGAAAACATTACTTCGGTGAATTCCCACATCATGCTCATAGACCATAATATTCCATAATGTCTCACAAGTATAGCTTTTGATACCCAACCGAAAAAATGACCAGCAGCAAATACATCTAAATGAGCCCAGAATTTCTCAACATTGATATCTGAACAATTAACACCATATTCTTTGTCCATATCGATTTTAAAATCTTTCAAGTTAGGATCAAGCCATAATATCATTCCTTTAATAGTTTCATATTTTTGAAATAATAAAAATAGCAATGTTAGTGAATATAAAACACTCAGTCCAAATACCATACGCCAGATTGCTGGATGGGGTCTTACAAAAGGGCCGTTGGGGAATGCCAGTAAAGATACAAGAAGTAGAAAGAATATAACACACCAGATTCCTGCCCATATGTTATTATCAATGGACTTATCATCTCGGATGAATGACATAAATATAACACCAGCAATAGACAATATTAATAAAGTTATTGTATGGGGTTTGTAGAAAAACTCTAAAGTAATATCTTCGACTTCGCATTCGTTGAGTGTGTTGAACACGCTTTCTTTCTTCTGGACTACCATAGTGTGACCGGTAGTTTCTGGTAACAAATTAGAACAAAAAAAATGAACTTGGGAACAGTGTTAGGGACAACAATTTAAAAATTACTCCCATCATAAATATTTAATTTAATTTAATCATAAATATACATAAGTTTAAAAGCGTTGTTAACATTAAATGTTAAAATGTTAAAATGTATTGTACTTACCAGAAGTCCTAATGAAAAATGATATCTACACCTAGTGGTTACGAATTTAAACTTTTAACAACGCATCTTGCATTAGTTGTATTAAACTTTTAAATTTGAAAATAACTAATAATGAGTATAGTACTATTATCACGTGTTTAAAAGAATAGTGGAGTGATCAGCAAATAATATTGATAAGGTTTGTAATTCTTTATAACATTGACTAATAGATTATATGTTATTTGAGGTTATGATATTATTTTTTTTTCACTTATTTGTAGTAAATAGTATTAAATTGTAAATTTAAATTTGCAAATAATTAATTTACTATATAGGAAGTAGGTACAAACTATTATATTTCTCTAAGAATTTCACTTGGTATTTAACAATGTCTTATGATTTCAAGAATGAAGAAGATGTTAAGGAGTACATTAAAAATCTAGGAATTGAATATAGATTTGGCTGTTTTAGTGAAAAAGATCCTCAAAGTAAAATTATAAAAATCAATATTCTACTTTCTTAGTTTATTAATTATATTTTAATGATTTATAGTATGTCAGTTACTCGGTGATTATTTAGAGGCTATTGAAAATAACCCAGATAAAGCAGCCAAAATATTTAAAGAAAATTGTGATAATAATAATTTTGGACGCAGTTGCAATAAGTATGCTGCCTATATAGAAAAAAAAAACTTGAAAAATCTTAAACCTGTACTGCCTGAGGTATATAGCAAATCAATTTAATGTATGCTATTCTACAACTTGATTGTTTAAAAAAATTATTTATATATTTTTATTAAAAAATATCTATTATTTATTACTTCCACAGATGATAAAGTATTATAAGAAAGGCTGTGAATTTAATTGGTCAGATGGATGTTTCGGTGCTGGAATGAAATTACGCTATTATAGTGATTTAATAAATGATGTTGATGAACGGACAAAATGTTTGTTAGAGGCAAGTTTTAGTTAACAATATATTATTGAAAGTGAATTAACAAATCTAATTATTGCTATAGAGTCTACAACATTTGGAAAAAGCTTGTAATAATCGTCATTCAGAAGCATGTTATGTTGCTAGCAATATCCATTTTCTTGGCATTGAGGAAATTGGATTAAAACCAAATAAAACAAAATTTGCAGAATATTCAGTAAAAGCTTGTGAACAAAATGAAATAAAAGGTTGTATTAATGCATCAATTGTATATAAAAAAGGAGACGGTGTACCTATGGACACGGAACTTGCTCAAAAGTTTAAAGAAAAAGCATTAGACTTACAGAGACAAATTCATGAAGAAAAAGGCATACAATTTAGTTAATGTTTTTTTTTTTAGATATTTAAATAGTCAAGTGATGTGAGAGAATCTTAATTATGCTGATTAGAATGTTAAATTATTAATTGTTAAATATATTAATTTGTAGATATTGCATTTAAAAAAAAAATTTATTGCCTAATACCTACATTTTAAAATTAAAATAAATTTAGTTTATTCATACGAAGTCTGTTCAAAAAGTTCAGGAACTATTTGAATTTAGTACCCAAAAGTAGTAAGATTGATATCACTGGTTTCTGTGACTCCTCTTGAGTACATTTGTATTTATAGATTCTTTATAACTTTTTATTGATGTAACTGGTGTATATTAAACTATTTTTTTTTTTTTTTACAATTGGTGATTTTGTAATAAATTCAAAAGAAGAAGAGCTTTGCGGTTGAGGGGTTGGTTGAAGGTTATTCTTTTATTTTTCTCATGTATTTAATTTTCTATATATTTCTTATAAGATCAAATATTTAAAAAAAATTTGGAAAGAAAAATTAATTATAACTACCTTGTCTACAAATATTATTCAGCTTGTACATAACATATTTTAGATTATTATGATTCTTGTACCCCATTTTAATAAATATTAAATGTTCGGAAAATATAAATCCATCCATTTTGCTTAATTAATCACTGTTTTATACAACTACTAATATAAAATTTCATGAGTTCATGACCCATACACTTTTTACGAGTTGTAAAATATAGTACTATTTATTGGTAGGCGATTAAGTTGTACAACTTGTACATAATTATTTAATTATTAATTTATTTTTAAACAATTTGCAATTTCACATATCTTTTCAAAATTTAATTGTATGCTCAAAAAAAAAAGGTTATTTTTGACCCGTTACCTCAAAATAATTTGCCACCCCTGTCATAACATAGGTTTAGGGACTTCTAACTCTAAAAACCAGTAAATATATACATTCACAAAATCAAAGTGTGTATACCACGTGGCATACAATAAGATAAGATGAGTATATGTCCTTTTATAGCACTTAATAAATCTGCATACTCCTAATATATTCTAAAAAGTGAACTGTAAGATATGTAAACAATTTAAGATTTAGAATCTTTACATAATGAACAGTATTTATATTTAACTCTGCTATTTTTTTTAAACTTTCAAACATAATATGAAAATGCTAGAGTTCCCTAATCCTACATAATATAAGTAATATAACAAATCAATCAACTATAATGAAAATAGTTTTAATGACATTTTTGTCACAATTTTTAAAATACAAATTAAATCTGTACAAATTATAACTAATTAACATTCTAAACATATTTACAGGAAAATAGTATACATTTGAATAATTTGATGATTGTCATGATTATGTTATAACATAAAACATAAAACATAAAATAATTTTATTCATCTCTTATTTCTTCTTCTATTAATAATATTAGGCCTGGATGGAGTTTGTTCAATTTCAGCAGCCTTAATTTTTTCATCAAATTCTTTACAAATATCATTGAACATTTCTCCATTTTTAGTTGCCATCATAACAATGTGTTTCTCAAAGGCTTTGGGTACTAGTGTTTTTAAAACTTTCAAATCTTCATTGCTTACTTCACCACAATCTAACCCTAAAGTGAAGCCCATAGATTTTAAAAGCTCTGTATCGTCAATCACACTAAATTTATCATTGAAATTCATTCCATATTGTTTTTGATCTTCAGAAATTTCAACTTCAACAACAGTATCTTCACTTGCACTGATAGCTATGAAAGGGAGATTGACAAATGTATTTTTAGGCGGAGGTCCAAATTCATTTTCCATATCCTGATTACGTTTAACTAATCGTTTAACAGCTACTTCTTGCATAATAATCTCTTGAAGAGCTAAAAGTTTTCGCTTTACATTGTTAAGACGATTTTCCTTTTCTTGAACAAGATACACACTATTTTGTATAGATCCAGTCGGTAATCCTTTCCATGTTATGTCTTTTTTGTTCTTAGTAATTATGTCTAAAGCCATTAATACATTCAAAGCATCATAAACACGACGTCTAATATTCTTTTGATCATATAAAAACGAAGGACTTTCATTATTTCCAACACATTCTGCAACTAATTCATCAGCTACTTCTTTATATGTAGTTACCATTTTAGTTTTTACCTTATCACACACTCTTTTTGAAAAGTGTCTTAAGCCTTTGTTAGCTTTTACAGGTCGAACCTTGAATGGACTTTTATCATTGGAATAAGTAGAACGAAATTCACTTTGAGTTAATTGCATGGGCAAATATGTAATTTTAGTGGATTCAAGAAGTTTTTTAGTTGTTTTAGTCACACGTCCTTCTAACAAATCATTCAAAATATCTGATTTGACAACTACATCAGTGGAGTTTATGTCATTTATTAATTTACTTTTTTCAGGTTCAACTTGTTGAATTTCTTCTATGAATTCCAAATCACTATCACTTGATTGATCAAATTCATCACCACAGACAACTATAACCTCTGGATCTTCTTGGTATATGCTGTGCATTTCTAAATCATCATTACTAGAATCTGACATTGGATCTTTGAACTCAACTGAACTGTCATCTAAGAAATCTGGAGAAACTGTAATGATTTCAGTATTGCTTTCTTTTAAATTGTCCATTTTAACAATTTTTTTCATTGAGTTTTCTTGTAGATTCTTTATAAAATTCTTTACTGCAGGCTTTTTGTGTCCACCATTTTCAGCTATACGATTACCAAGAGAAAAATTATTAACTCGAGAGTCACGACAAGGATCATTCACTGATCTTGACATAACGCCAGGTTAACTTGTTTAAAGATCTGGAAAAAAATTAATTGTTATAAATGTCTTTGATTAATATCTTTGTATGAGTATAAAGCAAATAATAATTATAATTGTTCAAATTATAACAATTCTAACATGTAAAATTGTGTTTAAATAGGTAATTATTGCAAAGCTAAATAAATTACAATGAGTAGGTACCTAAAATTTTAAATATTATATTAATAATATTTTAAGTGAAGCAAAAAAAAAAAAACAAAATTGTATACAACTGTGGTATAATTAAAATAAAACTGTTCATTCAGCTATACATTTTGACAACTCTGAAATGAAAATCCTATTTTTTGTAGTACCTATAGGTACTATGTTGCATACAGATCTAATAAAAATAAGTGCACATATAGTTTTTGTCAATGAAAACACATAAGTATAATAAATCAAAATCAAATTATTAGAAAACATTTGTATTCTTATAACATATGGGAAATATTAAAGGATATATTTAAGAAGAGATGAAGGATAAACTAAAAATAATAAAATATTGTTAGTTAAACAACTATTGACAGACTTATTTAAGACCCTGACTGCAGTTCTAAGGATTATGTGTTGACCAACCTAAAGGAAATAGACTATCAGACGAATGGAGAGGAGAAGAAACAGGCAACTGGTGACTGCCAGATAAGAGGCCCTTTGGGGGGGTCATATGAATATAGGGGAGTCAACACAGCGAGAGCAATTGCTGGGTGAAATGGTGAGGCGGGCAAAAAATTCGAAGATGGGGCGGATAACAAACTAGTCACATAGTCCGATGATACATGCGGGTTGACCGGTACGGCCTTCGAATTTAAAATGCACACGATTCTCGGTGACGACGAGGCGTCCACTCGTGACGTTGTTTAGCATTAGCGATGACATACCTGTTCGTTCCGAGTTGGCTTGACGGATGGGCCCGGGTGCGCATTGACTTTGGTCGGTATTCGAAAAGGTAAGATCCGTTTAGACCGGCAATTCGACGGACATCGACACGGAAGTCAAAATACAGGCGGCGAATATTACGAACGTGCAAACAATTTTCCTCGCATTTCATGGAATAGTAAATGAAACGGTAGTAGCCGATAGCCCACTATCAGCGGGCTATGCGTTATCAAACCGTTTGTAATCATCTTTGTATTGAATAATTGATGTTTAGTGAAGTTGTTGTTGTTGTTGTACCGCCGCCGCTGCCGATGAAACGCACGCACGCACGCGCAGGAACAAACACACGGCTACCAGTACGCCGCCAGCCACATAAAACAATCCCAATAAAATGGCCGACTGTCTCACCGTAATAATGTCGTTGCCATTGTTTGTCCCGTGATCCGTACGCTGTTGGAGACGATCGCAAGCTGTCAACGTAAGCGCCGTAAACAACACCAAGTGAGTACAGCTTATCCATTTTCGTCAAGTTATTGTTTAATTCATACATTCTTTCGGTGAGCCGGCAATCCGTCGTGCATTTGGTTGGTATGGGGCCTGGACGGCCGTCGGCCAACACTGGGACGACAATGCTGTTCGGGGATATTTTTTCATATTGGCAACTTTGGTTCCAAGATCTATACAGGTTGTCCATTTTTCGGCAGACGTTTTTTATACTCTGTTTTTGGCGTATAGGTATTTAATCGGTTTTATGCAATATGCTTTTTGTCCGATTCGGCAGCGGCTCCCAAGCTCCGTGATTTCCGACACGGTGCTCTGACACGGGCACACAGTGTTGTTCCGCCATTGTCTACCTAGTATCTGCAATCGCGGGCGTTGTCCTCGGCCGACAGGCGTTTAATACGCACGACTGTATTTCTCAATATTGGATTTATTGGGTTAATTATTGTAAAACGTGTCATTATACGGGAAATTTAATGCCGTTTGGAATCTGGAGTAGATAAACAGGTCGTCGGTTATGCCTCACCATCATCCTGCGCATTTTTCTTGTCAGCTGCAAAATGGAAAATCGGGTCGTGGTACTGGGTAATCCACTGACAACCCCTCCCCCCCCCAAAAAAAAAAAAGTTTCTCAAACTCAAAGTTTGAGATGAGTTTTTTTCTCTCGCCAATTTAACAACTCACTGACCTTACCGTATACCCGTCAAATTTTTTTTTCTATTTACGCAAAAATATCTTAATATTTTGGTGGTTAAAACGTGTGCGATTTTTGAATAAATATATTATGTACCGCCTCAACGACCTTTTTTTCAAAAACTGCGTTCATTTAACTAGTAAGTGGTCCGTGATTGTAAAATGTCATTGTTCCAAACATTTTGGAGGGAAAACTTGAGTTTCATCAAACACAATACGTTTACAGATTCCAACGGGACTAAGAATCTATAGCAAACACGTATACACGTTTAAATAATTTCATATAAAATTATACAATATAAATTTAATGGTTAAAATGGTGAAAAAAAAAAATTTAAAATATCAAAAAATGCTAAATACTAATATTTGTCGAATGTTCCACGATTGAATTTTCGATTTTTCCATTTCCTGTGGATATGACAGGTTTAGAAGTCCGCATTTGCGGTCTTAGACAAATTTTAATGTCTGAAAGTCTCTGGGAGTCAAAAAAAAAAAAGTCAAAGCATCGAAAATTTACCTATATATTTTCCATTTCCTTCTCTTACCTTATCAGCGTTCAAAGTTCAGATTTTTCAATTTCCCGCAAAAATATATGAAATTTTTACATTTATTCGTTACCTAATTCAATCACGGAACAGTGGTCAAACAGGGTGCACAGAAAATACATATATTTGGTTTTTTTCTACCCTAAGAGCTAGATTTCTACCTTTTATCATGTAATTTGATAATATACTGCGTCCTATTTTTACTCGAGATAAACTTGTGATAACTATTTAAATGTGTACAAATGTTTGCTATAGATTTTTATTCCCTTTGGAATCTAGATTTATGCTGTATTTGTTTTGTTGCTATAGTTTTTCCCTCCAAAATGTTTGAAACCATGACATTTTATTACTGGCTCCTTTGGGGGAGAGGATTAAAATATATTATATATGTGTATTTTATATTTTATTTGTAAAGATTTACCTAATTCTTAGGTAGGTAATATACAGTAAAAATAATACTAAATATATCTACCTATAGATATATTATATAGCTACATAAAGTTTAAATACATTAAATTAGATATGTATCTAGTTGTATTGGAAATAAATCTTGAGACATTGTTACTGAATTGTTTTCAAAAATCTTATTGGCTGTATAATATTATTGTTAGTTGTATCGTCTATTGTCAGAAAGAACAAAATTATATTCTAAGTTTGAAAATAACATTGCAAAAACATCCAATTCTATTATTTCAGTGAATTATAAATTTACGATAGTTATATTTTATGATAGTTTCCAGTGTATAAGACTATTAAAAAGGTACAAAATGACTGGCCTTAATTTTGAAAATAATTTTTATTTTGTTCTGTTTGCATAATAATAATTTTAAGATTTATTTTATTTTAAGGATTTTATTTTGTTGAATAATTATAATGGCAACCGATCAAGACCAAGAAAGAATTTCTACTCCAACGTCTAGTACATGTTTAATTTGTGATGGTAGTACTGGAGTTTCATCACGAAATGCAATCTCCATATTTCAGCATCGTGTAACATCCTCTGATCGTACTGTTGTTAAAGTAATTGATGGTGTACTGGGTATAGTACTTTCTTCCGAAGATGTGCATTCCATTGTTGTATGCCGTCGATGTTTCAAATCTCTAAATGAAGTAGATGAGCTTGAAGATCGGTTAGCTGATATAAAATTAGAGCTTACCTCTCAATATCAACGTACACTTAAGTAATATTTATTAATTATAAAAAAGTCTTAATGACATGTTATAAAATTTAAATATTTTTTCACAGAACTAAATCTGAAGGTGTTGATATCCAGACTATAGAAACCATTGATATTAATGATCCCCTTACTGGCGATACTCCAAAACCTGTAAAAAAAAGAGGACGTCGTCCAAAGGTTAAGGAAGAACCCATTGGTGAGCCTGTTTCCAATGAAGAAACTTTACAAAATGATATTGAATGTAAAGAACTTAAAAATCAAAATAAGTGTTCATCGGTAGAGAATTTAATAGAAATGTTGGAAAACGATAAGGACAATGATGAGGGTATACCTAATGATATCGAAGATGTTCAAAAATTGATTCGTCCTGCTGATATAAAACAGGAAGCTATACATCCAGATTTAGATCATCTTGAAGAAGATATAGATGATCCTATAATGATTGATCATGATGATGATGATGATGATGATGACGATGATGATGATGATGATGATGATGATTCAGAATATGATGATGGAAATGAAGATCCTAAAAATTGTGAATCCAGTAGCCCTAAAAAATCAAAAGTTACTAAAAATTCAGTAAAGAAAAAACCTCCGGAAATTCTCATACCACAAATGGTAAAATTAATAAAGTATATATTTTTTTTTAATTTCTATATAATTACTTAAAATTATTATTTTTTTCAAGTTGGTTCATCATGATGGAGATGTTTATACTTGCTTATTATGTAGTGTAGAAAATAAATTTAAGGCAGACGCTAGAGGTATTGTTGTTCATGCCAAAAATATACATCAAATTAAGTTGTTTATTTGTGATATATGTGGACAAGAGTTCCTTAAAAGGTAATGTAACATTTAATTATTTATTTTCGGGAACTGGTGAAATCACTCTTTATTAATAATTGCTAGTGATATAAAACCAATAACCAATATATTATAAAAAAAACCAATATTTTTGGCAAAAGTAAAGTCAATATTTCACATTATCATAGATTATTATTTATTTTTATTGATTTCAATAATATTATACAATTATAAATATTTGTATTGTATAAAATATGATAATGGCACTTGTTCGAAAAATGATAAGAACCACTTTTGGAAACATGGCTCGATCGCATATTAATATACTGTACACAGTGAACACAATAAAATACTACCCATGGTTTTGTATAACAAATCTGAGTTTATTTTTGATTAATTTTTTCCACTTGCTTTATCAAATGCTTCAGACTACACAATATTACAATTAAATATAGTAGTATTTAATATTCAGTATTTCCTAATGTTTTTGTTATTTTATACATATTTATAGAATGATAAAATTGTATTGTATGGGTATGCCTAAGTGGGCGAGAGTGGAGTGTCAAGAGAAGACAGGATAAGGAATGAGTATATAAGAGGTAGCTTATTGGCATGACTTTGATAGCAGACAAAATGAGAAAAATAGACAAATGGTTTAGAGCATGTTATGAGGAGATATCAGGAGGAGGAATCAGAAGTAGTAAGAATTGTAATAAAAATAAACTTAGGAGGAAAAAGGGGAAGACTGAAAAAGAGGTGGTTAGATGCAATTAAGAATCATATGAGGATGGTAATATATGCAAGGCAGATCGGGCCATATGGAAGTTTATGATACAATGGGCGACCCCAAATAGTAGGGATGATGGTGATGATGATCTATTTTTGGTAGAATTACTGTTATAAAAAATGGAAATGATTTTATAGTAGTAATTATTAACTAATAATTGAATTATTCTTAATCTTTAAATTTAAAATATATTTATTAGTTTCTAATAAAATTATCTTTTATAACTTTTTTTTGGATTTCGCATTGATGGGGGTTTTTTTTAAATATTATTTATATTTTTTTGGAAATGAATTATTAGAGAAATCATTATGTACCAAAAGGATTAAGATCTATGGACAGGAAATTGAACATTTATGGTATTTTCATGTGATTAAAAGTAATTTTTTGAATTTATAATTAATTACAGTTTTCATACAATTTTTGAAAAGAATCATAAATAAACATTGGTATTTCAATTATTGTTTTGAACTTTAACTTAATTAATATTTCAAATGTGAATTTATGATTTTAGGATTTTTGGTCTTATGATTATTTTTTCTCATTGTATTGTATGTGGTATTTGTATTTTATAGACCTGAGTTGATGAAGCATCTAGAACATCACGCAAATAGTGAAGATGGAAACTTTGTTTGTGATATTTGCAGTAGAGTATTTAACAATGTACGTATGTTTAGAGTACATAAGAAAATGCATATGCCTCAATCTAAAAATCATACTTGTGAAACATGTGGTCGACAATTCGCGTAAGGACAATATATTATTAATTTTTGATATTTCGTTATTAACTTGAACATAATTATTTTTAAATTATATTACTTTGTAGATCTCGTAATACATTAGAAGAACATAATAATACACATACGGGTGTGCGTCCATATCGTTGTGAGATTTGTGGTAAAGATTTTACATCGAAGTATACATTTAAAGCACATGAAAAGGTCCACACAGATCGTGAGCGAAATTTTACTTGTATTAATTGTGGCAAAGCTTTTCTTACTGAACAGAATCTTATTCATCATGAACGGACCCATTCTGGGCTTAAAAATTATGTGTGTCAAAAATGTGGTAAGTGTGAAAATTTTAATATTATACCTTTTTATTTTGTTTTGAATTAATTGGTGTACCTAGCAATAATAGCAATAACCAATACTACTTGTAACTAATTGTGTTTACAAGTTTCAAATAAAAAAAAAAATAAAAAAAAAATGAACAATATATAGGTATATAAAAGTCATAATTCAATTATTAAAAAATTGTTTTTCTTTCAATCTTCAAACTAAGGCTATTTTATTGAACTTAAAACTTTTCTAAATTAATTTTTATCTTTTGCGGATAAAAGTGTTAGGTGTCAAAATTTGATCACAATAAGCAAACTTGTACCCATAATGCCTACATGGAAGTCCCCACAATGGCATTTTTATTCAATGGTTATTATTATAGAGCACACGCTGTGTTATTGATAACTTTACACAACTGTTAAGAAACAAAGGATTTTACATTGTACTTTAAGTAAAATTCTCACTTGACTTAGGATCTATAAAACTGAGTTAAATAACTCTAAAATTTCATTAAACAAATTTATTTATATTCCCCTTGAAATTTGATTTATCAAAAATATTGCTCCTTTAAATATTTCACAGCTATATAAGTATTATTTTTTAAACGTGTACTTATCTTTTTAGGTAAAGCTTTTGGCACTGCTCGAAATTTAGAAGTGCATTATGTTGTACACACTGGTTACAAACCATTTATTTGTCGTATGTGTGGCAAAGCGTTTGCTAGAAAAGCTGAAATTAGGGATCATGAACGTATTCACACTGGAGAAAAACCATATCAGTGTGAATTTTGTGGAGCAACATTCAGGTACCTTTTTAAATATAGATATCTAAAGGTATTTACATTGTATTATTTATGTTAACAGTCAAAGAAGCAACCTGCAATCTCATAAACGAGCTACCCATTACGACGATAAGCGTTATAAATGTACAGACTGTGGTAAAGGATTTAAGAGACGCCGTTTATTAGATTACCACATGAAAGCTGCTCATACGGGTGAAAGGCCATTCAAGTGTGAAGTGTGTCAAGCATCATTTATTTATCCTGAACATTTTAAGAAGCATGCACGTATTCACACTGGGGAAAAACCTTACTTGTGTGAGGTGAGAAATTATTAAAATTTGAATTTTTTGTTGATTGTAATGTATATATTAATTTTTTATTTTTGTCTAAGGTTTGTGGCAAAGCATTCAACAGCAGAGATAACAGAAATGCTCATCGTTTTGTACATAGTGATAAAAAACCTTACGAATGTTTAGTCTGTGGAGCTGGATTTATGCGTAAACCATTACTTTATAATCATATGACCCAAGCTGGTCATTTAAATGATACTATTGTAGTAAATCAGCCTCGACTGGCATCTAGTCCAGTAACTATACAAGAAATGGCAGATGATATTCAAATGCCAGGTACTGATTCCGAAATGGAATTAGCCATGGTTGTTGATGCTGATGGAAATCAAACTGCTCTAGTTAGTATAAAAATTAAATTAATTAACCTAATTTAATAATTATTTTACATTAATTTAAATTTAGCGTGACATGACTGAAGAGGAAAGAAAAATGTTTGCTGGAGAATTAAAAGAGCATATACTATTACCCAACAAACAAGAAGTTCTTGGAGATGATTTAAATTCGGTTGAGCAAATACTTGTTGATAATAAATATCAAGTAATTAATAATTCATTTTCTTAAAGTTTTAATATTATTATATTAATTAATATATATTTTTTTTTTATCTACAGATTCAATACACAACATCTGACCAGCATGGAGATGTTCATACTATGTTAAATATGGATCATCATGGGGATGATGCTGGCCATATGGAAACTGTTACTGTTAGTGTCGGTGGTCAAGAACACCGTCAATTAATAGTCCCAGCTACTCGTCATATTACATTAAATGAAAGTGATGCAGCTGCATTTGCCGAACATGCAACTATAAATGGTGAAAATGTGCAAATAGTACAAATACAAATACAGGATGAGGATGGTGAAGACCAAAAACATTGGTTTAACATTATTCAACCACAACAAGGATAAAACTTAATTTCTTAATCAATGATAATTGATACTGTTGATATTTTTTGTTTATAGGACTATTTATAATTGTGTACTCTTTAATTTTATACATATTAAGGATATTAATTGACTTTGGTAGCTTTAAGGTTTTTATGTCTGGCAAATGTACCTAATTAATTTAATTTTATATCCATATTATTATATCCATATTTAATATTACATATTGTCTATATTCTATAAGATTAATTAAGCACTATTATCTTATCTATACTAGGTTAATTTAGTACATTTTATAACTTTAGTAAGTCTGAATTACTATTACGTTTAAAGTTAATTTTTGTGATATATATATCTGAAAGTTATATCCTGTTTTTTTTCTTAGTTTATATTAATTACATAAAGCATCATATTACATCTAATATTTATAGAAAAAAAAATCAAGTGGAAGTTTGGGACGAGGTTGGCCAACCTTAAATAGCTGAAATGAATAATAATAATAAGAAGAAGAAGAAGACGATTTTGTTGAATGTTAATTTAAGCTAAATTTTATGTTTATTATAAGATAATTTTAATATAAAATAATACTATTGGTTATACAATAGACGGATAGTCCATGGTATCAAGTTATGTTACTGCATCCCACAAGTATTAGCCAATTAACATTTCATAGGCTAACTGAATGTTGTTTAATCAATGGTAATGTACTAGATAATTTTTAAAAATTTAACTAATTATAAGTACAGAGTAAATAAATTAGTTTTATAATAATAACTGATTTTTTTTCTAGAATTGTATGATATAATATAGGTAGAAAGGAACGTAATTAATTAATGTTCTATTACTAACAGATAATAATTTCTCTATGGATTATTCATAGGTTCGATATTTTGTTATTAGACAAATATGATAAGTATTGTGTTGTTTATCAAGTAATTCAAGTAATTTAAGCATATTAAATATTCTTCTGAAGTAACTATACAACTATTATAATTGGCTATAACTATAATATATTGAAACCTTCAAATACATTAATCTAACATACTAACTAACCTATATAGTATCTAACAATCTACTGTTGCCAGAAAAAATTTCGGGGAGTCGCTAATATTTTTTGTTGCCATGTATTAATATTTTTTAAAATATTATAAAACTGAAACAAATGATAAAAAAAAAAAAAAAACATTTTTAGGAAGGTGTGGTAGGTATCCCCTAGCTCTATGGCACTGCTAACTTTTAATATTTTGCACTAAAGTCTCCAAAATTTTTATTTGTGGTAATGGACACTGGTATAATTTTACGTTATATAATGTAGTTTATAGTTTTATATAAATTAAAAAAAATATTAATGAGGAATATGTAAATTTGAATTTATTTGTAATCTGTAAATATTATATGCGTTTTTCACAAAACTTGAGTTAATGTCATTTTATAATTTGTGTTCTTATTTTGACCATTGTTGACTTGGCGTTCATTCTTATGAAAGGTTGAAAATAGATAACTATTTTAGAAAATAATGTCATTGGGCTTAAAATGATGGTTTGATAATTTAATAATTTTTAATTTTTTAGTATAGTTAATAACTTGTTTAAAATAAAAAATACACTACATACTTCACACTATTGGTAGACCACTGTTGTAGGTAAGAATAGTAGGGAAGGTTGGATATAGAGGGGAAATTAATGTTTATCTGCAGAAAATGATTAATCATTGCCAATAAAAAACGATTCTGAGTGAAGTTTGGTTCTGTGTTATAAAATGCAGTAATATTTACGATTTAGGTAAAAATTTGATATTCAAATTCTAATGGAAAAAAAAAATACTAAATTAAACTCACGTTTTTCTTATTGACAACTTATAATGAATCTACTGTTAAATTTTCAAGCATTTCTGATCGGTACACTAAACTGATGTGTAAAAAAACAAACATAAGTTAAACATATTGATATTGTGCTAAATATAGTACTAGCCATGAAACATGAAGAATAGATTATTGTAGTATAAAAAATATATTTATGAAATATACACATATGCACATGTACAAATGTGTAATTTTATGATCTACACAATTTATAATTAGTCGTGATTCGAAATAATGCATATATTTTCCAAACAACATGAATAATGCTATACTTTGCGGGTTACGCAGCGCAGCCTGTGGCCGTTTCATCGTGCCACTCATCTCGAGATTTTGCCAGAAGCGGTGTTTGATCTTCATAGACATATTATATATTTATGGTGTCCTTTTTTTTATAAAGAAAAAAGCCTTCATAATATAGCCATGTCCTATCCTAGTGCATAAATCTACGTATTCTGATTGGTTTAATACCATGAACTTCCTGGTTCAGCCAATCAGAATACGTAGTTTAACGCTTGGGACACGGTCTAAGATCATCTACAATGGATAGAGCTATATTCAATATGAAACGAGGATGTCGCCAATATAAGAAGGCGTAAAGCTACAGCGCATGTATCGCCATAAATAACATAAATCTTATACTAATAGAGACTTTTGTACACGAAAAACGGTTATAGATAGAAGGCGCTCTTCACGTGTGACTTGTGACTTTTGCGTGGTATTATTGTACATTGTAACACACATACAGTGACAACACTGATGTGATTATACTGTACACCACGACTGTAGTAGTATATCTGTGTTGTTTGACCGGATACTATCTCAGCTATTCTAAAGGCAAGGCTAGTCTATTAGTTATTTAGTATCTATGACCGCGGTGCCCTATTCCTTAGATCATATACAATGAATAGAGCCACAGCCTATCGATTACATGTTTATATAAAATACCGATGATGTACATGTTGGCGACTCGTAGTCAAATATGACCTTTCGTGTGTATGCATGTCGGCGACTAGTCGCATATTTATCTCAAATTATCGACATTGGTACCCAAATTGCGGTTATGATATTACTCATCCAATAATTTCGTTATTATACGACACACTGTGTTTGTGGTTCACATTACACCGCGTCGTGTCGTATAAAATAATTTTCTCTGATTCGTTGAACCACGATATTACATTCAGGTATGTATGGTATATCGTTATTTTATCGCACAATACTAAAATAACCAAACGATATCTTATTATGATATATCTTAATTCGTGGTTTGTAAATTTGGTATTTATTAATGTTATTATTATCAAGTGCAATGTCCGTGTAATTGAAAACAATCATTGGTATTGTATATTTTGGAAAACGCACGGCACGAACATGATCGGTTATAAAAGCACCACACCACACGACACGGTGTAGTGTGAACCCGCCAGTAGCAATATTGATTAAAACCGCCTGCACACTTATTCCGTGTTTCGTGTTCATATTCATACGTTTTGATTCGTCGAACCATGCTTTCGATACCGTTTGTACTGGATGGTAACATCACACGATTATTCTGTTCTAACCAAACAAAACCGCGAAGTTGGATTATTTCAAGTTTTCATCATGTGGCAACTAAATGTTTTATCAAATATTATGACAGTTTAAAATATACATTTTTTTTACAGATAATCCAATTTAATAATATTATTTGAAGACCTTCGTGAAATTCGACTGCGATATATCCACTCTAAAAATAATAAAATAACAAAATAGTGTAAGCTACATAGTATATATATATATAATACTAACCGAGGTATTTGTTGGCCCAAAACGTGAGAAACGAACATTACGGTGTTTGCATCATATTGGTATAACGCATAATCCCAATGCTTTTTCTATTGGTCTGAGTAGACATCAAATTTTACTGATGTCATACTATCATATTAATATCATGTATATGTGGCAAGAATATTTATCACATTTATATTTAATACACTAACCATGATCCCCTACGAACATCACGATTCCACGAAACCACACGACACGAAATAATGGTGAAAACATAACAGTCCGCGGCAACTAAGGCCATTGGACGATTGAACAATTTTTTACATAATCGAGATATTAAGATACGTAGATAGGTTACAGATTACAAGAAAGTTGAAAGCGGTTAGGTGACATAGGTTATACACGTTAAAATGAGGAAATAATTATGTGTATTCAATTTGGTGTAGTATGGTGGTTTGTGGAGTCCGTTACAGTAGTATGTCTAATTAATGATAGGGATAGCTGCATTCAGCAGTAACAATTGCTAAAAATCAATTGTCGATGTATAAGGTGTGAAGTAACTGTGACGTTTATTTCGAGCTTAGATCATATACTATGGACAGAGTAGTACGAGTTGAAGATATTATTATTGGCGAGTGCTAAGAGGACTGATGTCTATTGCAAATGCGTATCGGTATTCGTCGCATATTTATCGTACAATCATTATACTACCACCAGGCAGTGATGGTAGGTACATCACACGTAATTACGAGAATTTGACCAATTGCGTGTGATGTTAATTTTGCGCATGTGCGTTTGTCCTAACTCCCCTTAGTTATGTTCGCTTCAAATATTTTTAGTCAACAGCTCTATCCGTTGTATACTATGGTCTAAGATTTCATGTAGGTACTAGGCAGGTACTGATAAGAACCGTTTATTTTATTAGTGATTTAAACCGTTTTTTTTTTTTTTTACTGTCTGGTTAAAACCGATTAGGATAGATGTAGTGTAATCAGTACGATTGTAGGTCGCACTTACCCTTATAAAATATCACAGAATTGTATCCTTAGATCACATACAATGGATAGAGCTATAACTCTAGAATCAATAAAACTTGTCGCTAAAATATCAAGAGGGGCATCCAAACTTCTGCAACTGCGCAAAGTACTGTTATTAGTCTTATCATAACCTACCTAATAACCACGGTTGTAGAAATACCTACAACGGGACCTACCTATTGTATATGATTTAAGGTTAAATTAATATAATTCTGTGAAATTTTATTAGTTAGGTTGTGATAAGATTGATAACAGTTCTTTGAGCATGCGTAAAATTGAGATGCTCGCTGGATATGTTGGTGCACATTGTAATGGAAACTCGATGTATTCTTTACGTATTGTCTAATATCTATGGAGGTGACCAACCATTACCACACTTTATATATTAGGTTTTTTTTTTATGGTTATTTGTAATATTTTTGAATTTTGAATAAAGTATTTTCAACTTAAATACATGTATATTATATATTATACAAATGTGAATTGTAGAACTATTAGTAGTACAACTAATTATTGATTAATTTTTGGAAATAATAAATGAAATTGAATTATTTGTATTTTTAAAAATTAGGTTCATATTTTAGATTGTGAGCGGAGCGAGGAATGTATTGGTTTTATAATAATGTTTATTTTTTTTTCTCTGCATTAAAATTTAATCGGTAAGCAGAAATATTTATATCTGTTTTGTTATGAAAAAATAATTTATTAAATTACTGATGGAAATAATTCCAGAAGCAGCTATTATCTTATCTTTTGTGGTTCGGTATCGGTTTCCGGCAGTGCGGCACTTGACTAAAGTCTTATCTCTGACTTTCAGTGCATATAGCTGGTAAATTCGAAAGTATAATAACCTCGTGGTTCTGTGGTTTTATGGACGGTGTCGCCAATCTAATCAGACCTGATTATTATTTTTTGTTAACAGCTAACACTTTCTTAAACTTTTGATCATAATCACGAGCGACATAAACTTTTGTTTTAATTGATTTCGAACGTAATATTCAAATAAACGCTTTTGTGTATTAGTCGTTGGTATTTTCGTTACAAAATTAATCATGTCTAATGCGGATGAAGAAAAGTTTGATGCCATGCTTTTGGCGGTGGCTCAACAACATGAAAAAGGCGTCGGACAAGTAATAATTTTAAAAATAACATTCTTAAAATTTTACAACAGTTATTATAAATATTTGGTACCAGTTATTTTAATTATAAAACAAATTAAATATAGCTAATAAATGTTTTAAAGTCTTTTATTTGTATTTTAATTATCTATTTAAAAGGGTAGCTTTTTATTTAAATATAGTACCTACATATTTTTTTTTTTGACCATGTGATATTTAGATATTTTAGGTTTCCCTATACTATATGTTAAAATATTGTATTAATTATATACTTAGATATATATTTATATTTTGTATTTCATTATGAATTTATCATAATTCATTTTGTATTGATTTTTCTAATGTTTTCTTCAATGCAATTGTTGCTATAGTAACAAGTTAAATAATGTTTAGGGCTTTTATGACTTAAAAATAAAAAACTGAGTACCCACATACTTAGTGCCGTATTTAACAAATGTTAAAGGAGTTAACTGCCTTGGCATCATAATTTTTTAAATTAAGAACGTAGTCAACAAGGCTAAAGACATGCAAAAAACTGGTATGCAATGTTGAGCTAGGTTATTTTGCTCTAGACATCTTAAATCTTTAATCTGCCACTATGCCTACCTTATACCTGCTTTTTCTAGAATAATTTGAATGAATGTGGGTTTATAAATTTATTGTAAATTGCTCAAACTATTAATATTTACATATTCTGAACTTGATTATTTAAATGTGTGGGCCATAATAACAATCAATAGGTTTTATAAAAAAGTGATGTTTATTAATTAAGTATTCTAGATTAAATATTTTAATAAATAAATGTCAATGCAAATTATCATTGACGAATATGACATATCGCATATTTTACTTGTAAGGTTATCACTACTCATTATATATTATAATCAAAATATTGATTGTTACTTAATTTTTAATATTTGTTTTAGCTATTGGATACATTTTTCAGTTTTCTTGCCCGAAAAACCGACTTTTTTGTTGGAAGTCCCGATGAAAAAGCTTGTGAACAAGTAATCAATAAATACAAAAATAAATGAATATAATTATAACTGTTGAAATATATTTTTTAGATGTTAATGTCGGTATTTAACAAACACCGTGATATCGCATTAAAGCAAAAACGTGCAGAAGATGAGAAACGTAAACAAGAAGCATTGAAAAGATTACAAAAGTCACAGATAGAGAGAGAATTAGAGACTAAGCCAAAACTAAAAGAACTTACTGATGAAGAAGCTGAACAGCTCCAAAAAGAATTGGATATGGTGAGAAAATAAATATTAAATTGTGGTATATTTTTTATTATATTAATAGGTATCAGTACCCAGGTCAAGTTTGGTTTTGTTAAAACTATAATATTTATTGTTTTTTCATCAAAACTTAATAGGAACTTTATTGTAATAGTTTTAATTTTACATTTTGATTTTTTTTGTTAAAAATTTAAATTTTCTAACCATTTTGTTATCCAATGTGGTGGGCATATTGCAGAAGCCTTCTATAGTCCTTGTGCTGTATTCAAATACTGCACCAGGTGATCCATTTAAGTGGGTACATTCATTATATCAAATAGTATTAATATTTTTCCGGAATTTGTATTTTAGAACATTAAGAAACAAGCTGCTCTACAATTTTATATTTATGTTATTTTATGGGACAAAAACCACTAAATTTGATTTTCAAATAGCAATGTTTATTAAAAAGTTCATAAATAAATGAAGGCTTAGTTAAAATAACTTTTAGTGTTGAAATGTTTGATTTCCATGGAGTATCATCTGTGTGACAGTGCAATGTGCGGCGTGTTGATAATTCACCACTACTCTCCTTCAACCCAAACTTAATGGTGGAATATCTCGTCAACGGATCAACGGATCAATGGAAATCAAAAATTTCATCACTAAAATTTATATTAACTATTATTCCATCTATTTATGGACTTTTTAATATAGGTTGACAATTGAAAATCAAATATAGGTAGTGGTTTTACCCCCAAAATAAGTGTGAAAAAATAACATAATTATAAAATTGTAGAGCTACTTGTTTCTTAAATTGATCACCTGGTACTTTCATTAGTTGGTTAGGATTGTATGGTTAAAATATGATATATGATAAGGTTGATTTAAAATAGCGTATTGAAATATCATGTTATTAGTATGTATCATTTTATTTTTTAGTAAATAATGTATTTGGAAACTGTGTAGTCTTTAGAGGTTTAGGTAATATGTCATTGGGTAATAGCAGACTGGATTAAAATGTTCCCGGAGAAAATTACAGTTTTTAACAAAAAAAAAATTGTCTCGAAAAAAACAATCAAAATGTCACCTTACCTATCTTTACTTATAATAATGGAACCAGTCTTTGCATAATTTGTATTTTTGTAAAAATCTTTTCAGAAATGTGTTTGAAAATTATAAACCCCCATTTCCCCAAAAATAAATTTGGGTTGAGTCACTGGTTATAACAAATATTAAATAAATATATATATACACGTTATATCTTTATTCGTTTATAGTTTTATAAAATAATATGTAATTTGTGATAAATAAGTAGACTATACTCCCCGTCTCCCGGATACATTTAATGAAGTGATATGAACATACAAAAGCATTTGTCACATTTCCTATTTCTGCCAAGTGTGTGAGCACAGATTTATGACCCAGAACTCAGTTTCAGTTATGCTGAAGTTACGCTGATTTATGGTTATACTGAACACTAAAACAGCACAACAGCAACGATAAGCATTTAAGTGTCCTAAGTGAATGCACCCTTATTAGCAGCTTACATTATCTTGTTCTATTATGTGAAAATACGAGAATACAGCCGTATTATTGTGCTAAATGTAATTGTTAGTTAATAATTTACAATTTAATTTATTTTATAAGAGATAAAATAATTTCAATTTTGACCAGATATTAATTAATTAATTATAAATTCAATGACCATTAAATCAGTGGACATTTTTTAAGGACACTACATATCTAATTGCTTTCTCCTTCTTACAAATGTATAATAGCAAGATATAAGCATTTTTAAATTGTGATATTTTATACTCTCATATCCCAGTTAAAAATTTTAAAAATGAAAAAATAAGGTTAATAGATTAAAGCACTATAATATTAAAATAACAGCATAAAGTTATTCCTGTTGAACACAAATTTGCTATGTGGTACATTTTTGAGATTGAGATAGTATATGCATTTGTAGTGTTCTTAATGTTCTTAATTTCCTTATCATTTAACTTGTTTATCATTCATTATATTATTTAATTAATTTAAATGAATGTTAATGTATTTATATAGGTACATTTTATTCAACTGCATACTCGTAAATTATTATTTCTAAGACAGTTGTAAACTATAATTTGATAACATGAATTAAATGATCATTCTGCATTAATATGTAATAGAATTTGACAGATATTCATACTTATATTATTATGCTTCTTTTTCTTTGCCTCAGTCGAAACTAATTTTAGTGCTTTATATTATTATAATTAATAATATGTTTAATGATGTAAATAATAATTTCTTTATCATTATATTAATTTGTATTTTTAATTACTATTTTAGAAAAAAAATATTAAAACTAAAGAATCGGTTGAACTTGATGAAGTATCGCAACCTGTTGGAGAAGATGAAGAAGATCCAAAAGAAAAAGGCAAATTAAAACCAAATGCAGGCAACGGTTGTGATTTACCTAATTATAGATGGACCCAAACATTGTCTGATATTGAGGTAAGTCTTTTTATAAATTTACTAATATACTTACTAGATTAAATTAATAAATTTTTTGCAAATTTGAATTAGTAATGTCAGACATATCTGGTTTTCAATATAATCCACCCGATAATCTGGATAACCTGGGTATTTGAAACCAGATATTGAAATAATTTTATTTGGATAATCCGAATAATTTAAATATTTTTAACCATCTAACTTCTTTAATTTAATTTGTATATGGTACATCTGCGTGTGTCTGATAATTAATATTATACTCAAAGTGTAGTGTGTTAACATATCTGTTTTTTAAATTTATAATAACCAAAAATAACATTTTTTGATAAACAGACTGATATCGGTTTATTTGTAATATCTGGATAATCGACATCACTTATTTGAATATAATAATTATTATATTCACTCCTGGATATATGTATCTTCTATTTAAATTTGTTTGGATAATATTATGTGCTAGTTGATTAGTTAGTTATTTTCTAATTTCATTTAAAAATAAACCATTTTTTGGTTTTTGACAAGGTTATTCTAGGCCCGTCAAAAATTATGTATAGTAGGTACTTAATTTAAGTGTTGGATTGTACCTGTATCTTTGATACATTATAGTTTTAGCAATTTTTTTTTTAATGATTTATAAACATCATTAAAGAAGTATAAAAAATAAAAACAAAACAATTTTCTATTGGATAATGGGGTGGTTAGATATGGCTAATATTTATGTTCTCGGCTAATTTTTAATATGGTTCCTGGTACATAAAAATGATTAATTTGAGAAACTACTGGAATAATACTAAAATTATAATTTTAAATTATTTAATTCTTGAAATTCATTTTATTGAGAGCAATAATTTAATTAGAACAACAATGTTATATTTTATAATCTATAATTTACATATTAAAGGTTTATTGTTCATTAACCCATATTTCTATTGTTTTTTTTTCATACAAGAGTTGTATAACTTGTATATCAAGCAAAACTTGTTGTACAATCTATGGCACGCCCTAAAACAAACAAAACATGCATAACATTAATATGTTTTACATAACATACACAAACAAAATATTGAGTCGTAGTATTTTTCCTGAAAGGAATATCTCGGGAATAGTTTTTTTCTCTGATATCCTTTTTCCTAAACACTTATCTAAATGTAATAGTTCCCAAATTGTATATTTCCTAAATAGGAGGAAAAAACATGCATAGATAATGTTTGGGAATTTGATTCAAGAAAAATTGGGGATTTAAAATATAATATACACATATATTTAATGTTATAAAGTTAATAATATGTATGATAGATAAAAATTTAAGTATTTATGACTTAAAATGTTTTATTTTATTTTTAGAAACTCATTGTTTCCAATATAAGCTTTCGCTTAAAGGAGATGTTAGTATTTTAACTTTTAATTGAAATATTCAGTATTATCTTTATTTTATAGTGTTAAATAATAAATAATAATAATAATGAAGTGGAACTTAGATTGACTTAATATTTTTTTGATGAAAATCCTTATCTCTTTTTTAACTACTAGTAATGAACATTTTATTTTGCATTATTCTATTATAATTACTAAATATAGGATTAGGGATCAGTCATTTTAGATATGAATATTGAATTTTGATCTATTAGTTTATTATTACTGAGTATTAAAAGTTTACCCCTCAAACTTTCCTATATTGTTTCCATTGCATGGATAATCCATGGCTAATTTTTTCATCATTCTAATATTTTAGTTTTATTCATTTTAACATTAAGTAATGTTATTATATTTTTATGTGTATAAATACTTACTATGAACATAGTAAACGCAGTATGCAATGGTTAGGATTAGAACTATTGTCATAGAGATGACCAATACAGTAAGCTGATGTCGTTCACAGCAACATTGAATAGTCTTACGAGTCTTATGTCGATTATGCCCTCCCATGCCATTAACAATCGTAAAATGATTAGACGATGCTACTGACACAGTGTCCAAGTCAATGTATTTGTTATGGGTAGCCAAGTTTTCAGTGCATAATAGTAATGTATTTGTAGATAATTTACTCTGAAAACAAAAATTAATATATAATGATTAGTAGGCAGTTGATTTATATTTAGATAATTTTATTAAAAGTAATGTGCTAGCAGTTGAAATGTATTAAATATTATTATGCATTAAGGTTTTTTTTTTTTTTAATGTAGTTATTATTATTAATCTTAAAGAAACCAGGTATGATGTTATAATACTCATTAGGTATCTGTCTTATTAAATATTGCAATCAATGTTCTATAACATTCACATTAGACAGATATTTATATTTCAGAAATAATTGACTTGATATTTTGGCCCAAAAAAATAGATTATATCCTACATTTAAAATATTAAAATTAACACAATATTATGAACATAATTATACAATGTACCTGTAAAATAATTGCTAAACTTACAAAATTTTAAAATACCTAGTACGTATAGTATGCAAATAAATATAGCTCCAGTTTTAATTTTTGATAATGAAAATTAATTAATTAACTTAACTAAATTGGACCTTTGATAGTAAATAATATGTTGGTTAATGATTATTTCAAAATTCTAATTTAATTTGAAAATAATTAATTTATGCTTTTATTTAATTTTTTAATAGTAATCAATATTCAGTAGCTATGTCTATGTCTAAACATAAATATGGTATGGGTATGGAAATGTATCACAAGCAATTAAAATTGAATAAAAAGAAATTATAATATTAAGAATTATTTTAGATCGATTACATCATATGAGGTAGGAATGAATAAAGCTTAGTTAGGTTTAGTTAGTTAAAGTAGTGAAAATTAATATTGTAGCTTATAAAATTATTTGTATTTTGTACTAGTTTATGATAGGACACAAAATATAGCCATGCAAATATTATGATACCAATAATAACTACACGGTGAATAGCATAGTTAATAAAGAATGGTTAGACAAGTCCGGGCGACATGTTCCAGAACGCGACTGTCATCTATCCTTTGTTTAGCAAAGTCAATTTATTTATATTTTGCGGCAGGGTGATAATGTTGTATCTCAGTCAAGGTTAACCTAATTTATCTTGATCTCAGTTAGACTTTATGGGTCTTTATTATAAATACTACTTATGGCACTTATTACATAGTATCATAATAGTGTGTTATCATTATCAACGTATGAGAGAATGTTATCATTTTTTTTTATCACATAAATTAAAATTTTCACAGTAATATTAATAAATTTTAAATTAACCATTCATAGGTACATTTATATAAGTATACAATATAACTCAATTTTATATAAAAATTACTATACATAGTATGTTTGGTAATATGCCAATTTGTCTTGTTATTTAGTTCTTTTTTTGGTCAAATAGGTAATATGATTTATAAATGTAAAATTTAATGTGTACAGGTGTTAGGTTAGAGTAAAAATCAAACTTCTATTGTAAAAGTATTTTGTGTTATTACATAATATAATATATAATATATAATGTACAATATATTATTATTTAATTTGTTTTTATGAATAATTGAATTTATTTTATTTGATTTCTTAATACCTACCTAATCAAATAGAAAAAAAAAAAAAAAAAGTTTACTTTGGTTGTTGAGCTAATTGACATTTTAAGTTTTATTGGTGACTCAAAGCGACCATTGATTGAGGGTATGCGAATAATGAAATGTAACCACATTTTTGAATTTGGATATGTGGAAAATAATAACAAAATATTAAGAATCATTGCTATGTGTCTTTACCCTTGAGGCATTGTGGTATTATAGTAAACCACCTAAATTTGTTTCTTTTTTATGTGTACAATTTTTATGGTTTTTATGAGTGCTAAATTTTAATATTTTTTAAGAAATAAATTTTCAAAAATAACGTGTGTCTCAAAAGGTTAAAACTAGTGATCTCAGTGGGAAATTAATGTTTCTGTGTTCCTATGAAGTCTATAGAATTGTTAAAATCACACCCATTACATAACAACCATATTATAGTACCTACCTATGTTACTCTATATTAATTTAACAGTTGCTAGGTATTCTATATAATTTGAGCACTATTTTTAAATTATAATAATAACTTGTTAAAAAATAATATTTAATAAAATGTTTGCTGCACATATTAATATTATTTGTAGGAGAATTATTAATATTAATTTTTCAAGCATGTTCCCATTTCTTTTTTAGGAAAAGTGTGAAAAATCACATCTTCTTGGTATAGACTGTTGAGTGAAAACCAAATAATCATTTTGAATGTTTACATAGAGAATATTGTTTTACATTGTGGACCATGACAATATTTATGTTTTTTGCGTGTTTTTGGTGTTGTGGCACAATAAGCATGACCCATAATTATGGGTTGGCAGTTATCAAATACGAAAGTGTAATCAAAATTTAAACTCGACGTTTGGTTAGTAAATTTTGACAAATCGGGTAAATCAATTCTCAATATTTTGTATTTCATATTTTCATCAATAATTCTGTTTTCATGTCCGCCCCGTTACAACGTTTTATGCTACCACCACCAGATGTCAGCCACTTCGCTTTCTATCGCGAATACCGACCCAGATCTTATCACGTTATCGTGTCATATAAAATAATGTAAACAAATCGCCTAAGTCCGCCATATTAAGGAACGAAAAAGTTTACAGTTCTAGTATAGGGATCAATTCTTTATTATTTATGGTGAATAGTTTAATGTTTTCAATTTTTGGATAACAGGCGGTAACGTGGATTATCGTGGTTTTCCATATTACAGTTATAATATTACTCATTCAACCATATTGTTAGGTGTTACACGGTATTTTTATGCACGGTCCATACGGTACACGGTGCTAGTGTAGTATCACGATAGCAATGATACTAACAATTAAATATTAATCAATTATTTAAATTATTACCTATACTTCCCATTTTCCGCTTATTAATATTAGTATAGTATTCATTTTGTTAGGTTATTTTATTTAATTGTCGATATCGCAGGCATTATTAATTGCTATCAATCAAATTATTATTATCATTTATCTGTTCGTTTATTATTTCGAGGGGGGAATGAGAGAGGATGAAACCGGTGTAAACAGTTAGCACCATAGAAAAATTAAACCCGTGTCGTTAAATTTTAACACTGGTTATTCCAAAAAAAAGTCTCAAATTTACACCGGTTTGTACCAACGAATTTATAGACATAATACGGGACTCTATGCCGATGACGTTATAATAATATACTGGTCGGCTAATCGCACGTCATCCTAATTTTATATAAAACCGATTAATTACGGTTATTATTGTTTGTAATGTCCGTACCTTAATGCTCGGTTGATTAGGGGATGTAAACGAGTCCGGCTGTGATCTGTCACTAGAATCTTCTTGTCTTGACGACGAAATCGACGGTCTCGGTATGGACCATCTATACATCTATAACAATAATAACAGTACACGGTATTGTAATATTAAGCACATGTACACGGGGAGATACAAGAATAATATTATAAATAATAATAATAATAATAATAATCAATATGTCTATAAATAGATTGTGTGTAGAAAAAAAATAAAAAAAAAAATGTACAAATAAAAAGATGTAATTGTATGATTGTTGAAGATCAAGGTTATTGATGGGCGTCGCCTAAAATAATACACCTCGTCGCGATATTCCATTATTTGTAATAAGGAGCTGCTATATAATATTAATATAATGCTCGGATGCGGGTTATGTAATTTTTGAACCGGATTTTTTCTGTAGGGTTTCAAGGTTCCGGGTCACGTATTGTAGTTTTCAAGACTGCATCTATTCTAATATATATATATATAATTATTATTATTATTTTTTTTTAATGAAACCTCCGGTATCGGGAGTATTTCAATATACGACGGCTACACGCTCGTAATGCATATTTGTTCGCTATTCAAGTAGTAAATTCGATTTGATTTTTGTCCGAGACCGCGCGCGGTATTACAACTCGGTCCTTATGGATTTTAGCTGAATATTGAATGGAATTTTACGGACTGTTATGGTTTTATTTATAATTCGCCACGCGATCCCGAAAGCCATTTTTTTTTTTATTAAAACATTTAATTTGAACATTTTTTTTTTCTTTAATAATAATTATACGTAAATATACACGTGTACAGTTAATTATAATTTTCGATTAAAGTTTTAAATATTTCAAAGTAGAAATTCGTTGTTCTTAATAATAATTTTTTTTTGAAGTATTTTATTTATTATAATTTTACTTTATAGGGTTTATATATATATATAAAAATTAAATATATACACAAGATGATTCACTAAGCGTGCTCACCGCTTTTTTTTGGTTAATGGTAGGGAGAGAGTGGTGGAGTACCATTTGTGTGGCGGCACGGCACACCGTGTTTTATTAGTGGTCCTCTACTCTCCCTTACCTAAATTTAAAAGTGAAATATATTGTCAACGGGTTGACGGAAATCAAAAATACTCCATCTATTTATGTAATTTTTAATATAGGTTCTCATTTGAAAAACCAAAGTCGGTGTCACCACAGGATATTCCTTAAAAGTTATGAAAAATCTAAGTATTCGAAAATATTGGCTTTAATTATTCTTAAAAATTACAAAAATCAGAATTTGAATTTATACAAAATTTAACAAAAAAAAAAAAAACAAAAAATAAAAAAATGGGATGAGCATGCTTAGTGAATCACTCTGTATATATTTTATTTAAAAGTACGATTACGGGTTATCGTTTCTTTAGTTCATAGACATTTGCAACTAACCATGCAAATTAACCGAAGTGATATTTACGACAGTATCATGCGATAATAATATACCTTAATGTTAAAATATGTACATAAAATTGCCATTTAAAAAAGATTCAATTTATGGTATGAATGTTGACTTTCCGTGATTTTTTTTCGTAAAACTACGTTTAATAGTATACCAACAGTTTTTATTCTTAGAATTATAATTACCTAAACCTACATATATCATATATCAAATTGCAAAATTTACATATTCATTTATTTTACTTTCAGAGTATATAGTATATAATGGTGCACATTTGGTTTCTTAGCCTACAGTTTGAGCTGTAGTTTTTAACGTCGCGAAACAGTTTCTCTGTAAACATTATTGTTAATTTCATGATTACACAATAAATGCTTGTGATAATGACACGGAACTACATGTAAATGTATTCTAAAGTGATTTAAATAATTTTGAGTTGATCAAATTTAATTTTTATAATAATTTCAAAAAAATTGCCTATACACAACCCCTTGATTACAGGAAGTATATTGCCTTCTTAATAAGGTGATGCTGTTTAAAATAATCGATTATTTATATTTTATGTTTTCTGTTTATTATTTTTCTTGGCAATTTATTTGAAAATGCATACATATAGTAGGTACGAGTGTAGTACTTACGAGGTCTGTTCAAAAAGTACCAGGACAAATATTATTGCGGCTAATCTATACATGATAACGTTTAAATTATAATTAGATGTGTTCCCAACGTATTAGAGAATATTTTGAACAAAACATAATATTATACGTTGTTAAATCTATTCAGTTTGTTTCGTTCTCAGTTTTCGTCATGTCCGAAATTAACGAACAACGTGTGTGCATCAAATTTTGCTTGAAACTTGGTAAAAATGCAACTGAACGTACACAATGATTAAAACTGCTTTTGGAGACGATTCTTTAAGTCGCTCCGTTACTTTCGAGTGGTTTAAACGTTTCAAGGATGGTCGACAGTCAATTAAAGATGATCCACGTTCTATAAGACCGTCGACATCTAGAAACGATGATGTTGTGGCGAACATTTACGAAAAAGTGCGAAATTACCGCAGATTAACTGTTCGCGAGTTAGCAAATGAAGCAGGAATTTCAATTGGATTTTGTCATGAAATTTTAACGGAAAATTTACAGATGAGAAGGGTAGCTGCTAAATTCGTTCCACGGTTGTTGACATCGGAACAAAAGGAAAATCGTTTGAAATATGGCGAAGTGGAACCTGGTTTCTTCATCACGACGATGCGCCAGCACATTCAGCGTTGTCAATTCGTGAATTTTTGGCTGAAAAAAAAATACGTGTGGTCCTACATCCTCCCTTTTCACCTGATCTAGTCCCGTGCGATTTTTTTCTTTTCCCGAGAATAAAATCTGCGTTTAAAGGACAACGATTTCAAGACCTAGAGGAAATTAAAGCAAATACGGCAACAGAACTCAAAGCTATAACTTTTGAACAATTTCAAAGGACTTTTGAAAAATGGCACGATCGCTGGAACCACTGCATATTGTCTGGAGGAGAGTATTCTGAAGGCGATATCTTTAAATAATATGTAACTTCATTTTTGTAATTATTAAAAATAAAATCCTGGTACTTTTTGAACAGACCTCGTATTAACAATGAATACCAAGTATTTTTGCCGTACGTGTGTGTAATAACAAATTTGTTCTTATCAAACCGTGTGTATTTTTTTTTTAAATCTATATATTTTATACATAGTAGGTACGTTACAACGGTTAGTTATTATATGAATGTGTGATAAATAAATAATGTAGTGTAGATTGATTGACGGTTATAGAGTACAGGTTTTGTATTATATAAAATTGTCGATGCACGCTGCAGACTATGCCATTAATGAGTTACTTATGTAACAATAATAGTATATTTATAAATAAGACAAGTGTTTTAGAACGAAAGGGGTTATTTTACCATTGTATTTTAGAAATGAGGATAACGCATATATTTAATATGTAACATGTTTCATTGCCAGTTGTCATTTTATCTTTCTAAGAACACGGACATATTATAATAATAGATACCTAGTATAGTTTTATTACTAAAAGTCTGTTGTTTTTATAATAGATATTTAATATGTTTATCCTCAATAGTGTATTTGTTAGCTTTAAATATGACCAATTAAATAGTTTTTGTTTTTTTTTCCTTTGGTTTTTAGACCTCTGAGGACTGTTTCATAATTTTAATACAATTTTCCATTCTCTATCCATTAGGAGCTTCCATTAAGTATAATTCCACATCCTTTTTTTTAATAAAATCTCATTTCATTCTGAGTCTACCTCAGTGTAATTTTTTTCTACATTCTGTTTAGAATAAATAAATAATCAATTTTATCAGATAATTTTGACTCCCGCAGTCATTGTTATCTTTTCCTCTTTGTACTACATGTACTATATTTATGAACTCTCTAACCCTCTCTAGCATTCTTCTTTCTCTATTATTTGTATTGTTGGTTGGTCTGAAGATTTTCCGAAAGAATTGTTATCTTATGTACTTAAAGTATTATAATAATGATATTGCTGATATCACTTTTTACCGATTACCAATACGTCTTTCATATAAACTAAAAAAAAAAAAAAATTATCGATTTTGTGATATGTAGATTATAATATTTGGTAGTTTAATTCGTACATTATCAACTATTGAGTCTATACATGTTCAAATAAAAATAATTGCCCACTATTTTTTTGATTTTTTTTAGTATTATTATATAATTCTAGATTCATAGGAGTGTGAGGAAATCCTTTGTAGACTTAGATGCATTGCTTATAAATTATATAATCAAAATAAGGTATTATATTATATTTTAGTCATTATGCTTTTATACAGTTTTTTTTCTGCAAATTATAATACTTTAAAAATTTAAGTTTTCAAATTAATCAGTAGTTTAACTTTTCTACGATCCCGCAGTGTAAAAATTTTCCAAAACTTATGTTGGCTACTCTGTGTCTGTATTGTAATTTGAAAATAGTAAGAAGTGATCTTCAATTATCATTTTTATCACTAGACACATCACTCCGAAATTATTTGGCATAATTATTCGGCATTAATAAACTTTTCAATATACCCACGTTGATTTTGAATTTCATTGGATTAAAACCGAAAAAAAAATATCACGAAACACCATATGATTGAATTTGGGCTACAAATCAGGCTTACTGATTCCATAAAATAAGTTTAAGTTCGCTGATGAAGTTAATGACTAAATAAAAGACAACAGCTATACAATATATCATGCATGTAGATCTTGGGAGATTTGTTACGATTTATATATATATATTTGAGCTTGGAGATAATTTACCTTGCGCGACTGATTAAAGATTAATTAATTTAAAACATAATTATAATTTCGACAAATTATAAAAATAAATTATCCTAGAATTAGGTACAAAATGTTTATCTTTAATAATGTTAAAATATTTATTAATTTCACTGCGATTTATAATATATTTATACACAGGTTGTATTTTTTAAAAATAAAATCGATTTATAATTTTAGGTACCAATAGGTATGGTTTATCTGCTAACTGGTTATACTAACTTCGTTAATATACTCGTATAATTTTTTATTATTTTTTGTTACCACTTACAATTGTTTTAAATATCTTATTAACACTATAGTAAAACGAGTTATGTTTAGATTTGTCATTATTTTTACATTATTAATCTCAATCTACTGTAATTACTACTTTTAACTTATTCTGAGGCAAGCAAAGAGAAACGAGTGCCCCTCCCACCAGTTGAGGTATCATATAATAAGCATGTCTGGCGGTTTTTTTTTTTTATTATCGATTTTCATTATGTTGCGCAAATATATTGTTTTATACATTTTCGTTTCGTTTCGTTTTTTTTTTTTTTTTTTTACATACATATATAGGGTGATTCATTAAGAGTGCTCGCTCAATTTTTTTTAGTTAAATTTTGCATGCATTTATTGAAATCTTGATTTTTGGAAACTTTAAGTGTAGTTGAATAGTAATGATTTTTAAATTGTTCGCTACATTTAAGGAGTATCCTGTGGCGATACCAACGTTGGTTTTTCAAATGAGAACCTACAACGTTTCTGAGTTGAACTAAGGATAATGGCTTTTAATGGAAATTGGATACCGACCGTTTCATAGGAGTTGTGTATAAACAATTTATTTAAACTAATACTTCATTAATTTCCGGAATTTTCAATATAGATTATTATTTCAAAAACCAACATTGGTATCGTCACAGAATACTCTTTAAATGTTGTGAGAATTCCAAGTATACGAAAATATCCTTTTTAAATATACTTAAAAATTATAAAAATCAGAATTTGTATATATGCAAAATTGAACTAAAATAATGGGATGAGGACCTAACCTTACCTATTGAATCACCCTGTAAACTCAAGATGTCTGTGTTGTATGTTATTGGTATAAATTATTTATATATTCTCAATAATTGTAAGTCATTGACGTAGGTATGAATATTTTTTGTGGAGGAATAAATAATTTGTTGGGTAAACGTCGTTTGAGGGCATTCCACACCCCTCCATAAGATCTGTTAAAAAATAAATTCTGAGTGTAGTGTCTAGTTTCTCTGTTTTTTTTTTCAGAAAACATTTTTTTGGTTATTAAAAATACTTCCATTTTTTCATGTCACCCATAAAAATATTCAGATTTTTCTTTATGATGATTCTTTTATAATATTTTTCCCAATAAATTGCACTTTATGTTTTTTTTAAAAGGTTTTTGGAGGGGATCTATCTTCATTATCCCCTCCATTACTGTTGTAAGTATACAATTAAAAACAAAATTTTAAATTTTTTTTACCTAATTGTACAATTTGGACAAGGTAAATATTATATATTTTGGTATTTATTTTAGACTCTGAGTGAATTATGATGTAAACAATTTGTCTACAAGAAATCTTGCTCCTGTCATTAACTTAAAGAGTGGTTTTTGGTAGACAATTTTGTATAATTTTTTCGTATTTTTTGACGCTGTAACGGTATTTGCAGCCTCCGTTTGTCTAATGGGAAGTATAGAAAAAATGCTGTTTTCGTACTTCCGATAGTACTCAAGTTCAAAAGTGCTATGAGATCTAATAGACTTCAAAAATAAATTGTTTCACTAAATTAAATACGAAAGCATTTGCTATGGTTTTACAAAGGAAAAATGTTTTGATATTTAATTTACCGACAATTGTACAATAAATCGATGATAATAATAATATACCTACTTATTAATTTTTTTTTTTTTAATTTTAATATAAAAATGTACAATAATATAAAAAATATCCCTTTGCAAAAACAGTAAATATTGTTATTTTTAATATGATGAAATTATTTTTGTTTTAAATTTTAAGTTTGTTTGAACCTGAGTACTATTATAGGCAGGAAAACACATCTTTGCTAATTGTCCGTTAGACAGACAGAGACGATTGATAAATGACTTCCTAAAAAAACGTATAGAGTTTATAAATTAAAATATTATACGTTTATTTGTAATCTATTGGAACAATTTGCCTATATTTTTTTAGTACTTAATATTATCGAGTGTAATTTTCAGCTTATATTTTTTCTGTGTTTAATAAAAAGTAGATTTTAATATTTATGGAGGTGTTTGTATTGGAATATTGACAGCAGTTGAAATTGTGGGCGGGACATATAACTATAACAATCAAAAATTTGTGCCGTAATTCAAACATATGTATATATTTTATACCCTAGAGGTAATTTGAGGTAAAGTTGCATTATTCGTTGTAGGTACACGGATACAAATCCGGATATGAAAAATCTACAGAGTTCAAAAGATCTGGTTTCGGTGCAAGGTCACATAATTTTATAGTTTTCTGTAATAATATATTTTATCAAGGTATTTTCTAAAATCGTGTCAATTTAGATGCTAGTGCATAGTCATAATTATTATTATTATTACCACCACATAACTGATCTTATTGAAAATTGGATTTTATTGACATTTTTGAAAACGTAACCGCATTTATAAATAATTTCTGTATTGATAATTTGTATATAGGTGTGTAACTTTACAACACAAGTATAGTGGCGTAGGTATACGCATCAAGGATTTCTTAGTCATACCCAGACGAATTACGTTGGTATTAATTTACAAATGTACTTTTGTAGTTTGATATGCGAATTTTTAAAATGATTCAACACCATTATTCAAATTTTAAAATTGACTCATTTCTATAACTTACAGGTTGTGCAAGTTTAAATTATTTTAATTAGTATACTATGTAAGTATAAGTGTGTGTATAGTTAGTGTAAAGGAAACGGGAGCAGATATTCTATTGGAATTTGCTATTTTTTCTAGAAATTAGAGTTTAGACCACTTACATTTTTTACGTTATTTATTAAATATAGATCCAACATATTTTGTGTTTATTTAAAATACGATGTACATTTAGTCAGTTCGTTTATGATTTTTTAGGGGTACAAATCCGATTGTCATCCGTAAAATCATGGTCATTGATTTCACATAAATTGATCCACACGCGTCTTAATTTACAGTAAAATATTTACTTAAAATAATTGTATTTCTATTGAATAAAATAGGTAATTACACTATATAGAGTGTCTTACAGTGTTATCCCTATGCTAATAATTCTATCAGTATTCAATTTTTTTTACATTTTTTTTAATCGGGTTTTGTGCGAGGGGGATACACGTGTAGAGAAAAATTAAATTTTTATTTTAGTAAATTGACGTAAAAATAATTATAATATTTAATAGAAGATAAGGAATTACCGTGTTAATTGTGATTTCTTATTGCGTAACATGCTATTTTTATTGAAAATTAATAGTTTTCACCCAAATTTTCTAGAATTTAAAACGGATATTACTAAGAAACTATTAATCGGATGTGAATGTATGATACAGTTGAATTTTTGAAATAACATCTTTTACAAAATGGTTATTTTGAAAATTGTATAAAGTGGAAAAATACAAAGTTTTTTTTTCATTAATTAAGGGATGAATATAACAATTAAATATTTATTTATATATGTGTTCCTCTCGCACAAAACCGGCTGAAAAAAAATGAGTCTTATAGAATATTAACTATGAATCTTTATTTTTTGGAAATTTTTTAAAGCTATTTTTTAAATATTTTATTTAGTGGTCGAACAATATTATTTTAATGCAAAATTCTTTGCTTGAGAGCGATTGAAAGTTTTTACAAATTGAGTAGCACACGCAACTTTTTTATTGTACATTTTTCTCTGCATATTTATATGAACGAATTGTTAAATTATATATTTTAAACAATAGGGTTTAACTGAAATATTTCAGTCACGAATAATATGCATTATGCACTAAAACCTTTTAATTTCCGAATGCCTACGTAAATGTGAAAATTATTATAGTGATTATTGAAAGTTAAATACATAATGGTTATGAAATTTACGTTTTTCATTTAGGTACCTGGTACCTACCCTTATAATATCATTCATACGTACTCTGCATTGTTATTATTTTTGTGTTGTAAATATAGTATGAGTAGAAGCCATACGAAATAAATAAAGTAAATAAGTATGAGTAATTATACATATTATGAACATTTCAAACGATCCCCAGAGAATTATTTCTAAATATTTTAAAATTTATCCAAAATTGGACAAACATTTTAAATGTCTATACGTTTTTTCTGTTGAATTTACATTCTAGTATATATAAATATATAAAGGGTAATTTTTTTTTATCATCAACTATAAATTATCTCGGAGAATTTTAAGTGAATTTGATATTTGTTTTTTTTTTTTTACTGTGGAATCGCATAAGCTTTATTTTAAAACTATTTTAAATTTTTTAACCCTATTCCATGTACCTTATATAAGTATAAACTTTTGTTTTTCAAATAAGAATTTCAGTATAAGTTAGAATAGAGTACCTATATTTTTCTAGAAATTGTATGTATAACACTAATATCAGAATTTACCGTTTAATTAGTTATAATCGTTTAAAGTTTAGACTGTAGGAGTAGAGTTATAGGATAAAGTAATCAATGTATCATTTATAAATTGACATGTAATTTATTATCTTTCCCTACTCTTCTGGTCTAAACTTTAAACGGTTATAATTTAGGTAAATTAAATTGGATATCACAATGTTATGCATAACGAAATTTCTAGACAAATATTACTCTTTCGAATCTGCGTTCTAAAAAGTGGGGTGGGGGGGGTTCTTATTTGAAAATCAAAAGTAGATACTTATTTAAGGTACATGGAGTAGTGGCAAAAAATTAAAAATGATTTTAAAATAAAGCTTAAAAAAATTCCATAATTATTAAAAAAAAAAAAAAATAGAAATCAAATTCACTTGTAATATAAAGGTGTATACTTTCATTTGTTGTAAAAAGCAATAACTCGTTAAGAATAGTTTTCGCATGCATTATTTAAATTGTATTATATTATATAGTTCAGCGTAATATTTGCTAGATTTACTTACATCGATTACGGTGTCTCGGTTAATATCGAAAACGCTGCCTAGTTTTGGACTCATAGTTATTTAAAAAAGAAAACTTCCTGCGACCGTGGACTTTGCTTTTTCAAAATTAACTATGCGCACATCACTGTAGACACTCGTTATAAGGTAGTGGTGAAGTTATCGATAATTCCTGTTGGCCGGAGAAACATCACATGCGCCGTCTAATATCGTGCACGAGTATTATATATTATAATCGTCATCGTAATAATAGTAGTGCTAAGACATCGAATACGTATAGAGTGGGAATATCCGTTAGTCCTGACACTTGATATTGAACTTCAAATACGCGAATTCGTGTTCCGCGACCTCTACAATCCGCTAAAAATGTTTATCCTGTACAATACTATATAGTAATGTACTATAGATAATGTTTGTTTGTTTAATGTTTTTATATTATGTGCTTTTTATCTCAAAACCCAGCTTATGTACCATGGTCGTACAAGAAAAGAAGTATGGGTCCCGGGTCTTTTATTTTAGCGGAAATTCGAAGGGATAACACTTAAATATATTTTAATATATTTCTACATATACATATTTTTTGATTTCTGAGTTCCCTTGGCTGTACACGGACGAAATGAAATCTCCTCATTTTTTTGTACATTTGTATGTTACTGACAAGCAATTCGTTATAATGGATCAAAGGACGGGATTTGTAAAAATTTAATTATTTGTTATTTTTCAATAAGGAACCAATGGTATGCAGTGGAACAGTCACGTAAACTCATTGATGTCAATTACGGTTTTATGTTTATTAAATATAATAACAGTTTGTAAACGTAAGTGTGAAAACGAAATAAACGGAGGGTCAAATAATTTTTTTTTTTAAAAAAAAAGAAGAAAGAAAAAGTAGTTTTAAAGTCTATTACTAAATAATTAGTCTATTGCCGAGCAAATTTTAATTTTCTGTACAACAATGCGTACAATTTTATTGGTAGTTCCGGGTATACTGTTCACGTTATATAAACGTTAAATTATACTTATTTATATTTATGTAGTGGCGTGCTCCTCAGCTTTTCCTATGGGGGATGGGGATGAACTGTATTTTGTTTTGTTGATAGTCGTATACACAAATATACAAAATGTACTTATCTACGTATATACATTGGCATTTAAAGAGTAAGTAGTTAGGTACAAATTACAATGTTATTATATATACATACCTTTTTTTTTATACTAATATTTTAAACCTCTTTTTTCATTTATAGGAAACTTAAATTTTGACAATGGTATCCATACATTTTTAAGTGCCTAAATAGTAAAAGACAAAAGTTATGTACATTAGATAGTAGGCTGTAAAAACTGATTTTTTTTTACCTGAAATAAAGTCTAAACTTACAGTCAATTTATCAACATCTGATAATCTAAGGTTCAAAAATAAGCTTACATCGTTTACATACATACTGTCAGTTTTAAAAATATTTAAGCAATTAAGTATGTGCATAAATATAAAAGTTTTATTATAGCACAGTTCAAAACTGTATATAAACTATAAATACTATTGATAATATATTAATAATGTATGAAATGTTTAGGTTATTGAAACAATATGCATTTGAGTTAATTTCAATCGATAATTTACGTATCAAATAATTGAAAGAAAAAAACCAATAAAATCTGTAGTTTTAAATTGTTATTTAATCGTATAAACGTAAATAAAAAGTAGTTATATTAAATATTATTGAATTGTGAAATCTGAGAACTAGAACATTTTTAAGTATAGTTCATATTAGTGAAGGTTATATTTTTGTTTTGATTATATTTTCGATTACTTTGTAGTCGTCAATTGTTAGAGTTTCAGAATAATTTGTAATTTTTAAATTAAAGTTAAAAAACTATAAAAACAGTATTTATACGTATAGGTATTATATGTATAAGCTTAATGATGTTGATGTATTTTCAAGGAAATACACTATATTGTTTTAATTTAAATTGTTTTAAACAGTTTTGGTCGATCAACGAAATATAGTATTATTTATATATTGTATACTTATAGATACCTAATTTATTACAATATGTTAAAAACATTATAATCAAAAGTTAATTTCATTAATGTTTTGATTAATTTGATTATTTATTTGACATCCATGTTGATAAATTTGCATGTTTTATCGAATAAATGGAAAATTAATAAATTGGTTACACAAATATTTAGAATTGCATATATTAGAAATTACGAAATTTCATTCGCCATATTATCTTTGTGCATACCTATAGGTATTTTTGATAGATTTTAATCTAATGCGAACAGTTGAACTGACAAAAGTGAAGTTAGCTCTACGAATTGGGGTATCTGCAGTGTACACATGTAATGTGTTCAAAAATTAAAAATTGTATGCTATTATTTTTCACGGGGGTTTTCGGGCAATAGGGAGAAATCCTAAGAATACTGAACACAGATGAATATTTATTCGTTTTGTGAGGTGGATTTTTTTTTTAAGATTAAAATTTAAAATTTGTCTTTATGTATTTCCTATTTATTACAATATTACGAAATACATTGTAATATGTATATTCTTTCCGAATTTTTCTCGTTTAATGTATACGTATTATAACCACATTTAATGTAATATTATAAAACAAACGGTTGAAAGATATTTATATGACAAAAAAAAAAAAATCATTATATAATACCTATAATAAATTAATTCCATCAACGTGAACCTCTCAGTGTGTATAATACAAAAACCTGTTAGTCGATAACCGAGCAGCTCGTTTGCTTTTGAAAATTGATCAAAATCTCCTTAATTAAATATATTATATAATGTCTGGGAGACGAGATACACGAGATTATATTACTTTATAATCTTTTATTTACATTTTATAACAGTTTCAGTACATTTATATCCGTATTAAAAAATATTTTAATTAGACGTATGTTTAAAATAAAAGGTTTTTTTTTTTTATTTATTACTTAAACAGGTACAGCATTGATTTTAAGAGCCTCTCAATGTTTTTCAAAGCGCAAAATTGCATATTATTTTTACGTAGGTTCTTTTAGGTCGTAAACTTCTGGGCCTTAAATATTTATAAAATCTAAATTAATATCATATGATATGAAACAATTATTATGATGATGTTCATCTTTGTGTTGGTTTTCATATTCTTAAAAGGAAACAAATATTTTAATATTTTTTTTTTTTTAAGATGTTATTAAAGAATACACGTGTCAATGTTTTACATTATTTATACTAAAAAGGACAGACGCGTGTCCATAAATTGTTTGAAAAAACACGTTTAACGCGGGTGAGAACCACGCAGGTCAAGTGTAATTTGTAATTACGAAATTGAATTTATACTCAACATTTATTCTATGATCTAGGAGTTCATTTTTACTGTTTCGTAGTGTTTTAATTTTTTGATGTCACTATGACACTATATAAATGACTATGACTATATAAAAATTATTATTGTTTAACAATTTCACAAAAAAAAAAAAAAAAACAAATAACATTTTTCCTAAAATCTGTATTATACTATTTTTAGCCGTAATGTTTTATTTGATTATGATTGCTCAATAAAATGTTTACTTGTGAATATAAGTCGCGATAATGCCATGGACTTGTAAATTTATTTGAAAGCGGATTTCAATATTTTCGAATTAACAAATGTATGACTTTTCGTTAAAATTGCCTACACGTGACCGCGTAAATACTGGTTAAGTGCGACGTCATTTTAGGGGATTAGTGACTGTGTGTACTTAAGTCGATTTAAACCTAAAAGTCAAATAAAACTATAGAAATTCCTGTGTTTAACGGATTTCAATATTTTTAAAAACCGATTGTTATTCTTTCGATTCTTTATTGAAGTATGTCGGAATTAGAAATTAATATTTCTTGCTGGATATCGTAAAAAAAATTAATTGTATTTTTGAAAATGTATATAAATATGTGTGATAGTAAGCTCCGACACGAATAATATACACCTACAATATCTAAATTTTTACACGAAAACAATCATAACCCTTACAAATAACAAATTTCCTTCCCACTTTATTCAGACTTAGAACTGAGAACTAAGTTGGTGTAATTAAAATTTGTTTGGTTTTGTGTTTTGTATGTTTGTTAAAATAGTATTTTTTAAAAAATAATTCAATTTTTAATCGAATCTAGTCATTATCGTAATTTGTTATGAATGAAATTGCATAAAATCTAAATTGTAATACATAATTACATTCTTTGTGGCTTATTGCGAATGCTCAAACACTTCACATAATCATAATCGGAACATTTTCTTTTCATGTCGGAACTTATGTGCGGGTATATTATTTTTCGTGTTGGAACTTACATATGTACCCACTTACCTGCTTTTTTCGTATGGTAACTTACCGAACCCCAAATAAAGTATGTTATATTTTACCTATATTGAAAAGAATTGAAATTTAAAAAAAAAATGGCTTCAATATATATACTTTCACATAGTAAAGAATCTTAAGCTTTTTTAATCTAACCTTCTCTAACTTTTATGTCTAAACATAATTTATTTGTTTTTTCACTTGAAAAGTATTTGATCATAATTATACCGACTTGTGTCCGCGAGTGCGTAAATGTAAACGTACTTGTAAAATATCAGACTAACGGTTTATGATTTGTTATAATTTAAAAACTTTACATGTGACACGATGCGGGCGAGACGATAAATATTATTTTTTATTTTTGAAACTCGCCTCTCTTCTAAATATTTATATAGCTCGGTTGACTCTGTTGATCAGCCTTAATTTTAGGGAGATTTTCATTGAATTATATTGGTTTATTAAAACATTTTACTGTTTTGTTTAGTTATTATTTATTAATAATAATATAATTATGGCTTAATTACGATTAAGATAATTGAGAAAATTAAGACGATGATAGTGTTACTAAAATACTCCTGTTCAGTTATTATAATAACATTATTAATTTGAGATTGATCTTCAGTATATCATTATATAATATTTATTACCTACTGTTTGTTCATTTAACTTATATGTTATTATTAATTTACATTAAGCTGTGATCTGTTTCAATTTTTACGAAAAATTATAGATTAGCTGTTAACAGTAAATATTATTTTTTTTAATCTATAAACGATAAGCTAATTAATTTGTATAATAATATTTTATAAGTATTGTCTATATACTTTTAATGTATTATAATTATGTTTTGGTTATTTTTTTCACGTCATAAAAACGTGATTCAAAAGAAGAACGTGACATTTATGGACAAATGTGTTTTTTGTTTGTTTAGAATTGTTCATTTTTTTTCTCGTAATTATCAAACCCTGGTCACGTTATTAATTTCAGTTAGTTGTTCATATTCATCAATTGTGGTTTGTTTTCAAAGAAACTCCAAAAAGTTTACCCTTTGTCAATGTTGGTGTCGCAATTATTAACAAAAAGCAAAAAAGTTGTCGGTTAATTTAATCAATTAATTTTTTTTAATAATTTTTATTTGAACATTTATTTGATAGTAAACTTAATTTTTATGATGGTTAATTTTTTTTTAAATAATTGTCACTAAATAATTATTTATTTTTAAGAAAAAAAAAAAAAAAAATACTAAATTGGTAGATTGTAAAGATTTTTAGCTATATTTACATTAAACAAAATAAAAATACGGACATATTTTGTACCGTTAGCCTTTGTAGTAGCAGATTTAAAATGCATAGGATATAGAATAATTTAAATTCATATAGATACTGAACGCATTGATAAATTATTTCAATCAAAAAACGATTCTGAACGGAGTAGATTTAGTATTATTATTTATTAGTAATCGTGTCTTTTTCCCTTGCAGCCAAGATAACCGAAATATCAATACAAATAAAACAGATCTATCGACATTTGTTGTCCGTTTTATTAATTTTATAAACAAAACTGTTGAGAAATCTTGAAAAATCCGCATCTTAAATGATCTACGACGATGCGAATAACTTGTAGCATTTTTGCTAACTTAAAAAGTGTTTTGCGAGAAAATAAACGAAATAAGGACTGTTGGAAAATGCCTAAGTTGTTTCAAGTGAAGTGTACCATCGGTCGAAATTCCGCGTCTTTTAAAGTTTTGTGTGAAAAGTAAATCAGAAAAGTGTAAAAAAAAGCAAAATACAATTTTCCGGGAAAAATATTGGGAGTTTCTAAGAATTTTTCAAATAAAGTACCATCTGATATTGTCTGTATGGTTCTGTATGAAAAAAAAGTCGTTCTCTACCAACCCAAAAAGTAGGTATTTCCCGAGAGAAAAAAACAACACATTATGATAACTATTTTTTAATAACTAATATTCTCGCTACACTCGGAATATAAAATAAAGGCTTTCGTATTTTAATAAACTATGAATCCTTTGTTATAATCGTACTAAAGAATTTGTGCAAAAATTAACTATACCATTCCCCCTCCCCCTTTTGAATCGCATGTACTGCGCAAAGACCGCTCGGCGGACGGTTACTAACCTGTAATTACCTTGAACTATATATAGTTAAAAAAAAAAAAAAAATCATTGTAATTGTACGGACGAAATTGGAGGAATGTTAAACCGGTGTATAATATTAAGTATTATACAAATACCGCCGTTTAAAACGGATAAACTTAATGTTTAATAATATTTTATTTTTAGGTAGTTATGTTAGTGATGGTTGGTAAGTATCCGCGTCTTAGTATCGTGTATCTGCTGATATTGAGAACATCGGATATTTGCAGGAATATCATTTTTCAAAACCGATATTATCGGAGAAAAAACGTTTTACAGATAGAAAATATCGGTATACGATCAGTAGTTTAGTATACCGATTGTCACTATGTATATTTCTTATACAGTGATTAATTGTGTTATTAATTAATTATTCAGCCATTCAGTTTAATCTAAAAATATATATAATACGTGGCCTTGTGATAACGTTTTATATATGGTCAAATTTATAATAAATTATCAATTAAATTGTAATAATATTATACCGAATACGTTTTGTGATTGGTATTGTTTTTGAATTGTATATTGAATCGTTAATTTTTCATTAGTTATTCGTTTATTCGCAATAATATGGTGCTAATATTTATTTGACGATTTTTTTTTTTTAGATTCGTAGAGTAGCGATAAAAGTATTGTTTTTACAATGGCGTTTATTATTATTATTATTATTATTTTTTTTATCTGTGAACAACTTTTCTATCAGAAATCTTGCTCCGATTTGTAGTACCCTGGAAGTTTTATCTGGATTGTATTTTAAAGAGGTCTCATTTTGATTATTCAAACGGTTTTCATAATATTTGGGGATAAACGGAAAAATGCACGTACCTGTATAGTAGAAACTTCGCTCCGAATCGTTTTTCGTTGGCAACGGTTTATCGTCGCCTATATAGATATAAATTAAATTCCCCTTTATATTCTAACTTCCCGACTTACAACAATAACCCACCCATCGTGCGAAGTATGTCCGTCCTTATAGAACGTTAATTTAGTATCGTTAATACCGTGTTCATTTACGGCGTGACGGTATAATAAGTATGAGTACATATTCAAAAATAACGTTAAAATGCGGACAGCGAACAGTGCACGGCATCAATAGCGAAAAATCTCACAGCAGAGCCACCTTTACAAGAAATACAATAATTATTATAAGCGATATTTAATGTTGCGTGTGCGGAACTTTGCGTAGGTCTCTGCGCCGTATACGGTTCTAAGTGAATTCGGTCGAATATAATATTGTATAGAAGTCGTTATATCGGTGCGTCTATACCACAATGGTGAATAATAAGAACCGCGGACGAAAAAGTAAAATCCTGAAATGTATATGCTGCATGTGCGTTTTGTTTGTCGTTCCTTGTAGTTTTTCAGTCAATCGTATAAATGGATTTTTTTTCATGATCGTTATGGAAATCCCTATGATCTCTCGCGTGCCTGCGAGACGAGATATCAAGGCCGCGGGAAAACTGTCATGACGACAACATTTACCGTGGTGATGTTATTATGAATATCTTATGAAAAACGTATACGTTCTTTATTATCGGTCACGACTCTTTTATATTTTGATAGTGACGGTTGGGTTTTATAGTACCTGTAACGCAGTAGACGAGAAAACACCTGGGAATGCCAGAAATATCGCGAGATTCAACGCTGTAATATCATTTTAAATTATTTTTTTTCTTTTTAGTTTGTTCAACTGTCTATTGATATACCTACACAAGTTTTCATGCGGGTACTTTATTATTATTTTTTTTTAATTTTGTGTATTAATTATGGGCGCCTGATGACAAAATGAGTCTTTTCAGTAAACATATCTAGGCGACGAGTGGATCACGTCTTGCATTAAACATAATTATAATATCTACGTCTTTACAATACAAGACGATTCTATTATCACGAACCATTTAACGTTAGTTTACATTTTAAACTGTTATGTAACTGGTAATCAAAGTCTTAAACACGTATCTAACATACAATAATTGCATTTTGTATCTTATTGTATCGAGTATCTAAATACTAATTCTTAAGTATCTAGCCGATAGACGTCCGAAGATGGAGGCAAGCTGAGTCGTTTTTTATAAATTTGATTTGCGTTTGTGACATATAGAATACAATTTAAATTTTTAGTAATATTGTAAATAATGTCATGGTGTTTATACCCGCATTTTTTGATGTCCGATTAAAACCAAAATAAAATTTACTCGTTACTATTTATCTTCTTGGATAATCGCTGATTACGTTGGAGATTGTTTTCAAATTTTAAAATAAGAAAATCGATAATGTTTTCTGCTTACTAATACAACAATAGATAATATTATGTTTATAAAAAAGGATTTGCAACGTATACAGTATTTTTTTTAGCCATTCGTATAATATAAGTAACGTTTGAAAGAGTAGTTTTGGACAACCCTAAAGTTTTTTCTGGAGATTTCTAACAGGAATTGTTTGCTTATCTTATTCTGGCGAGTGGTTAAAGGTATTAGGAGTAGGTCGTATTAAGGGTATAATATGAATACGATTTCTTTTCTTTCCGAGAATAGGGGATTTCAACGGTTCAGAAATGATTCAGTGTATTATGTAAAATATGCTGAATACTATGGAAAGTGAATTACATATAAAAAAAAATCGTGATATTTTCGAAAGAAAAAAAAATTGTCGACTAAGAGTCACATCGTGTTGTATTTTATATAATAGCGTATCTATTTAAATTAATTCGCGATGTAATATCAAAATAATATATACACACACACACACATATATATATATATATATATATATATATATATATATAAATATACCAGATAGGTACCTATTATTTTGATATTCTTATGATATTTTACTGTATACAATCACAAATAAAATATTGTAAATAATGACGTCTAAATGATGACGTTTATAATATGAAAATCAATAGTTGACAAATACTCCAGTAATTCCTGTACTTATTATGTTTTCGAGAGATTGTTTGAAAGACTTACGATACAATATATAATATAATATAATATATAATAGTTAGTGTACTAATGAATATTAAAATCAAAATAACAATAAGTTAATATAATAATAAGTTGTTCGTTAAGCTTGATAATGAGAATTATACAATTCTTTAAAATTGATGAATAGAAGTTAAGTTAATTGGAGATATTTGAAATAATATTATATACTTCGGTGAATTCATCAGACATTTTTCAGGGAGGTGGGAGGTTGAAAGGCATGTATCACAAAATCGTTAGTTGTTTCCTCACATCAACATCAGCTAAATTAAGCATTTTTTTTTTTTTTTTTTGTTTAGGTTTTTATATTTTTAACAGCGTCCAGAGCAAGAGGGTAGACACGATGGTCTCCCCAATTCGTAACATGATCCCGAATATAGTAAAAATAAAAATAAAAATTAGTTATACGATAAACAAATGTAGTTTATCCAAAACTAAATTTTTTTTACGTGTTATACAAATATTATTGTTGAAATATTTAAAAAATTAATTTTTTCGTGAAAATTTAAACAAAAAAAAAAAAATGAAAAAGCCATACAATTTCGGTGGCGTTATTTATGGGTGGGGAGGCAGCCCAGGAGTAATGGATCCCTACAGAACCAAAAAACTCAAATCGGATTCATTGTCCTGTAGTTGAGTAATAACTATACAAATTATACATAATATAGTCATGTTGCGCTGTTATAGGTATCCAAGATGCGGCTAAATATTAAGTGCCATAAAAGCCAAGGTACCTTAAGACTTTAACGCACGGAAAAACTAATTATTGTTGGATTATATATAGTTAGGTGATTAGACGATTGGATTTTCCTTGCATATTATTTAACATTGAACTCCTCCAAAAAATGCCCAGATACAGAACTATTGTAAACTTTGCCCCCCCCCCCTCCTAAAAAAAAAGTTTAAAAGACGCCACTGTACAATTTTATTTAGTTTTTACTGTTTTTAATAAAACAAAAACAAACATATTATTGTGTTAGGTAATTAGCTGCACAATAATTCATTATTATCCGAGTATATTATTATAAAGGTAGTCTTTATATCCATACCTAAATAGAATTTAAGTACAGTTTTGAATACGAAAGAATTCGACTTAATCAAGTTCTAAGATTTATTTTTTATTTAATCCAACAGTCGTTAACGCATGTAATGTTCAAATGTTACGCAACATGATAGCATAGGTAATTTTGTAACTTATAATACCCATGTGTTCTATATATTAACCTTGAAATGTTCTGCAAGACTGATGATGTGTGGCGATGTCTGTTTTAAGAGAGTACATAAAATTCATTCACATTGATTATGTAACAAAATAAAAATTTTAATAATAATAGGTTTCGGGTTTTTTTTTTAATGTTTCTTATTAAGCATCGTTATTTTTTCATGATTATAGCTCAAGATCCCGTCTAAAGCGGCGTTCAAGTTAAGACCGCGCGACGTGATTGTGAATTTGAAAAAGAAACATATTTGCGTCGGAATAAAAGGACAACCGCCGATATTGGACGATGACCTACCACACGAAATCAAACTCGAGGAAACCACGTGGCTACTCGAAGACGGAAAGACATTCCTAATCAATATTGAAAAGGTATATAATAACTATATCAATCGGTTTATCGTGTTTTTCAAAATCCGGCTTTAGGTTATCAATCGGAAAATGATTGAAGTGGTATGTTTCTTTTGTATATTATGTACCTATCATATGTGTAAAAAAGATATTACGTATATAGAGTATTTCAATTTTGGTGGAATGCGTGTAAAAAAAAAAACTTTAAATATATTTTTTTGTCTTAGTCTTCATTCTATTATTATCATTCTGGCCTTCCATTCATTTGCAAAAAATCATTTAATCTACATAATTATTAAAAACTGCGGTTTTCGAAGAATCATTTATCTTGTCAATTTACAAGGGACTTTTTTTTTTTGTGTCATTTTAATATTATGTCGTTTATTATTAGACATATTGTGTAAAAATTTCCTTTTTGTTTCAATAAGCATATACAAAGCATGTTAGTTATAAATTGTCAATATTTTCGTCCATTGGTTTTATATTTTCCATGAAATATAACGGAAAAACCTTTAATGTTGTACACAACTTTTTATTCGTTTACTGTTGTCGGCAAAACTAACGCACCGAAATGATCATCATAAACCCGGATGAACACTTCACCTCGAAAAACATACAAATTATACCAAACAATTAAACATATATTTTCTATGGGTATAATAATAACATTTTGGTATTTTAATTTTATAAATAACAAATTTTAATTATTAGAATTATTTAATTACTAGGTTTTTATAATTAATTTTAAAACGAAACGGGTCTAATTTTTTTCGCCGATTGGTTTAAATTCTCATGAGATAACAATTATTTCTGTAATTTTGTTACACATTATTTATGTGTAACACTTACTTATTTTATTATGAATTATTATTTGTTACTATACCTAACCTATGTATTTTTTTAAAATTATTTTTTAAGCATATGCGATGTAAACATTAAGACAGATCATGAAAGCCGCGAAAGCAACATAATATGAGAACAAAAATAATATTTTAAGTATAGTTAAAATATATTTAATATTTAATTTATTTAACTAGCATATTTCCTATTAGATAGCAATTATTTTTTTAGATTGATTTAATGAGTGTTCTTCATATTTTAGTTTTTTATTTAGTATATTTATATATTTATTTTATATTGAATCAACGTTGTGTTTTATCCTAAAATAATTATATTTATAATTTTGTATAATATTTATTACATTATTAGGTGGGTATTAAAATATTAAAAATACATAGGTACAAATAAAATAAAATAAAGTCCTAATGTTGAAATTGTGGTATGACTCATAAGAAATTATGGTTAACAGACGTTATTAATTGATAATGAAGTTGTTACCTCATGGAAACTGTAGCTAATCGGAGAACAGGATTGTTTCTTTTAACAATGTACTGTAGCTTACATGCTGTATAGGTATGGTCTTGTATTACATTCGTAAAATGTTGAGTTGGAAAACAAGGGACGACGTAAAAGAAGAAATAGGTTGTTCGGCAAAGTGGTCATATAGGTTACAAACTTCGAGAAAAGATCTAGTAACGAAATGAACGGTGGCGAAATGATCATATTCGGTCCATCTAATGTACAATCTATATAGTTCATCTATTTAGAATTGAAATCTCAATGATCAAATATCTGTATATATCGTTCTGTATTATTTTTTTGCATAGCAAATGGCTTTATTTTCAGCAAAACGCGGAAAAAATAATTCCAGTAAAATGTGTTTTATCCACGCTTTATTTAGGTATAGATTACGGTATATTAGGTATTTTATGTCTGGCCGAAATATTGTGTTCCTTATTGTATTGTATAGGTAATGTACAATGAACGAACCATGCTTCAGTAGAATAGTTGTTACAAAATATCATGCAATGCATTAGGCAAAGAACTAGATGTTAAATATTAATACAAATCCACGATTGATTTTATTTGAATATTTATTAATCATGTACTGTTGTTATAAATTAAATGTTTAAAATATTGTAGACATTTTTTTTTAGATTTTGAGTGCATCGAGGGATGTATTGGTTTTACCATTATGCGTATGAGTTTTTATTTTCATTTATCGATTCTGAATGGACCGTGGAATGTATTTGTTGTAATAATGATGTTTATTTTTATTTTATTTTTTCTGTGGACAACTTTTTTACTAGCCATTCTGCTCCGATTTTCAAGTGTAGCACTTTTTTTGAAAGGAAATTTTTTCTATTTGGTACTTTAGAAATGTTATTTTTTTGATTTTCCGAGCGGTTAATCGTAAATATTACAGCCTTTCAAAACATGTATAATCAAACTCTGCTTAGAATCGTTTTTCATTAGCAAAGAGTAGTTAACAGATTAGCTATAACAGTGGCCTACCCGTCGTATGAAGCACGTCCGTATCTTTTTGTTTTGTGTCTTTTCTACCAAAAATATTATTCAGATTTTCAGTTTTTTCTGAAAGTAAATTGTTTCTAGTTGGTGCTTTAGAGAGGTTATTTGATATTCCTTTGGTTTTCTTAATAACTGGGAATAAGCGGGAAAATTTAATGGTTTTCATTTTTTTTTTTAATTTGGTTTAAAATAATCATAGAAATCTGAATTGTACGCAGAATATAAAATTGTCGGCTTATATAAATTTTATATTAGCCTTTTCTAGACGTTGTACAATTTTTAAAATATTCTTGCGATTTGTGAGCTTTATATAGGCATTTGACAATTTAAGGTTTTTTGTCCAAACAGAGTGTTTGAAAAGCGCAGTAAGTGATAACGTACGTATACTATGTGACGGAGTGTTCTCCAACAAGCAAAGCTATTGTATCACTGATAATAATTAGTAAAACGTTTGATAGGCATTTAACACGTTCGCGTCATTTCTACATTTCAATTTTTCGATAGGTTTTAATTCTCTTAGCTAGCGTTTGGTCCGATCAGCGTCGTCGAGTGTACATACATTACTGGAATGTTCGTGTGAAACTGATTTTTCTATTTTTTGGCTTACGACATGAAAGAAAAGGGCGTGATTTTTACCAGCACCGTGTGTGAATGACGTGACCATACAAAATCGATACGCAGCATAAGTGTTAATATTATATTTTAATATTTCGTCGGTGGTAATATTCGACCGCAGTTTCAGATTATCGTTTTAAATTAATCGGTAATTAAATTGAGCAATAATAACGTTTCGTTAGGATACTGAAATATTACACGCCGTTGTTTTGTATAAGACAAACCAAATTAATGTTACGAGAACGGCGGCCTAAGATACGAGTAGATAGTTTCGGATATTGCGTGGTTTCTTTGATCCCGCGCCGTCGGCCGCTTTGCACTTCGATACAACTTTTTATACCGTAAAGTGTGCACCGTTGTACAAGTTCGTTCTTCTTTTATTAATCGCATTTGGTCGTCGGTCCTATTCCGAATTAGTAGGACTGCTTTTGATCTGAAATCTTCGGGATACTTACAACTTGTTTCGTAATTTTTCTGCGCGTCACGATATTATTAGTAGGTATTCGTTTTATAACTTTATGCGTACAAATTATTAATGATAAAATGGCCTAGGTTCTACGACGATAGTGAGAAAACGTATTATATTATATAATTGCGGTTCGTAAAAAAATACAAAATAATATCGTTGTTATTTTATCGTGCTCGTTAAAAATTTAATAACATTTGGAAAAAATGATTCACTAGGCGTGCTCACCCATATTATTTTGGTTATATTTTGCATGTTATATTCGAATTCTGATTTTCGGCATTTTTAAGTGTAAATTAAAGCCGATATATTTTTGAATACAGAGATTTTTCACAGCATTCTAGGAGTACCCTGTCTACCCGATGCGTCTTAAATATTGAAGTACCAGTAATTGCGTACAGTCGCATACAATTTAACGACGAGTGTTGTAAAAATAAAATATTGGCGCAGCATAAATACTCGTTACAGTTGGCGTGAGTTTTTCATCAGCTACATAACGCGGTGTCTTATGTTTTGATATGATTTTTTGATAACAACGACAGAACTTCCGAGGATACTCTCGAATAATAATAATAATAATAATAATAATAATAATAACAATAATAATAATAATATATGTTTGTTAATTTTGTATTCGCTTTATATTTTGTTTTAGCGCTTTTGCATTCGCTTTTTCCCCGCAAACGCAATGTAGGTTTCGTAATTATGCAGGGTTGAACGCTGTAGTATTACTTTATTCTTAAATCATGTAGTGTAGTTGTATGGCAGCTCGTTTCGATGTTTAAAATATTGATTCCGTATTGCTGGTTGTTAGTAATCTGCTAAAATATAATGTAGATAGTTTGGAATCTTTGAAAATTCCCAACGCAGCGAGAAATGTATTGGTGTATGATGTGTGGTTTTGTTTTTTTTTGTTTGTGTTTTTTTTTTTTATTACTAATGTAAGAACATGTAAAATATGTTAAGTCCGTGGCTTTCACGTTAAATATTTTACATTTCTGGCCAAGTTCGTCCAGAAGACTTCCAGTCGAAAACCCTATAGGAATTTCATTCTTGCATATTAAATCTAGTTGACACGTCGAGAGATCACTTATCCTGTAATCCTTTATATTTTTCTTATTAATACTGGTGAAAAACCGGGAATTTTCACGCGACACTACGTCGATCTACGTCCAAATCGATTTTCGTCGTAGTTGAATACACCCGAAATGTTCACCGAATACTTATTTATTATAAATAATACTATATTAAAATCGTCATTAAACACGGTATAGTTTTCAAAATATTTTGTCTCTTTTAGAAATATTCACGATTTATGTAATTTTGACGTAGAATTCATTTAAACAATAATATGAAAACCCAACTATAAATAAACTATAAATAATTTTTTCTCGTTTTAAAATCTGGTGCAAATGCGGAAGAACATAAAATCCCTTCTATGTAAATCTGCCTCGTCAAAAAAAGTTAAATCTTTACAAACAATATTGTTTTGTTATGCTTTTATTTCTTGTTTTCTTATCTCATGAATACGTATCCTTTGAAAAAAAAAAAAATAATTGTTTCAATCAGTGGTGGTGCGTGGGTAATTTTGCGCGTCTTACTCATATTTTTTTATTAGACGATTGAGACGTCTGCCTCTGCTTGCTTGGTAACACCCCCGTGGGTGCGAGCTACTACTGGGGTAAAATAAATTGGCTTAAACTTGAATGTTTTTCCAAAAGACATTAATATGATAAAAGTCGAGTTAAATTACAATAGTTCGATTTATTTAATAATAACAATGTATTTATATCGGAGGCTTTGTTGTCGGGGGTCTTTTGTCATTAAACGAGTTGGTGGGTTAGTGGGTGTTGTCTCAAATGTGTTGTTTATAAGTTCATACCGCCACTGATTACAACAACATCAAAATAGCGACGTTCAGAGATATACGCGCTCCTCCTAAATAAGGAGGCACCGATCAATATGCGGTTTATATAATCGGAATAAGAAAAATTCCGTGCCCTATTATATAATAATGTATGATTACATTATTTATAGCAGGTAGTTTGATATGTGTTACGTTTTTTCTATTGTGATCTGATTACAATAACACAAATTGCCAAGTCACGCGATTTGATTGGAGTGTATTGTGTTATTATATTACGATACTAAAATACTGAAATATGACCGTGCCGTTTTACAGTTTCTTGTCAATATTTTTCGTTGTGAATTCAATTGTTGAGTTAAAAATACTTAATTTACTTAATTAAATTTGTATACCGGGGAATTCTTTTATCGTTTTTAAACGCTCATTATCTCGGAAAATATTAACTTTTTTTTCGGAACCCGTTATAGAAAATTTAAGAAACAAGGAGCTCTACAACTTACCATGATGATTGTTTTTGTCGCTTTAAGTTTCGGGTGTGAAACGACCACTTATTTTTGATTTTCAAATAACAACCAATATTAAAAATCGCATAAATAGATTGAGTATTCTGTATTAGTTAAAATAAATTTTGGTGTTAAAAATTTTGATTTCCGTCATTCCATTGTACTAGTAACAGTTGTACTGGTGCACTAATAAAGTGAGCACAAAATACCACCACACAAATGATGCTCCACTATTCTCACCCGACCCAAACTTAAAAGTGGAATATCTCGTCAATGAATTGACGATTCATCAAAAATCAACAATTTCAACACCAAAATTTATTGTAATTACTTAATTAATTAACTAAATAATTATTCCATCTATTTGCGTCATTTTAAATACAGGTTACCATTTGTAAATCAAAAGTAGGTAGTCTTTTTACCCCCAAATGCAAGGATGACATTTGATTTTGTAACATTTTTAAACAATTATTTGTTTCTTCAGTTTTTTGAACAAAAAAAATTTCAAAAAAAGTCAATACTTTACAAAATAATAAGTGTCTAATGATAAAATAATCACCCTGTTGATGTCAGTAGTGTTTTTTTTATCATAGAATAATAACAGTTATTTTTGATTGTATTTCAGGTTAATAAAATGGAATGGTGGTCCAAATTAGTAGTTTCAGATCCAGATATATCTACCAAAAAGATTAACCCGGAACCGTCCAAACTGTCTGATTTAGAAGGTGAGACTAGGTCTATGGTGGAGAAAATGATGTACGACCAACAACAAAAACAAATGGGAAAACCAACGTCAGATGAGCAGAAAAAACAGGATGCTCTTCAAAAGTATATAAGTTTACTTTATGGTTTTATTTACATCGTTTTGACTGTTAATATTTTTATAGGTTCATGGAGCAACATCCCGAAATGGACTTTTCCAAATGTAAGTTCAATTAAACCAGCTCAAAACCAAGAAAAGAAATACTATTAAGAACAACGTAAAATGAGAGTTAAGATAATAAAAATAATTTTATCATTTACACTTTTTTAAATTTATGCAAAACTTTCCGGATTAAAATAAAATTATTGTAAATTGCATTGTGTTTTTGTGTTTTTAACTATATTTATCCAAATTATAAAACTATAACAGTGTTATAACTATTAATACATTTATTCTACATTAGCTGACCTTGTTAACTTGATCAATGAAAAAAATTACTGCTGAGATTAGGTTAGCATGTTATGTAAACAAAATCACTTTACAAAGCTATAATTAAATTAGATATAAGGACAGGGAAATAAAGAAACAAATTTGTGAAAAGTATTTATAGTGGTCATATAAGTTTAAAAATAATTAGAAGTTATTAAAATTATTTTGAAATGCTATAGTGTTTTTACTTCATTTTTTTTTTAATGAACGTAAATATAAGTATATTTAAAAAAGTTGCATAATATACAATTTGTTTAGTCAAGTAAATTTTTTTTTTTTATAAATTTGAATTTCATACAATGAATACAAATTTACTTTTCATTGAGCTTGTCACCTGTAAGTCTCTAAAAACACTGGGGTTTATCAAGCACATCTCTAATGAATTCGAACTAACTCATTCTCTAAAAAATCCTCTATTGCGCTCTTGTTAGACAGATAGTTGAATATGGCCCAATTCTTTGGGATCCTTATTATCCTCCGACTTATACCAACTTGAACGAGTTCAGTGTAAGTTTCATAATTTCATTTCTTTCTGTCTTAACATAGAACATGAATTACATGACTATTCTCCCATTCTACGCCACTTAAAGCTTAGTAGTCTATCCGATAAAAGAGTGTTAGCCAACCTTAATTTTCTAATTAAACTCTTAAACGGTTCCATTGATGCACCTGAACTCCTTGCAGAGCTTAATTTTAGGGTTCCTGGTAGGTCCTCCAGATTAGCTGCTCCCTAATACGCTCCTCCACATCACACTAACCATGACCGTAACCACTGTATCATGCGTTTAGCAAACGAGAACCTCTCTAGCTTATAATAACTTTTCCTATTATGTTTAATGTAATTTTAAACTTTTTTATGTACTGTACCTCGGGCATCCTCCCGTGATGTAAATAAATAAAATAAAATAATGCACTTGTCAATTTTCATTGGAGCAACCTATGTCAGAAAAATTGTTAACAGCAGGAAAAAATACACATATAGTAAGTCAAATACATTCCTTTAACTATGCTCAGAAGCTAAAAAAAAAAAAAAAACAAAAATTCACATACAGTAAATGCATACCTCGGTCCACTCGGAATATAAATAGAAAAAAATATAATAAAATGCTGTACCTAATGGAAAACAAGTCGGCTCACATAAGGCCAAATTGTAAATTTACGACAAAAATTGAAATATTTTCTTCAAAGGAATTCCAAATACCTCGAAAACGTTATTTATAAACCAGTATACAATTTTATTATCGCGACATTATAGCCTGTGCGTCCACTTAAACTTGGGTTATCTTTCGCACCACTATTGTCTATTAGTTACTCGTGAACGTCAATGTTTGAATATAAAACTGGATATTTTCAACCAAAAATTTAAAATCGCACATTTTCCAATATAGATATCAAAACATCAGGTATATAATTCAACTTTTGCTTGTGTTGCATTAAAAGTTCCATAGAGTTCCACGTTTAAATTTTACTTGTTCGCTTGTTTACTTTCGAAAGAATGTCTTGAAGCAAATATAAAAATGTAAAATTAATGTCCACTTTTTTCCCCCTCTCTGCGAAATAGTAATAGTTTTTTTTAACATCGGTTATAGGTATTATAATCAATAGTTTTAAAGATAATACTCTTAAAGTCTTGAAATTTCCAACAAAGACGAGTCATTGTACTGTTCTGCTACCAGACAATTTTGAAAAAGTTTTTTTCTCTTTTGAGCTATTTATAACATATTTAGTTTTTATGGTATTTAATTCATAAAAGAGTTAATTTTCGGTTTGAAGATCTAAACATTTAATACAATGTAGATCGTGCGTTACTTTAATGAAATATCAAAAATTTTGATTTATTTTTATATCCATTTCAAGATTTTCGACAAACTTTATTATATTTACGTATACATTTTAGGTAGTCGTGCTGATAAAGAAATTAAAATTAAAATAAGAAAACTATTTATAATATTAAAAAATGAACCGTTTTCTAATTTTTAATCGTGCAATTGCAATGAAAAACTATTAAATTACTTAACGGACAAATTTGGTACACTTTCTGAAAATTGCATTAAGCAAATAAAACTTGTAGTCAAAGTGTTCGTTATGAAGCATTTGAAAACAATGGCGTTTGTGTAATTATACGTATGATCGATTAGGTTAAGCATATGAAATGGATTGATGATGAATTAAAACTTTCGGAGATACAGCGATCACGCAGCTTCTGTTATCAGCACCAAAACGTTCAGTACAAAATAGTCGAGGCACGTTAAAAAAAAATATTTGAAGAGAGTTCTGAACGCAGTAAGCAAAGGCAAATTAATTCAATTGTATCAAAACATGGTTCAGAGCAAATGTGTTTAGTTTCAGAATCAAGTCATTAAGTTTGGTGAAATTAGGCAGGAGAACTGCAGTCCAAGTTGTAAAATTAGCCATAGAATTTACACCCACTAGATTAAAAAAAAAAAAGTGAAATTAGCGCATGATAAATCGTCCTCTATTACAATAAGACCGTGCAGCCCCGAGAAGCCTCAGGTCTTATAGTAGATCTGGCAAAAGACCTCGAGGACATGGATGTATAATAATGTATAATTTGTATACACGTTATTTTATTTGTGTCATTCGTTCCCAATACAGAAATAATTAAATGTAAATTGACTAATTTATATTAATTGACTATTTCTTTTTTTTCAAGATAATTACGAAGCAAGTCTTCTTACGAGCATTTATAATTGGAATATCAAATAAAATTGTGTTTTATAATTTTGTCGTCGTAAATTTACCATTTGGCCTTGTGTGCGCGGCTGAAGGAAACTCGGCTCTAGCGATGGAGCGCTGCTGATCACAGACGTTTTATTAAAAATAAAATCTGAAAAAGCTGTCCTAGGATAATGGGGACGGGTTCAGTCACTGTTGTGGGTGGGAAGTTGGGGAGGTAAGATACCGAAGGGAATTTAATGTATATCGGGATACGTAATTACTATCGGGATTTAATAATCGTATAAAATCTGTAAGCAACGATAAACCATTGCTAACGATAAAACGATTTCGAGCGGAGTTCAGTTGATGATAGTGATGATTTGTCAACAATACATATGTCATATTATGGAAAAGTAATTAGGAATTGTATATATTTTCTTTAATAATATTTGTTTAGTATTATACCGATTTTCCCGTTTTTCCTTTATTTTCCGCGGTTTTTCACATTTGCTGGAAAACTCTTGGGAAAATCGAAAAATGACCTTTTTCAGAAAAAGTTCTATCATTGTAAATCGGAGAAAAATTGCTGGTAGAAAAGTCGCTCAAAGAAAAAAAAAAATCGTAATATTTTACTAATATATTTCATACATTTATCCGTTTTCCTCCTTTTTTTTTTTTTTTTTTTTTTTTTTTTTTTTTTTGGTTTTTCATATTTGATCGGAAAAATCCTGAGAAAATCCTAAAAAGATCTCCCTAAAGTACCGCCTCAAGAAAATTTCTTTTCAGAAAAGAGTCTACTTCGTATGTATCGGAGTAAGCTTTTCGGTAGAAAAAGTATTCACATAAAAAAAAAAAAAAAATAATAATAAAATACACATCTTTGTAAAACCAATACATTATTCACCACGTTCAGAATCTAAAGAAGGTTTAAAATAAACTATCACCAGCGAATTCGGAAAAATGCCAGACCATTTTTACTTGCCGAAAAAATAAATTTTAGTAAAACTTATTATAACGATAGCTAATAACTTATTCTTCGTTATACACTCGGAATGGTCGGTTGTCGAAATAATAAATGCGTGAAGTCAGGTAGTTGAGTTCACTGGCTATTTCGAACACGACAGATCAGTTCCATTAAGTTTAGCTGTATATTATGGGAAATATGAGGGAACGCGAAGCGGTAGGCGGTGAACGGTGACGGATATAGGGAAACCAGAGACGCGCGCAGGCCGAACACAAGACTACAATAGCGTAGCCGACCCCATCACTTGCGTGGGATATAGGAGAAGATAAAGAAGAAGATTATTTTTGTTTCGCCGTAATCGTAATACAATAAAAATGCCCGTCGCCGGGTGACGTGAAGAATCGTTTGCACCGAAAAATCCGACTTGACAGCCACAACACGCGTTTAAGTTGTATTATAATATACGTGTAGTGTGTAACCGCGTGTGTGTGTGTGTGTGTGTGTGTGTATGTTTTTAGGGTCTTACCCCTTTTAGCACTAAGCTCTGGGCTCAACGTCGAAAACGGCTGACAAGGCGAATTCGCGTACGTGTCCGCTTTTTCTGAAAAATGCGATTTCGCGTCATCAGTGGTATACGTATACGACAAAGGTGGCGGCAGTGCCGAATTAAGCGGGGCTGTAGCCCAAGGCCCCCGGGCCCCCGATAAAACTATCTTTTTTTTTTATTTATAAATGCTTTGGCATACAATTTTGTACACGTTTTAAGTTTATTTGCGTACCTAGGGCTCTGGGTGGCGGGGATCATAAAAGGGACAACAGGGGTAGATTTTCTCCAGAACCCTTTATTTTTAACTCTTTTTATAAAATTAATTTTATTCATTTACGCGTGTTTGAAATGTCAAGTTAGGTTTCCTAATTTCATAATTTCATAAAACTGTGTGCCGCACGTAGTTTGAAAAACGTGAGCAACTTTTCTACCAGAAATCTTGCTCCAATCAAAATACGACAAGAGACATATTTTGTTGTATTTTAAATCAGGTCGATGTACATTGAGCTCACTTTTTGATTTTCCGAGCAGTTTTCATAATAATGTTTTCCCTACAATTTGTGATACATCCATCTCCAATATCAGCTCTTTTTCGTTTGTTTTTTTAATTTAGTTAAAAAAATATAATCGTAGAATGTCAGCATTTTCTATACCTACGCGGTTTTATTTCTCCAGTATTTTTGCTTATTTTGGGTAAATTACTTTGTGAGTTATGTGAAATTTCAGAGGTTTTTTTTCTCGATTTATAACATTTCTTTTTCTTGCTGCGTTTAAATTAATACACTCGTGCTTAATATACTCAATGCGATATCCACATACTCGTATTATACGTATATTGTTCTGTACGACTGTTAGCAAAACTATTATGACAACATCTGTGAAAATCTCGAAAAACTGAGAATTGTGTAATACAAGCGTGACAAAACCATTTTCAATTTTAATCTAGCCAAAAATATAATACGTTTAAGCGAGCTAAGCCGAGCTACGAATCGCGTATTTTGTATTTGTTAATTTTTTGTACTGTAATATCATTGAAGTATTCGGTTAATTATTGTTTCACAAAGAATATTTCTAGTAAAAAAAAAAAAAAAAAGCCGGGCCCGTGGGGAGAATTCTACTCTAGTGACGGAACTCTAGCTACAGCTCACGGGTGTTTTTTTTTTTTCCGAGTTTAAATTTGGTTTCTGAACTGTTAATTATTGAGCTACTTATTGCGGTTATTGCCCGAGTGCTGCAGTACTTGAACGGGGCGGTCTTAGGAATCATATTTCGTACGTATATAATATTAACTAATAACTATAGTTCGGGACTTCTATAATTTGCGTATTATTTTTGAAAGATTAAACAAACAGTGGAGTGAAACGTAAATATACTACTCATCACTTAGGGCATTAGTGACGAATTACGGCCCGCGGGCCAAATCCAGTCCGCGATCATTTGTTATTCGGTGCACCGAAGTACCTGTTCTTGAATTAAAATTAAAAAAAACATTAACTTAAAATTGTAAAAATTAATACTCCCATTAGAAAAAAACACGTTTATACTTTACATTTTTTTCTCATTTGTAACAATCGAAACATTATACATAATTAAATGTATTATCACTGTACCTATAGGTA